ATATGGACCCCCCTGGTCCATATCCGCTAGCGGATTTGGACCCCCCCGGTCCATATCCGCTAGCGGATTTGGACCCCTTTAACAAAACTGAGTAAAAACATTACCATACATAACTTCCTAATAAAAATAATAAAAATTTAGAAAGTAGGCTTTCAAAGAAAGTTTTTTTTCAGAAAGTAGGTTTTTATTTTAAAACATTCTCGTAGACGTGATCTTTTTCTCAGCATTGCGTCTCAATTTAAGATTTTCGTTTAATTAACCTGCAGCTGTAAGTCCGTTGTTTACCTCTGGAATGAAAATGAAACGTAAATTTTGAAATCATTTGTTTGCTTGCCAGTTCTCTTGAAAAAGTGTGAAATATAAAATAATAACAACCGTTGAATGGATTATACTATTTATACTGAGACGAAATAGTTTTCACTATTATGACGTACTTTACGAAGTAAAGTAAGAGTAGTACTAGTTTCATACTTGTTCTTCAGAATTGTATTGCAACAGAATAAGAAAGGATTTGGTATGAGTTTCAATAGTTCGAATCCAATAGTTTGTTGTCATTTAATTCATGCGTAGGCTATTCTACCAACTTAAATAAATGTGTCAGAAATGAAACGATATCTGCCCTTTTCTTCGTCAATTATAGTACGCAATCTTGTGTTGAAATTTTAACGGACATCGCCTAAAAGCTCGCAGTTGGAACAAGTTACGAAAAAGGAATGTTTAGTTGGGGGGGGGGGTCCAAATCCGCGAAGGGGGGTCCAAATCCGCTGTGACACCGGCGCTTATTCAGGGTGGGTACTTATTGAAGATTGGGCGCTTAACCTAATATTTATGGTACGTTACCGAAACTTCAGGTGGATAATATGAGGGAAACAGTCTTCTCTAATAATTATAGACACCCAAATATCCAGTAGAACCAACAGACAAACAGATAAATTTAAGCTCCAGTCCAACACATATTTCGACTAAAATTGTAACGATATATCATTTATTGTTTGGGAACACTAACTCTTGTGCCATAGAATAACTGAACTGCAGGCATGCTTTCATAGGTGCTGCTATCTGGGACGTCTTTCTGACGTTTCTTGTGCCACACCTCTGCAGATCTTCCACGGGCTGGTAAAGCAGACCGGCTTGTAAGAAGCTGTTAGATGATAGTGAAGCAGTGTCTCTGAGAGCCTACTGACACGCTGATAATCAATGGCATGAACACAAACACAGCTCAAAATAAAAGAATTCACGCACTTCCTTGCTAATTGGTTTAAAACCATGACTTAGCATTTTTTTAAAAATAAATTTAGAGTAAAAGAGTAAAAAAAGTAAAGTAAAGTAAGTAAAGTAAAGTAAAAAAGTAAAAAAAGCTATTTACACACCGCCTCTTTCAATTCACCGAAGTTTAATTATATCTCCATTGCTGGTAAAACCCATCTGCTACTATCTTAAATAACACAAAGCTACTCTACATAATGAACACCTCTGTGGGTAAAACAGTAAATGGGAGCATATAAACCATTACAATGGAAAGCATGTATCATTATGACTCATTCTTGTCCAGTAATAAAATGAGGATGCATGTTGAAAGGGGTTTGTGATCCGAACATCAAATTCTCCTCGTGTTTTTTTAAACAAAAGAAGAGAAACAAGACAACTAAGTTAGTACTGTTTTCATTATGAATAGTAGAAGCAGTTTATGATAGCATAAAATAACTGAAGAATATCCTACATGTTTGAAAATAAAAATTAGCTTAGGCAATGGAAATTTAACTGGAGGATTCTGCTCTAAAGCTATAGAGTCTCTGATAATTGATGCCCAATGAACAACCAGTTTCTTAAACCCTTTACATTTTAACATCAGTATGCACATTCTCTGTACTGGTCTCTCTACATTTCCTAAGGTGCTGACAAGGAGAATTTGTTTAACAATCAAGAACTTATTTGGTTGTGATAATTTGCTTTGCTCTTGTGACCCTAAATGTTTGATGTTAGTCACTGTTATGGGTCATAGAGTTAAAGAGAATCTAGAGGTTTTTAAGAAGCCTATAAGGATTTTTAAACTTACCCCTTAAATAACAGATTCAAAGGTTGATAGGTCAGAGAAACAGAAGCTTTTCAAAGTCAATTTACATTACCAAGTGTCAAGAGCACACTAAGCAGCAAGACCATTACACTGATTACAAATGCAGAGCCTTGGTTGTTTAGCAGAAGATTTTCCTTGTTACATTCATCACCATCAGAGCAACAGTTTCCTTTGCAGTCCACTGTATATCCTTGTGCTTTCATTGTTGTGCATTGCCCAATGTCTCCTTTGCTGTATGCATCACAAAAGGATTTTCCAAGACATCCTTTTTGAAAAATAATTTCTGACTTATCTCCTTTCTCAAACTTCACATCTACCTGAAAACAAACCTGGCCCTCAGAGCAGTTTTCTTTTGTCAAATTCTTTTGACAATCTTCATAGGAAACTGTACTTGAACAAAATGAGCACTTTAAAGGCACACCTGCAATGATAAAAACAAAAAGAAATTCCTGCTAAATGAATATACTTGACTGCAAATAGATCTAGAAAATTTTATGTTTTTACTTTTCAAGTCACTAAAAGCCATCAAAAGGCAATGAGCAAGGATCAAACTATTGTTTGCTGTAGTAAATATTGTAAAAATGATTTTCGTTATTAAGCTAGGCTACATGAATGGAGGCACTTGCCAGTGATACTTTGCCTTTGCCTTTGATTTACATCAATTTGTTTCCGTGAAATCTCTCAAAATTTTCACAGTTTGAGAAATTTCTCCCACCAGTCAAAAAAAATAGGGGTTACATGGGCAACTTCCTATCTATTTGCAATTTTGTGTTTTCTTCCTTTATCTCAAATTTGGTCTTATCAATTTCTTTTACCAACAGGTACTAGGAAGTACCATTGACTACAACATACCATTGTTTTCACTGATGGAAATGCGATATATCCTGCTCTAAATGTCCCTATTTTTTTTTGTTGCAAAACATTACATAATGGAATAGAACTTCACCAAGATGTATATTAGAGCATGCATAAACTTTCAAATCTATCGCCTCTTTTTCAGGCATAGAAGGCCTATGAATATTACGGGTGCTGGAAACCCTAGATTCCATCACAAAAAAACTGTATTGAGTGAAATAGAGAACAATACATGGGTGTGCATAGATATGAAATTTCTCTATGCATGTTTAACTTGATAGCTCAAGAATGAGTGCAGCAAACGAGCGAGATGTCAATTTGCACATAAGAAGAGAAATTTTGTATCTACAAGCAACCATGTATTACTTTGTTTATCATATAAACAAAATAGCCCTATTACTGACAAGAAAAGTCAACTTTTCTTAATCAATGAAAATAAAAGGATCGACAATCCCCAAATGAAAATCTTAAAGTGCATTGGCACTAAGGCTCAAGATGAAAAAATGCATTGAAACACTACAAAAACAAACAATGGGCGCAATTTTCAATTTACAAAATTCTCGGTCATTGACTTGGTCCTTGCTGACAGAAGAAATCTTTCAGGCACATAGCCAAAATCAGCCTGTGGCAAATCTTCCAGTAGTCAATCTTCATTCTCAGCCACAATAAATGCCATTACCTTAACCTTAAAATATGTTTATTGCACATATTGACATTATTCAAGCTCACACAATGTTCGCATCCAGATCTCACGCAGTCAAAAACCCTAAGGAGCCTCCTTAAATTGTTTATTCTGCTTCTGACGCTTTGCTTTCTATCATTTCACGTTTGACATTTCGGTTTTGTTTGACGCGTTCACCACCGTGCTCTTCGAAATAAAATTTTCAAGATCAATATGAATTATTTTTAAATTGAAACTTAAGATCTGCATTACTATTCTTACGAGTCAAACAGCTACCAGCATGTTCTTGAAACAGACCACTAAGCCGAGTTACAGAAAAACAAGTCAGAGAGCTTTTATAATCTACCGGATATATATGGGAGATCATTTCTTAAAATTAACTATGGGCAGTCATCTACGCAACTTTCCACACAAGCCGGTTTCAACTGCTTTTGCGGTTGCCTTCGGCATAGAAGGTGTCTTACAAAATTTTTAATTAAACGAAATTCAATGGACGCGACTTTCACGTGCATGTCTAAGGGCCTATTTACACGGTACGACTTTGTCGCATGCGACAAGCTTACGACAGGCTTACGACACGAATTGTTGCGTGTAAATCAAACCTACAACTCGCTTACGACTCTTAAGTCATGTCGTAGGCCTGTCGTAAGCTTGTCGCATGCGACAAAGTCGTGCCGTGTAAATAGGCCTTAATACAAATAGTTATGCTAATTTGGGTACAGGCATTATATTATCGACCAGAGTAGCTATACAGTTTTTAATTAAAATGTGTGGAAGGTCATGACACAAAATGTAAAACGTTAACAAAAGGAAACGCTAGCTTCAGCATGGACATTTAGCAAACTTCTTCACAGATCCCAGTAGTTGAGGATTCATGAAATTCTTTGTATGCGGAAAAAATATTGGACTTCCACTGTCGTTATATCATTCGCAAATTTACCCTGTTCTCGTAACATAACTCCAGTCTAAACAGCGCAAATGTATGTAACAAAGTTATCTCAAAATGCGGGAATGGTAATTTCCACACACAAAAAAACAATCGAAATCCTATCTTCAGTCATTATGCACGTTGATTGAGAGTCTAGAAGTTTGAACTTTCCGTCTCACTTGCCAAGCTTTGCGTCACTTAAGTAAATCTACATGCTCGTGATCGACCATCGATCGTTATTGATTCCAACTATTTTTTTTAAGATCCATCGATGCCTTTGTACGTGAACCACGAGAAAACAATAATTATTAGCCGACGAACTGACTCTCAAACGGCAATTTGTATTTCCAAGAGAAAGGACGATGTCAGATTTCACTCTCAAGTTGAAAGCGGCCTTCGAGCAAATCGTATAACCACCACACGCATGAGTCGAGTATTTCGCACAAGAAACATCAGCTTACCTCCTAACCAGAGTGAGCAGAAGAAAGCTAAGCCCAAAACCAAAGTAACTTTCATCTTGTAGTCCTGGTAGAACAACTAAAACAGCTGAACAGATTATGTGCTTACCACGCTCAAAACCTCAACTCCTAACTGTTGTGAAATATTAGCTCGGACCCGTGCTATCTATCCGAGTCCAAAGAACACTTTGGAGGGTGGGACAACAGATGTTTTTTTTTGTCACGAGATTATGAACGTTGATTCACACCTTGTCATTCAACTTCATGACGTATACTCAAGTAAAGAAATTTCATACATCATCGGCACTTCAAAATGGCTTAAGAAAACACACAAGAACGTTTAATAATAGATAAACAAAATCTGGCCTAACACCTCCCACTAGAGTGAAATTAGTAACGACCAAGTGGGCGAGATGTCGAGTATTGTCTAATGATATGACATCATCCACTGAGCGAATGTTTATGCTGATGTTATGGTTACAACCTTAGCATTTTCCTATTTGAAAACCACTGTATGACGGTGTCACAGTGATATGTGTACCCCCGTGATATGTGTACCCCCGCACACATATCACTAGTGATATGTGTACCCCTGGTAGGGATACACAAAACACTGAAGCTTTGCACCCGGGCCTTTTAGAGCTTCAAAGAAAACATGGTGGCTACGAGGAACAAATTTTGTGGTTTTATATTTTAAAGTTTCCGATCCAAAATATAAACGGAAGAAGATCACAATGCAACTGAATAACAACGTTCACTGATATGTGTATCCCAACATATCACAAACGTTTGCTTCCCACTGTGCCTATGAGTGCGATTTTGAAATATTTTATTGATTAGAAATTGCACTGGGCTAGAGAGGCCAGGATACACACATCACTACTGAATCACCGTCCAGTGATATATATCAATAAACATCAGGGGATACACGTATCACAGAAAAGCGATCGCAGTGATTTTAGATCACACTTCTGTTAATTTTGACTCAATAATACACTTACAAGCCATACTTAGCCAGTATTTTGCTGGACAGATAAAAACGCTTGCTTTAGTAAGGGGATACAAATACTAACTACGATTGCCGTGATATGTGTATCCAAAGTGTATCCACAAGATATAATGGGGATACACATATCACTGAACGGCGATCGCAGTGATATGTCTATCCCCCGAGTAACTCGCTGTCGTCTGTCAATTTGGAATCAATAATACACTTACTAGCCATATATAAGCTTAGGTAGTAATTTGCTGGACAGACAAAAGCGCTTGCTTTACCAAGGGATACACATATTGACAGCGATTGCCGCGATATGCGTATCCACATTGTATCCCCAAGATGTATTGGGGATACACATATCACTGAACGGCGATCGCAGTGATATGTGTATCCCCTGACTAACTCGCTGTCGTCTGTCAATTTGGAATCAATAATACACTTACTAGCCATATATAAGCTTAGCTAGTAATTTGCTGGACAGACAAAAGCGCTTGCTTTACCAAGGGATACACATATTGACTGCGATTGCCGCGATATGCGTATCCACATTGTATCCCCAAGATGTATTGGGGATACACATATCACTGAACGGCGATCGCAGTGATATGTGTATCCCCTGACTCTCGCTGTCGTCTGTCAATTTGGAATCAATGATACACTTACTAGCCATATATAAGTTAGCTAGTAATTTGCTAGAAAGACAACAGCGCTTGCTTTACCAAGGGATACACATATCACTTACTACGATTTCCGCGATATGCGTAACCCCGAGATATGTTGAGGATACACATATCACTGAACGAGAGATCTCAGTGATATACGTATCCCCTGGCTAGTACGATGTCGTCTGTGTACTTTTTAAATTTGTCAATGACACATATGATTGGGAATCAATAAAAATTGCTGTCAGTTGGTGAAATATTTCATGCACTTACGTACTAGCCAGTAAAGGAGCTAGTAGCAAGTAATTTCAGTGCTAGACAGGCGACAAAGCCGATACGATTGTAGTCACCAGTGATATGTGAATCCCTAAGATATATTTTTGTTTAAATGACAATTTCGATTCCTTTATATTTCCAATAGATTGTTTGATGTTTGCTACTGGCCCATAAGAACTGTCGGACTCGCGAGTCGTGTCTTTACAGTTCTGATTGTGGAAGATGGTTCAGTGAACGATTTGCGTCCATTAACACAAGTTAGCCGTAATTATTTATTTTTTGGAGGGGAGGGGGGTGGGGGATACACATATCACTGGCCGCCATCTTGGAGGGGGTACACATATCACTAGTGATATGTGTGCGGGGGTACACATATCACGGGGGTACACATATCACTGTGACAACGGCAATATGTAAAACGTCAGTAGATTTACATCTACAGCAGTATTTGCGAATACGAACTGGGACAGCTACTTCAGGATCAAGTAGAGCAATTATCTTAGCAGGTGTGCTGCAAGTTAACATTTCACTTTCAAATTCATTCATCAAATATAAATCTTAGTTACTTGAGAAACAACTTCGCTTTCAGGGTTTGTGGGAAGGGCACCAAAAGAACATTGAACAATCTGAAGGAAGGGAAAATATTCACAAGGAGAAATAAAATTCTGGCAAATATCTATTAGAACAACATGAATAAAAAATTCAGCAGCAGAGCTGAACGGATACACGTATGTGAGCTAAGAAACTCGGAATAAATTTATTTACTGTCTTCAGATTTCAAGATATACTGATGACCTTTTTGAGTGAAAAAAAAGAGAATAAAGTATCGCTACAATCCTCAATTGTTGCTGACATTTTTATTTTCTATCAATGATGTCAACACCGTGACGAAACCAAGCATTAGAGTTCATTTACTCAAAAGCATATCAATTGAAAGATTCAAGCTCATTCACAAATTGTTTTTACGGGTGAGATTCGCGATTTGGTACGGTAAATCTAAGAATTTAACCAGTTTTTTGCAACCTGTTTTACAACACTCGACTGACAAACAACGTGTCTTTGCTTGCTTCCTCTACCATATCTTCCATTGTTATCGATACTTGACCCGCTGATTTCACATCCTTGCCAACTATTTCTTCATTATTTTCATTCGAGTGAAAGATTTCTTTGTCCTCGTCATCGTCAATTCTAATAACAACCTCATTACGAGGAGCCACGGGTATTTTGCAGGATTTGCGATCCGTTGCCACTGACGATGTTAGTGTTTGTTCATCAGAAGAGACCGGCTGTAGACTTAGAATTGAGGACAACCGCGTAGCAGATGAGTGTGGTGAAGGCGATGGCTCTGGGAGGGTCGCATCTGTCTTGCAGGACTCTGAGGACGAACTGATGCGATCTGGTTCCATCGACGAGGTTTGTGCCAATTTATCAGAAGAAGCCGGGTTAAGGAACAAACTGAAGAACTGATGAGGAGTAGAAGGGTTTGGTAATGATGATGTTTCAGGGATGGTCACAATTGAGGATTCAGTTGAAGCAGTAGTCGAGAGGGTTGTTGCAGGCAGTGATTCGGATACTTTAGTGTCAGGAAAGCCACAACTTGAAGTTGACTCGTATGAGGAGAATTCATCGTCAAGACCTCCAAATTCAGGTGTCAGTGAAAATATAGATACACTGGTGAGAGATCCAGACCGAGATATTTCAGCCGGTGTAGAAGTGTCTGATTCAGACAGGGATGAAGTAGATAACCAAGATTCCGTTAATTTTGGATCCAGATTCTTATTGGCCGTCAAAATCTCTGCTTCGGGGTTTTCAGTGTTCTCAGGAACAGCCATCAGGGGAGTAGATCTCGGCTTTTCGGTCAATGTCCATATTTTCTGTTCCTGTTTTGCACCTGAAGACTGAATAGTTGAATAATGGTCTGGTGTCAGCCACTTCGAAGATGTCCAGGATGACGCTTTAGAGAAACCATTTTTCGTTGAACTATTTTTTCGTTCCAGGACTGCTCGGTCAAAGATGATTTCCTCCTCGCTCAACTCTTCGCTTAAGTAACCATTTGGTGGAATGTTTAAGCCGAATTCAGGATTGTTCCGTCGTCTCCAGCGGTCGCTGTAAATTCTTCTATTAAAAGTAAAAAAATGGAGTAAAATAAAAAGTGGTGTATACCGCTTTTCTTCCGCGCAAATAAGCGGGCTCGTCTTTTGCGGCGAGAAGAATCGGCAAATGGGTTCTTGAGCAGAGAGTGACTTACTCTTAGTAATAATTTACCTGCTGAATGACTTATGAGAATATGATTTCGTCAATCACAGATTTTTGAATTTCGAAAAAAGTCTAAGCAAAGGTTTCTACTTACGTTAAACGAGGAGTGACGATGAAAATCAGCAACAAAATTAAAATTCCAGCCAACACTCCAGCAAAGTTTGTGGCTAGCGGACTTGATCTTGGCTGCTCTTCAGCTGAGAAACGACAATTCTTTCCTTTTTTAGTGACACGCTCGTCTTTTGTATCCTCATCAGATCCAGCTTTATCATGATCATAGGACAATTCCGAACGAAGTCTTTCAGATGGTTGAATTCGGGGGGTAACAAGAAAGGTAGCGGTTGGTATTGCTGTGGTGGTACCATGTCGGGTAGGTACTAGTGGTGTTACTGTGGTCCCACCGCGAGGTTTTTGCTCTTCAGTGACTATGTCTTTATTTTGTGGCCGAGATTTGTGTTTATCACTTTGTGTATATTTCCTCTTGTCATTTTTAGTAGCACCACCTTCATGTAAAATTCTCTCTGAATTTTCGTATGGTGTGTCAGTTAACGTGATAATTTTTCCTTCAGTAGATACCGTGGTCAACTGGGGAACCGCAGGTTGAATTTTTGTTTTGATCGATTCAAAAGAGATAATTTTTCCTTCAGTAGATACCGTTGTCAACTGGGGAACCGAAGGTTGAATTTTTGTTTTGATCGATTCAAAAGGTTTGCTTGTGCTCAATGTTGAATTTTTCGATGGAAACACAAATCTATGCTTCCCTTTGTTAGATTTAGAACCATGTATTCGTACCCCATTCGATGAAGCGGGCTTTCTGTTTTTCTTCGCCGCTCGGCTTACAACAAACGCTCGCATTAACTTTGCGGAAAATTTGTCTATCTCGCCATCTTTAAGTTCTCTTTCATCTTTTGAGGGCTTTGAAGCATCTTTTGACGCTGGCAAAACCTTTCCGCCAGGGGCATCGTTAATCATTTCATCATTGGATGAGAGTATATCTGTGACATGAAAAAAAGTGATAATATGACAATTTGGTGGGGCTCAAGGGAAAAAGGAACAAGAGGGAAGACCAACAACCTTCTCGATCTAGTCTTTAAGCGCGCATTATTCAAAATTACTAATATTTCAAAGCACTCTTTGGCAAGCTCTTCATCGTTAATGTCAAGTCTATATTATTGGCTCAAGCTTGAATTTGAGCTTAGAACCTGATGGTGTTTGGTATTTTAGAGAACTTTCTATGACCTGAGATCTTGCAGTGTTATTAGGAAATGAAATTTTCGTCTTTGCTTTTGGTGTTTTGTTCCGTATGTATTTATAGTATGCAGTTTCAAGCATTAGAAGAACTGCAAGTGACATTTCCTATTTTCATTATGCCACACAAGGCAATTCCATAAGTGAGCTTCAGCATAAACGTTTCGGAGACGCAGACGGCGACCGAAAGTTAAAAGTTTCTCATTTCCGGTTCTCACCACAGCTTTTTGGTCAATACAATTTGGTTTAAATGCTAAAATAATGACCCCTACTTGATCCGTTGCTTTCAAAACGAGCCAGAATTTGTTCTATTCTTCTTCAGTATTTCTACAAACTCTTAAAGAACATCTTAAGATGTTTTTCAGGAGTTTGTAAGGAATACTGATTAAGTTTTCTTTCAAATCCTAAAGCGCGATAGCTGCAACGCTATCAAGCTGCTTTTAAATGAGCTTTTCTAAATCTAAGACATTTCACCGGTGACTCTTACCTTGGCAAACTGTGTTTGTTATCAGAATGCTCAATAAAACCAGGGTGAAAACTTTTCTCCTCTTCATTTTTGTCTTGGGCTACCACACGTGGATAACACAAGGAATTCTCAAAGAAGAATAAACAACCCACGTCGCGAACGATTCGTTAGTAACGTCATAGACGGCTTTTTGGCGCGCGCGCGCGCGAGGTAACACTTGTGACACTTGTCATCACACGATAACGCTAGACGTTCCTCTTGTCATCATTGCCCAAAACAATTTACAAGAGCCCTCTATTTACAGTTGTATTTAGGAGGCTCATCTCAAGAGACCATATATTTGTGATGATAAGTTAATGTGACAACCGTTACGAATATAAAGAGCACCTCGATCACTTGTGCCACTTTGATTCCCTGTTTGCTTCTCCTCCCCTCTTTATATGTTATTTGAATTCACGTGCCATGCGCGTGGTCTGATTTATTAGCTAACCACGCCCGGAGACCTTTATTTGAATCTGTTAAGTTAACGCGACTACTTGAGTTTAGAGTAGGGGTGTAGATGCTGAGTCTAAAGCAAGTTTTCGGGCAAATAACGTTTTGTGTAGGGAAAGAATTTTTGGACGCTTTGATAGCGTTCCGCAGTCACCTTTGCATGTGTGATAGGTTCTTAGTCGCCTGAAGTACGTCTGGAAAGCATAGTAAACTCACACGAGCCAGAACAGAGCTCGTCCATTTTAAAGGATATAAACGCAGTTTTTAAGGTGAAGATGGGCCCCTAAAAAAACTTTCCTGTAGAGCCTGAAGAACGAGAACTAAGTACGAGAAACTGGTGACATGCGCTAGGCGCGAGGAGCTTTGGGAAAGGAAAAAATAAGCGCGTTCCCCTCCCCTTTTTGTTTTGTTTTGATTTTTTTCTCGATTAAAGCAGAGAGACGTGGGCTCTAAGTCATCATCAGTTAATCATGTAGAAAACTGTCTTTTGCAGTGAGGTTTCTTTTCTCCGACCCCCTCCCTTAAAATCAAATCTAGCTGGAGTCCTGCAGCCAGACTGTGGCAGATGAAGCAAATGTCAGTTGAAGATAGGTGATAACAACAGGAACACAACAGACACAACGCTATAAGTGAGGGGCATTACTTTTTCATCAGACGAAGATTCTACAGGGACTGGACTTGACCTCGTTGCATGACCTGACAAGAAATGTTGGTAATATTCAAATTAGCAAATTCTTTTTTTTTTCGCTGAGACAGAAATAATAATAGAATATTTCCAACCAACCAGTTTCTGTTTTTTTTTTATTTCTTGAATGGTCTTCGTCCCCTTCTTCCCATCATCTGTTCCAGGCCTAAATCAAATATGGCAGTCCTGTGAACGGTTTTGAACTTATTGCGCCAACTCGCCCTGCGTAATATGAAGCTTGCAAAACCTTAAAGGTCTGGGTTCGAGACCTGACCAGAAAATTGTGTTGGGTTCTTGTGCCTCCACACAAGAATATATATGGTTACCATTGAATTGCCACGGGAACACCAAATGTTGGAAGATCAGTCATAGCCTGGAACCCAGACCTTCCACGGCTGAGCGGTTGTAACTTCAGCCAAAGTTATACGGTAGGATCTGGGTACGAAATTAGATCAATCATTCTGAGTTCGTTGTGTTCCTGTGCCTTACCTTCACTCTTTTGTTTCCGTGCACTGTGATTTCTCGTTTCAGCCCCCTCTGTCTCCTGTACAGTTATGGTGTACTTTGAACGGTAGTAACACGTGAAAGGAACGTGTAATTTGAGCCCATTCGATACTACCACGTGTGATTCATTTAATGACCTCGCAGAATTTTCCACAGTATTTGAAAAAGAAATATAGTTGCCCTGGGTTCCGCGAGTTGTCCCGCAGCCTCGAAAAGGTACTCTAAAGAAAGCGCTACTGTTTGCAACATAATATGGCTCGCATGATAACTGCCGTAAACGTAGAGAAGACGGCTTGATGTTAGGAATGTCGTCTAAGTCGATTTTCAAAAAGATGAAGTTGTGAAGGCATTGTAGCTGAATTTTTTCCTTGGGTAAACTAGGTGACGGAGATAAAACTGAAAAAAGAGTATGTAATGTTAAGCTTTCGAAAGTAAACATAGTAGATGTTACTAGGCTAATGTTCCTAACGGCTCTGTCCTTAAACTGGTCTTATCCAAATTTTCCGTTCGAGACATCTCTTTCACGGCAATGACCTTCCTTAATTACCTCAGTAAATCGCTTTGAGAACAGTAGTGCCTCAGATATGCAGCCATCACAGATGCTTATTTTAATGAAATTTCACGTATCTAAGCTTTTGGAATCAAAACTTCAGGCTTGAAGTTCAAATGTTGTATGACGAGGGTTTGCTGAATACAGCTAACTACCCCACAACCTATTCATCACCTCTTGCGTCATGTTCTCCACTAAAACTCTTAATTTGTTAGACAAATGCTTGCGTAAATGCGAGTTTTTCAGTCACGTGTAGGCTTCAACATATCCAAGAACTTAAAGCGTGAATGGAAAATTCTCTGTGAAGGGGATTACATTTTTTGAATGTTTTTCAAATGTTTTTCACGTGCCCACTCAATACATATGACATTTTCAAGTTAAAAAAAAGTGTGAAAATCTTATATAGTCTGGAGGTGGCTAAATGAGTCTATCACGAACACCGATGAACTCGTAGATACACGTCTAATTTTATTCTTTTTTTTATTACTTTTAAGGGAAGTAAAAGAGACAGCTGTACCCAAGATCCCTATTATTTTCTGTAACTTCTGAGAGTAAAAGCTAAATTTCCCGTTCTTAGCAAGATTTCCAACGTACGGACCTGAACTAGTTAATTTCATGGTCTAAGTAAAGGATTTTGTTGAATGTGGATGCCACAGTATGTTAAAGTTATTTATGTGCACGGAAGTTTGCCAAAGCAATGCAAGCTGGCAAACGTTATTCATAATTTATTTTGTAATTTGTTTGATGTAGTGATTAGCTTTGAATTCTTTCGTATATAGCCAAAGTTCCAATAAATTGAATTTATTTTATAAATACAATGTTTTATTTCAATTGGTATTGATTTTTTTGGAATAGACATCACGATTGACCACTCTGTTGAAAAACTATGTACAAGTACACTTTCAACAAAGTGTACTTGTAGTTGTCCTCAGATGCAGAAGTCTACTTCTCTCGTTAAATTGTATTTTAGTTTTCTATAAAGCTTCTAGTCGTGAAAACGCATCATGTTATAGATTCTATTCAAGTTAGATAAAGCTTTACATTTGATATGAGATTTTCTTTTTTTCCTGCGTGAGCAACGATGCTCATCCATTATTGAACGTTTGTGTTTAGACTCGTTTTATCGCCCAAAATGCTTTAAATGTTTTTCTGAGGACATCCAAGAGGGTGTCATTCTTTAAAAAAAGGGATTTGGGGCCAATACTGTCATGATACGGAAATGTAATACCAGTTGAGCATAAAATTTGGTTTTCAACAGAATACTTTTTGTAAACTTGTTCAGCCTAAAACATGTTTAAACTTTCCCAAAAATTCTCTTACCACAATATGAAGAGTATGTTCTTAGCATCACACGTAAATCACACGGCGTAGCAATAATTTGATGTTGTTGGATTATCTATATGTTATTTTATCATGTCACGATTATATTGGCTTAAGAATTTATTTCAAGTCACGAAATGAAACAATGCTGTACTTAAAAAAGAAAAAAAATTAAAACAAAGAAACTGAAAGGAGCAGTCCACAATGATTTGAGTTACTTGTTACTTACTCCAATGCACTTGCAGCGTTAGAAAACAATTGTTTAAAACGAACATGTTTACAAAGTCCTGAGTTGAAATTTAGAGTCAAAGGAAGTAAAGAAAAGAAAAAGAGTCAGGTTTTTAGCAACAATACAAAGTGAATCTATATCTAAAGGAATTTTTCCTTAGCGTCGCACAAGGGCTTTTGAATTGTAGTGTCTACAAAGTATTTTTATCAAAAATTTTATCAGAGTTATATTATGCTCTTACCTCCACGAATGTTTGAAATTACCGCTGCAGCCAAGACAACAATGATGAAACTCGTGTTCATGTCTTCTTCAGCAACACACTGAGTCTCGTTCCGTACGTGACTAGAATCCAAACTCGATTGTAATGCTTGTCTATCAATATTGACGTGATATCGTCTTTCATTAGGGTTGTATCGAGGGGGAGCTATGATTCCATACTTGCTTGGTTTATCACTCAGAGAAATAAAAACAAGATACTTGTAAAGGGTTGGCTAGAAGTATCTCAAGAGCCTGAAAATGACTCAACTGACACAGTACGGGATAGGCGTCAGACACGTGCTCGCCCAATGCTGGTAAGAGTTAACTTGTATAGCTGGCAATTATACTTACCCAGTAGGGCCCATGTAGAAAAACCGTGTGAATTGGAAATCAAATGCAGAAACAGTATATTTTGAATTCCCTTTTCTTTCTCCTTTCTCACGGAGGTTTTAAAGCATAAGCCTGAAAATTTGTTAGGGAATTTACATGTTAAGTGCAGGTTTTTTTCCGAAAGAAAAACTTGGATAGCATATAATTTTGAATTGTCACCCTTATCTCTTCATGCATCACATGGTTGTTTAATTTACACATACCGAGAGGATTATCATCGTAAACTTTCTTTAGTTAATCTCAAATAATAAACACGTATGATATATTTTAGCGACAGATAATGGGTGACGAATTGATCTTGATATTTCATTTTTAGACTTGATAATTACTGCAGTTACTCTGACCGCAATGACGCAGCTAGAAGCAATCTGTCACTGACTTGTCATGTATGGTGAATGTGTACGGATCCTCGGAAAACAATGAGGATACAAAGAAGATACCGTTGATCGCCTTCATTGTCACTTGTTGCGTAACTATCAGATTTTTAAAATGTCCTCCTCATTTAAGAGATTGCAGTCTCGTACCAACCCTCTTCACCCTTCTCATTCTGTTTGTCCGTCTAGTGGTCCGTCTGTCTGAAACGATGTAACCATTTCTGTGTGAAAAAGCCTTTATTTTCAATTCAAAGAGAGCAATGCGACCATCTTGCCTGCATGAATGGTCCACATGGTCATAAATCAACCCAAAATATTCACAAGTTTTAATTCCAATTGTAAACTTAGGTAACCAGGATATTTAATAACAAACATGCCCTGGTTATTATTTAGATCAAAAAATAATTGCAATGGCTGGGGAAGCCAACATTCAGCTGATACCGGACGAAAAGCGCTACATTTGCAGAAAACACTGTGTTTAATTGTTCACCTGTAAGTACAGCCGTTCTTTGAGGCACATCTTTGTGCTGCAAAACGACTGCTTGAAAACTGTCATCGTTCAGAGAGATCAGATAAAGCAGGGTTCCTGCAACTACCGACCAGATTTCTACTTCCATTTCATTGCCACACCCAGCATAATATATCTCACGAATGTTTAATCTGATGCAATAGACGCATTTTGTTCTAATAAAGTGATCTCCGAAAAAGAGACACACCAATCTTGATAAGACTCTTGATTTTAAGATCCATTACTTTTTTTACAACCGAGGCCATTAAAGAAGATGATGTACTACGTATACGTAGCGCGGGAAACAATCACACCATGGCTTAATCAGATGATCCTCAGGCACTTGCTTATCCAAAGCGAAAAACAATAAGGCAATGTTCCTCGGTTGAGAATACAATCATTTTCAGAGTGGAAGGGTACCGCAGGTCCATCAGAGATTAGTGCACAATTCGAAGCAAGGTCCACATAAGTTCAAAAATAATAGTGAGCCAAGTAACGTTATGCATCCAAGGAGAAGTGTTACTTGACGAATTTGACACAACCTTAGGAATATCTGGAAGCGGAAAGAGACATTGTCAGGAAATAGATACAAAAATAAACAGACAAATAAGATAAAATAAAAGAATAGAGACGCTTCATCACCCCGAGATCAAGAAGGTTTAACAGAGGAGCTACCTAGAAAAACTCAGCACCTTATCACTGCTAATTGGTCCATTGAGTTACAATATATGTGGTATATTTTTGCAGTTCATGGGAACATCAAAACAATGCTGATTTCTTAGTCATAGTCCCAAACGTCTGTTTACTCTTAAATCTTCGAAGTAACGAAGAAGAAATTTTTCATGGGAATGATTTGTTTTGAACTAAGTTTAAAGACTCGGCACTAAGAAAGTTCTCATCATATGATGTCATTTTAAAGATCCAACCGAAATTTTAGCAGAATTTCAAGAGATCATCTGAGTTTCAGAATAAAGACGTTACCTTCTGTTGTCTGATTTCTATTTTCACGGCCAGTTTTACTGTTTTGATCCGTCCCTCTTCCTTCTTTCAAAGTAACAATGTATTTCTGTCGATAGCGACATACAAACGGGTAATACAGTTCAGGGGCGTGCCTAACCGCCATGCGTGATCCGTTCATCTTCTGCGAATTGTCCACAACATTTTGATACACAATGTGATCGAGTTCTATTCCGAGGGTTGTCCCGCAGCCTCGGAAGGGTACCCGAAATAAAGCACTGGTGTTAATCACTTGTGGTCTGCAAGAAAAGTGCCTTAAGTGAAGTGAAGTTGGTTCAATTATTGGTAAATCTTGCAAGTCCATTTTAAGAAGCATGTAATTCTCTAAGCATTGTAAAGTGATACGATTGTCATCCAGAGTCGGCAACGATTTACCTGAAATTAAGAAAACATCTGAGTCAGAGAAACGATGTGACAGGTGGCGCTTTAGTACAACTACAACGCATGCAGAAGCAAGTGTTATATTTAGCAAAATAATATTAAAAAATTATGCAGGGAAGTAGAGGTAAATATCCACCTTTTTCACTGACACTGAGATGAGTAATTACATAACAAACTAAAACCTTTATGTCTCAAAATTCCTTCAGCCGCAACTCGTGTAGGCCGACTAACAACAGAAACCAATGTGAAAAGTGAGATGCTGCGAATATCCAGAAGAGTGCAGGCCATTCCTTTCTAACACATAGGAACGTTTTGTTATGACTTCAAACGCAAACTGATTATAAATTAATCAAACAGCTTTGACAGAACGTATTTTCATGAGCAACGGGTCCTGCATGTTGCGTAAGACAACGGTGATCTGCACTTCCTAGCTTAGCTCCTATCCTAAGAGTAACCATTTCTAAATTTTTATCTACTATAAATCATTCTTAGAATAAACGTTATAGGTGATCTACAAACAGTCAGCCTGTTGATTGTTTTGAAGCGAATACCCGCGAACATCTACTCACACAAACAAATATTAGCAAGTATGATCCAAACGATGACAAATCCTTTTCTAAGCCAGTATTCCATTTTAAATGACGACAAACTTGAAATTCCTTGTAGAAATCAGCTCAAAACGAAGAGACAAGTAGGCCTGCTTCTGAAATAATGCCTTGCTAAGAGCTGAGCATGGTTATAACCGGAAATGTTATATCGGGCTTGCTAAGGGGGACGCTAATACTGGCAGCATCACCCAAATGAGCCAGACAAGTGTAATCTTCACCTATTTTACAGCTGGTATGCACGAATGTTGCAGGTATGGTGATTGATATTTAGTCTATCGGTAAAGACGAATTCATCTCTTTTTGTTTATATTAAACAGAATGTGGAGCTTTTTCTTAATTTTTTAAGTTACGCTTCAGATAAATTTATTACGTGTTGTCCAGCTGAAAGTCAGTGAGTCAGTGACTCTTAGTTGGCCTTATATATATATTCTGCTGGTACCTGCCCGTTTACAGACATCCGCCGGTATCAAATTTTATGCAAAACTTAATAAGGCGTCGTTCATAAAAAAGTGATGCAAGCGAAAAGAGTTGATAGGCATCGTTTCTCTTGAATACAAGAGCCCGCAGTTTATTTGCGCGGAACATGCGCAGTAGGGGGCGACCATTTTTCTCCCCGCACGTCCGCATGCGTGACCCATAGCACCGCATTCTCGTCTCCAGAGTCCTCGTGATCGCGTGGCAGAGGAAACGGTAGATAAAAGCAAGGGGCTCTGGGGACAAAAACTAATGGCACCGTAGAAACCATATTTAAATCTACTGTTTGAAGTTAGTTGTGTGATTATGGACCCGAGTCATCCTGTAAGAGAGACGATAAGCGATTGCTCTAAAGAGAGTCCTACAAGGGAGCTTTGTAGCACAGTTCCCTATGAACACCCTGACGAGGGAAAAATAACGTATCAAGGATCCCAGATATCGAAATGACCCGGTCGAACCCCGCTTACGCAACCCTATAGAAAATCATAATGAAAACTTGCTTGAGTAGGGCTGGCCGCGTTGACGTGCGTGAGCCGGTCCGGTAAAAGCCGTCCGGACTGGTATTGCTTTTCTTATTTTTTAAATTTTTCCCGAAACGTGAATTCTAAAAGTGTAATTATAGTTAGAGGAAAACAGAAACGAAAAATGACTCGCGGTTTTCGATGAATTGCGAGTCGGGAAAAGTAAGGGCAAATTTTTATTCAGAAGAATCTTCGCACGCTCGTCTATTGCTTCTTGACCTACCGAGTTTGGTCGTGTCGGACTGGAAGATAATTGACGCACGTACCTCTCGCACGAGCTCGAGCCAAATATACCACTCGACACGCACTGTTACCACTGAAGGGAGGGGAGGGAAGAGCTCATCGTACACCAAACCAAGTACACATCCCTACTCAAAATACCCTTAGCGCTAGCAGACCTCTTTTCAGACCAAACAGTGTTCAGAAATAGTAATGCTATGAATGCTAAATTGCATCTCACGATTTCAGATAAGTTCTGTTTTGCTTTTCCAGCGTAACCCGTCGAGCCAATTGATCCTTTCGAGCGAAGTCAGGTATTGCTCCAGCCTCCCCCTCTCCCCCCCCCCCCCCCCCGACTCCCGTTAAGTAAATGCACTTCAAACCAATATGTTCGGTTTTTCTTTCGAAACGTGTAATTTTTTTCTCTTGTCGAGTTGGTTAGAGAAAACGCGGCCTACATCTTGATCAATCTGTTCGGCGGAGTTTAAAGACGAAACGCTATTGAGGTGGCAGAAGGTCGAATTTAATTAAAACTTTCATGAATTGCAAATGTCCTAGGCCTGTCACGACTGGTTTACTGGGAGAATACAGTTCTAATGTATGTGAAGTCCTGTTTCCGCTAGAACTAATTTAAGCAACAGCACATACGTGAAGCAATTTCTACTGCATGAATAGTTTCGTGTGACTTTAGACCGCTGCGCTAAAGAACTCAATAATCTTATTCATATGCATCACTGTTATTTCAAAACAAAATGTATTTTTCATTTATTTGATTCCCTTCAGGTATTGTAATTTTAAACAAATGCTAAAAAATGTAAACTTTCTCAAGGTCAAGGTTGCAAAAATATTCGAAACAACAAGATAGCACTGCAAACCGTTCGCAACAGCCTTTTCATTGAAGTGAAATGTTGAGGAAGAGTACACAATTCGCCAGCTTCACTCTGTTGCGTTAATTAACAATTAAAAATATTCTAGTCTTCAGAAAACGGTAACCGACAAATATTATAAATATACGTGATTGCGGAATTGTCATAATCCACGCGTACACTTACTGTGTGTATGTTAACCAACTGATGGCTCGGCATAAATATCGACAACAGTTCCAAATGTCGCTTTAATTTGCAGTCCGAATATTATCAAGAACAACTTTTCACCAAGAGTACATTAAAAGAATGGTTTTAGAAGGAAATAATTGTATATGACTGGCAGTACAATGTTCAGCGGAACCATAGTACTTCGTTGCGAGTTTAATAAACTAAAATTAAAAAATAGGCCCTAAAAAAGCGAGGAAACTTTTGGTAAATTTTTACAAGTGAAACCACGTGCTAAATTCTCACAGTCAAAATTCAAAACAACTTATTAAAATCTTATTAGAAGCCCACACTCGAGGGTGCGAGCAGAATATATTTGCATGTTCTGTTGGTGCTTTGTCGCTTGAAAATTTGGGAAGCACGTACTTCAGTTGAAAAAACAAATGGCACATTTTTGGGACTCGACAAAATTTCGCCAAGATCTTCTCTACAAACTGCAAAATATAGGCAGTCGCTATTCAGCCCGAAGCACTGACTTATATCCTTGTCTTCAAATGTTATCAATTTTAATTTAAATTCAGCATCGAGGATTAAAAAAAAAGTCGTAGAAAGCAAGTCTGCGACATTCTAGTTAGAAGGACCGCCATGCGGAGAAACATGAAAGCCGTCAGTGGAACGCGAAAACGAACTTTAAACTAACAGTTATCAACAAGTTTCATTTTTTACTTACTTGATCGAGGACAGAAGAAGAACAACAATATAAGATGCTGTGGCAAAACCTGTCGATAGTACATCTTCGAATCAGCTGACTATGCAAATGTTAATTTTAAGTTCACTTTACCCGTCGCTGAATATAACGCCGCATTGTATCGCTTCCGGCGAGCTAAAATAATCTCAAATGAATATTATTCTCGGCGCTGAGGTTTTTGTTCCAATCCCCTCGGCTGGATGTGTTAAGGGCATTGTGTACTTTCAATTAAGTTGACTCACGCAAAGAATTTAAAACATCGCTACAATACCACGGTTATGAAATGTTTACTTATCTGACCGAGATTCGATGCGGTTTCACAAAAAGGTCAAACGGAACAAGGGGAAAACATGAAGCTTCGACCACAATCGACAGGCCATTATTTTGATATTTAATGGCGTCAAAGTTTGAAAGAAACCGCGGTTTGTGCTAGCTTGTGTTAAAGTTACGTCATAGGCGGCATTTTCAGTGAGATATATAATTTGAAAGAAGAAAAAAACGGAAGATGTGAAATTTAAATGCATTCCATGACAAGGGAGAAGTGTCCGAAGACACACGTTTGTATTCTAAGATAACTGAACTAAGTGCTCTCGCCACCTGGGTTTTAATGTCCTCTTAATGGCCACATGTGCACCTGTGGCTTTATACACTCAGCGCAAGGATTGTGTCGTAGACAAAACTGTGGATTATTTCTGTTGAAGAGGTTAATAACCCTGAATCCTAGCTCGTGGATGAGCCAGCTGGAGTTACTTGAGCGATAAACAGAAAATGAATTGAACTAATGGATTCTGGTTGCTAAGGGTTTTAATAACCTCTTCACAAGTGGCATTCAATAGCGGAAGGTGTCTTTAACTACAAAATAAATATTCCTTCAAATCATCGAAGTGAATTCTTTCACAGACATTGGTAGGAAATCCTGGAGAGCCTTGTGGACAGAGGTATACCTTAGACCGGTAAAATGGCGCTTGTCAACACCACTGAAAATCTCGCACTCTAAAAATATTTAAACTGAATGCTCTTCACTGAATTGAAAAGAACCAACAGCAGTAGGTGGTTAAATGTTCTTCAAGTACAGTTGCCAAGCAATGTACAACAATGTACAATGCATATGCGAGAATCCTGTCTGACACAGATTCTACACGAAAATTTGCGTGTGTATGTAACAAAAGAAGCTCCTTCGCCTTCTCTAAGAAGAAAAAGAAAGAATACAAAAACACACATAGAAACAAACAAACATAAAGGAATCTACGAATTCTTTCCTGCAGACTCTACACGCATTCCTCCTTTGCCTTAAAGGGACTCCTTTAAAATCAAAATCTGCCAGTAACGTTTGACTTTTACCATCGCATAATTTATGGACAAATTTAGTTACCCTTCTTCCTTAAACAGAATACATTATCACTGAAGACATACGACAAACATATAAAACAATTTTTCACGGAAGGCGAAGTGAATATTGTCGTTAATCCTCGTGACAAAGTCACAGGGATTATTCGACAATATTCGCTAAACCCGCGGGGGATCATTGTTTGAGTATAATTGCTACGGTAATTATCAGAGAAACTGCATTTTATTTCATTAAACTCGTTTCTTCGTTAAGAACATCATAAACTCGTGCAAAGACTATTTTGAAACTGAGTGCTTCAGTATTATTATCAACACGCGCGAGGTGATTCTAGTACGATATGATGTACGTCGCGACCAATCACAGAGTGCACATTCCATTATCACCTGAACAATTATAATAAAAATATTAGGAAGTGCTAAAAAAATCGCTTGTTATTATCTTCACAAGAACTTAAAAAGTAATTATTCGTAGGAATTATTATGTCTGCTTTGTACATAATCTGTTTTTCAATCTAGCTGTGTTGACAAGCACGACCACGCAAACCCCATGTGTATACCAGTAGAAGCTTATAACCGAGGTTACATGCTTCTGATGCCACTTGAAGTGTCAATAAGATTCCCAAAAAATTCGCTAAAGCATCAGTATATTTCAGTACCATTTTCTTTATGCTGGTTGAAGACTTCGTTCTTCTCACCACTTGTGTCTTTGAAAACGTCTTATATTTGTAAGGAGAATTCGTAAGGCCATCACTCGCGTATAACAACGTCTTTACCAGGTTTCTTAGTGACCAATTTCAATTACAAGGTGATTCAAAAACACTTTTGCGTAAGGCACGTGTCCGTCCTTCCAATAATTGAGAGGCTGTCTTGTTATTTTTCAGTCCTCAACTAAAAATAATAACTTTGTCTCTCAAAAAGTTCAGCTGTATCTCGCCTCAAAGTCTTGCATCTCATAGGTTGAGAATGTGGCGTGATTTTTTTAACCAATCACAAAGCACGGTGAAGCAAAGCCAAAGCACTCCTGGATTGCTTTCAGCACTCAGCTGGAAAAATCTTTCTAAGGACCACAATCATTCTGCCACAGATTTGAGCATTTGTCGGACTGCAGGCTCAAGAGCGAGGTCTTCAGCTGTAAGTCCTGAACAGTCTGTTATGTTTCTATCCAAATCATTTACGCGTAATAGAATATCCACACATGCTTCGTGGCCGGCCGCTGAGCTGAGATGGAGAGCTAGGAATACACAAAAAATAACTCTTAACCCTTTACACCCTAACATCAGTATGCATATTCTCCATACTGTTCTCTATACATTTCCTGAGTGCTGACAAGGAGAATTTCTTTAACAATCTAGAGCTTCTTAAGTTGGTGATCATTTCCTTTATTCTTGCGACCTTGATGTCTGATTCAGGGGTGAAATTGTAAGGAGAAATTAAATGCTGGTCACTTTGAGAGGAAAAGGGTTAAGGCACGTTCTACCTAGACACCGTAATCTCTGCAAAAAAATGACTAAAAAGCCTAAAAGTAATAACTGTTTTTGGAAAAAATAGTATTACCTTGAATTATCATTTCAATAAAACCCAACTTATCTTCAAATTTCAATTTAAAACGAATGAGAATGAACTTGGATCGTTTCCCTTAAAAGAATACTACAGCAAAATTTGGCAATGCCCATCTTCCAAATCAAAGGTCAGTTGATGATCGTAAACAAAATCAGTGCCAAACCCATTTTTATTGAAAATCAAGTGAACAAATTTCATGAAAATGCGTTACCAAAGTAACTCGCTGTCTACATTGGAGGCTGAGTGTAACAATGAAACACTTTAAATGTGATCATATTATCATGTAAAAGACAAATGTAACGTCCATGCGTATTGTTCACGAACATCGCCCAAGAAACGAAATTTTAATTAAAGATTCGAAACAATAAAATGGAAACACTGGACACTAATTACTAAATAACAAGACCTAGGGTCTTCTTTTCCTTTACCCTTCACAAAGAGGGTCTGACGTTTGGTGCACAAAAGTTATTTAGATATTCTTTAACCTGTGCAAACTTGCAATGTTTGCTGTGACGTGGTGTTTATGTGCCTCCCATTTTATTAAAGTCTGCCACAGAATTCACCAAATAACAGTAAAACTTGGATATAAAAACTAAAATCCAAAACAAGAAAGACATACCAACATTACCTGTTCTTCCGTTCTTATCCTGCGCGTTTATAACTGCTCCTTTATCTAGCAAAAACTGTACAGTTTGTGCGTGACCCTCCTGTGAAAAGTTACAGGACACATTGTTAACCACCCGTCTAGACTTGGTGAGATAACAACTGGAATACATAGTTGAGGGGAGGGATGGGAAGGCGGGTTTATACCGATTGCAATTACCACGCTCTCACACATTTTCTAGGGTTCCCCCCTGCCTCCCCCCCCCTCCAATCTCCCGACAGCTACCTTTCACTTGATTGCTCCCGTCCCCTGGTTAATTGGAAGGTCCAGACGCCTATGTTTTACAATATTGATCAGGTCATTGAGGGCTTAAAAGATTTATTTAGATCAGAGTTGGTAGAGATACCTAGATGAAGAAAACGGTGCTGCAGTTTACGTTGGGTGAATAACCTCAATACCTTGGCAGCCAGATGTAAAGGAGTCTTTCTTGATTTTTCAGTAAATACATTGACATCTACAGCATACTTTGTAATCAGGAAATTCAGTGACTTGATACAGCCGGCTTGGGAAGCCAAATGAATAGCTTGTCTGCCAAGCTGATCCTTGGCAGTTATGGAAGCCTGCACAAAAAGAAAACGACAATAAAATTATGATGGCCCGAGAGGGGAGGGGAGAGGGGGGATTGAGGGACAGTTTCATTGTTAATGTCTGCCACAGAATGAAAAAAATATCAGGAAAAGGTAAGCAACATTTATTTGACTCCTTGTCACTCCTAGGCACCATTAACAATCTCCTGGACCAGTGGTTTGTTGACTGGACTCTAGGTTGAGTGGTCCAGGACCAAGCTGAAGCCAGGATCATTGGAATTTGTTGTGAGACTAACAATGCCCCTTGTCACTGCAGGGCTAATGCATGAGATAACCTACAACCTTGGATTAGGGACACTCATAAGAATGCTATCCTGATGAAGTTGTAACTCTACAGTTCACTTTATGTCAAAGAAGCTGGGAACTGAGGGAATAGCCTAACAGGCAGACTTCATTTGTGTCTAACAGCATGTCCAATCAACAAGTTGTTGCATTGCAGGATTGCTCAAAAATGTAAATAGGTATGTATCTTCCCACTCTCAATCAGAATTTTGAGCATGCACTTAATCTTTTAACTCCCAAGATCTAAATGTTAATTCTTCCCTCTAACTGGTACACAATTCCTTGTAAATAAGTTATGAGAATTTGGTGTTGGATCAAGATAGCAACTTCTTCCTAATAAGTTTGAGTACTCTCATTACCTGGTGGCTGAATAATGTACAGATGTTACAGGGAGAATTTACAAGTCAATCACTTGTGGGAGTTAAAGGGTTAACACAAAATATGCCAGCTATGAGAAAATTCTTAGCTTGCAAGGCAGGAACATAACTGAAATACCATCAGGAAAGCAGATTTCCTTAAGTGTGGGTGATCTCTCTCTTGCTCATGCTGGTTTACATCATGTGCTCATGGTTAAATTGAGTACTTTCAACAGTGTACATGTTGATTACTTCTTCGGACATAGAGTGAACTGTACCTTGTGTTCATTGATGAGAGTCTCTGCTACTGGCACATGTCCTGCTCGTAGGGCATCCATGAGAGGTGTTGAGCCACAACTGTCAGGACTATCTGGTATGTAACTACATCTGAAACAGCCAATTAACTATTTTTGTTAATGAGTTTTTGATGAAGCACAACCTGAACATACATGTACATGTCCCTAAGAGTTGGTCAAGTGCCCTTTAGCCTGCAGAACAGGTGTTATTTTTTGCCTTTTACAGGCAAATGGGGACAAGTGCTAGGCAAGCATGAATTGTAAGTCATGCTCAAGGGGAGGATGCATGAAGCACAAACAAGATTCTTTACCTAGAGTGTGTTCAAGACATAAATAGTTTCTGCATTAGCTATGCACTTCCTTCCAGAAGTTACCAACTTGGTAAGTCTGATTGTAAAAGTATATTCACCTGCTAATCATGAGTTTTACAGCATCCACTCTACCATGCAGAGCTGAAAAATGTATTAAGAAATTATCACAAAGGCTCTAACAAAAACTAGTTATGTGCATCAGTTGGAGGGATAGCCCTTACATTATAAGTAATAATTATCATATGTTCATTTTGTGATCATTTGGAGACAATTTTTAGTGATCCAGCAGTCAACATTATGCCAGGTAAATATAGAAAACAACGGATTTATCACTAAAAAAAAAAAAAACAATTAAAATGAATGTACTAAAACATATTGGTCTAGATCTGAATATACAATAACTTTAGGACAGCACAATTTAGATAGAGACTTCTCCAATTTCTGAACACCCAGAACTTGCAGGAAACAGCTGGAAATTTAGAATTGAATGATTTTAACCCAGGGTCAGCCAGCTAAAATATTTTTACAAATTTCTGACAAAAAAGAAAAAGTGAATTCTAGTCACCTGCTGTATGAAGAGGTGTCCGTCCATTCTTGCTACAACTGTCCCAAATATCAGCGCAACAATCAAGAAGATAATTCAAAATTTCTACATCCCCTTCCCTATGAAAGTAAATGAAAGTAAAATAAACATGGACATAAAATAATAACTTCCATTTAGTTAGAAAATATGCTAGGATATTTTGCTTCTGGGGACATTACCAGTTGCAAGAGATGAGCAGTATTCTAAGCTACAAAAGGGCCTTTAAGCCTTTAGTCCACTATCTTGCAACTAATTTTTGGAACAGGGAGAAAATGGATTGGCCTAAGAAACTTGTGCCACACTCTCTGAAAAGTTACACATTTGTACAGTTCTAAGAAGCACAGAGGTTTCAAAACCTTTTTCATAAGGGGCTGCAGACAGCAAAATAGGCTGTGTAACGACTGTGCTGCAAGGCCAAACCCACACACCAGAGCCTGATTGCAGGCTAAACAAACTGCAAGGAGGTCTTACAGGTTGCAGTAGACAGCCAGTAACCAGCTTGTATTGAAATCTCTGATTTCACCTCCATTAACTATGTGTAGTTAATGTGGTAAAGTCTTTTAATTTATTTCTAAATCAGCAGGGCAAAGAGTACAACAGCCTCCCCGCACCATTCAATGGCCAAGGATTCTTTTACTGAATTTTCAAAAGAAAATTAAGGACCTTTAAATCATGCTGTAGTGAAATTTTTTAGATTAATGTAGTTAACACATTTACAAGTCTTCATGTTTTTTGGGCCAAAGAGTGCAACAGCCTCCCCCTGCCATTTGAAGGCAATGGATTCTTTTTCCTAAATTTTCAAAGGAAATTAAGGACTTTCTAATCATACCATAGTAACACATCTTTTAGATTGATTTTATACAGTATTTTACTTTAAAATACCATTACTATTTGTAATGTAAAAACTAAAATTAACTTTCAAGACCCCTATTGATACCAGTGTCAAAACACTGACAGGGTTATCCTGTATAAATATTATCATTACTGGTATCATCATTATTATTATTGTTAGTATTATTATATTACTATTACACATACCTGGCAGCAATATGAAAGCAGTTCCAGCCATCTTTATTGGCAAGTCTCAAGTTGGCTCTACTTTGGATTAATTCTCTGATGATATCAATGTTCATCTTGGTGCAAGACATCATCAATGGTGTCCTATACTGACAAACCATCAAAAATGCATTCTATGAACAAAAGCAAAACTGGTAGGCTTTATCGTATGCAAGATATTACATGAACACATACTCTTCAAACTTTTTAACCCTTTAACTCCCAAATCAAATTTGTAATTCTCCTTACTATCAATAATACAATTCTTATAATGTTATTTCAGAGAATTTAGTATTGGATCAACTCATTATCCCCAAATTAATATTTTTCTTTATTCTTATCACTTATCTGGTTGATATTGTATTGGTATTGTAAGGAGAAATTCTGTCTTGGTCACTCATGGGAGTTGAAGGGTTAAAGAGTTTCTAAAGCTCACATTTCAAGCAGTAGCCCTCTGTAAGAGCAAAGAGCTAACGAAGGGCTAACACTCGAAACATCAGCTTTATAGGCTCTTCACAACGGCCACCTACATCACCAATTCAGTTGAGAAAACTAAATTTTCCTGTTCAGACATTATTTGTAATTCTCCTTACAATATTGCTCCCAAGTCAAACACATGGGTCAGGAGAATGAAGAAAATGATCTCTAACCAAAGAAGCTCTTGATTGTTAAACAAATTCTCCTTTTCAGTACCTTAAGAAATTTATAGAGAACAGTATGGAGAATATGGATATTGATGTTAGAGTGTAAAGGGTTAGTAAGCTTAATGTTAAGGTTTACCAGTCCGCTCTCTTCAAACAGTCGATTTCTGCGTTTTTTGAAAGAAGAAGCTTGACACTGTCTAGATGACTACTAGCAGCTGCCTCATGCAAAGCTCGTTTCAAGTCCTTATTTCGCTGTTCAATGTCTACACCGCGAAGAATCAAGAATTTCATCAAATCCAGATGGCCATGGCGTGCAGCGACGATAATTGGAGTGTCGCCCGATTTCAAATGAACACAGTTCAATATGCCTTCCTGATCAGCATTAGAGTCGACCATACTCATGAATTCATCTCGTTTGTTGGCTTGAACCAAGCGTAGAGGGAGAGGATATTCGAAAGAGAGTTGTTTACCAACACAAGTTTCGTTCATGACGTCCGCCATTTTGGTCGGAACAAAACTGACCAACAGAGGGAGAGTGAGTGAAAAATGTTTACCATAAGTATCAGAGCAACAACTTACCTAACCCTCCCCTAGTCATACGCAAGGTAAACATTGGATTAGGGGAGGGGTAAGTGTTTATTACTCAGATACTGACATTGATCCAGTAAAGTAAAGCAAATTTACGAGAGAAAACTATAGAGAAGTGATTAAGATTATTGTCGAGACATTTTCTTTGTTATTTGTAAAATTTTGTTGTAAAAATAGTGACAAATGTGGCCTTTTTTATGATTTCCCGTCCCCACCCCCTGCCTAGAGAGTAGAAAGTTTCTTTAAAAATATCGAGGAGCACTGGGGCGTACAGACGATCGGTAATGGCGGCTAACGAGTGAATTCAAACTGTAAGTCAACGAGGAGTTTTTAAAGTTTCATGGATCGCAATACCACTCCCCGAAAAAAGCGAAATATGCCTATTTCGAATCCACGTCAACGGAGTATTTCACAATATTTTACTCCTAGAAGTGGTATCAGTAAAGAAGACGTGAACTTCCTCGTTAAACCAACTGCAAATCCTTCTACACCTGGTATTGCCACCTCTGATTCTGTTTTGAACGGACAGCGCGGATTCACGAATCAAGTGACACTTCCACCCACACTTGGATTCACTTCAGCCGCTAACATTTATTTGCAAGCTGGAAAACGGTGCTCAGGAGCTCAAAAGCAGTCAATTGCATCTGTGGAGCGCAATCTAGCGAGTGTTACTAGCCAACCGGAGGATTTCCAAATTCCTTGCCATTCCAACTCAAAAACTTGTTCTTCTGAAGGAAAACAAACGCTCATTAACAGACATATACGTATCCCTGACTTTGTGGCTTCATCTTCGTTCTCTTCGCCATCTTCCAGTTCTTGTTTAAGTACACTTACCTCCAGTTTATCATCGTCGAGTCCGTCGGCGCGAAACATGAAACGCGCTCCTCGATCAACCAGAACGCAAAAGAACTTGAAGGGAAAATCTGGAAAAAATCAGAGGAGTGCCCTGAATACCATCTTCGTCAAAAGCGACGATGAAGGTTCTTCAAATGACAGTGACTGCTGTTTAATTATGAACGTTGTTCATGGAAGAAAAGCTAAGCATGATTCTGATGTGAGAGGAAACTCTACATGTAGTTTATCACAAGCTTACTGGAATGATTCCTGCATTCAAAGTAGTCAAGTGAGCCTGGAAAGTGCAGTCAGCAAAAGAGGATGCAATAAAAATAATTCTATATCTTTTCAATCTACTAAGCAAGCTAAAACAAAATCATCATCAAGTTCAACATTTGGTCTTTTTGGTGGTGACATTATTGATTCTGATGAGGAAGCTGATTCTCAAGACTTCAATCAATGCAGTACTGATTTAACTCATTTGCCTGTGGAGATTTTGGAGAACATTTTGTGTCAATTGCCTATAGTGGATTTGATGTTGAATTGTGCCTTAGTGTGCCGTCAGTGGTACAACATAATATCAAAGGATTCTGTAAGTTCAGTAAATATATACTTTTTTCGACAGAAGACAGCATGGTCCTTCCAAATATTTTTTTGTCCTTAAAACATCTTAACCCTTTAACTTCCAGGAGTCAGATTAACATAAAACTACTCCCTACAATATCCACACATTCTTCAGCAAACAGGTAATGAGAATATTCAAACTTATCAGATAGAAGCTGCTATCTTGATCTAACACCAAGTTCTCATAACTAATTTACAAGGAAATGTCTAGCAGCTAGATGGGAGAATTAATAATCAGATCTTGGGAGTTAAAGGGTTAAACCCTTCTACAGATGTATCTTGTAACTTAGGATAGTAATTGTAGTCTTAATACAACTGATTTTGTTTTTTCTTGTTTTATACATTTTAATTTTTCTTTCACATACTGATTTGTATTTTAGTTCATTCCTTGGAAGAAGAAATATTTTCTTCTAAAGAACAAGGACAATTCATCTGAAGATTTTATGATTGAACTACTGGAGAGAAAAGGACTACTAGAGGTGGATTTGTTTCCACTGAATCTCTCAAGGTATATGTAATAATTTTCTATTGTGCACATTTTTAATGGTTATGTATACTGTACCATGTAAATACATGTAGCAACTATATGATAACAGAGCTGCTTGGGATGCAACAAGCCAACAGTTGTGTGAGAGTTTAATGGTTGTATATTAATTTAGCACATCTAATCATGACAACCCTTTTGATGGCCTCAATCCAGGCACTGTTGCTTTATTGATCACAGGAAAAAAAACAGTTATCTTTTAAATGCTAACCCCATGGTGGACAGAGCATGAGAGTAGGAACTTTGCAATATGAAGCAACTAAAACAGAATGATTTTATTAACATATTAACCCATTAGCCCTTAAGAGCGACTAGCAACTAATTTCTCCTCGGTATATCTCCCTGAATCACAGATTAAGGTCATGAGAATGAAGGAAATGATGCCCCCAAAAAAGAAGCTTTTGATCAGTAAACAAATTCTCCTTGTCAGCACCTTAAGAAATGTATAAAGAACAGTATGGAGAATATGCATAATGACATTAGGGTGGAAAGGGTTATTACCATATTAGTTCTATTAACAATGAAAATGTTTTCATTATTTTGTAGTTTTATGAAAGATTTTAAAAGAAAAGGGAGCTTGTCTCTGATAGAAGAATTGAAGACACATTCCAAGTTCCCATTAATAGGGACATTCATGGAAACTCTGACTGGCAGCTCAAAAGAGGTACAATATCACATGATTTTTGTTAGGTGCTTATATAGTTAGTTCGAATGTGTCAGTACTATCTCTTTTCCAGAGGGATGTGCAAATGCTGAGAAGTATGGAGTAGTAGAGCTTTCATGGCTTTTCAAGTGTTCTGTCAAATATGTTGACCAAACTCTACTTGTATCTTGTGAAACATTGGCAAGATCAAAAGTCTTATAGCACTGAATAACAAAGACACATAAATCATGCTTGTATTTCATCAGTCATGCATGAAAATCATATATGCACATCTGACGACTCTGCATCTGAGCGTGTAAAATGCTTCTGCGCAGTTAACATATATCTTAGTGGTACTGGAACTTGTACATGTAATCTTTACAAAATCAGATTTAAAGGATTTCAAAACTGCAGCCGTTAACTACTATTACTATAATGATTATCCACTGAAGATAATTCTAATTTTCTTGATCTCCCAGAAGACAATTGTGTACTAAGTGTTCTCCTTTTAAGGCCTTCATTTACTGCTTTTAGTACCTCTTATTACTTAGTGCTGAAATTGCTTTGAATTCTTGAAAGTTCAACAGTTAAAGGGATTGCTTTACCAGCTTGTAAGAATAATGTGTGACCATGTATGTTAATCATGTGTGTTCATCCAATTTAAGCATACACTCTCTTTGTCCAAGGTTCCTAGTCCTTGGTCTGTTGTAGCACTTCTGACACTGGTTTGCCAAACAGTTTATGAAGTACAAGAAATAGTCCGTTGTTTGACAAGGTCCACTTCCTGTCTGGTCCATGACATTCTGGAATGTTTTTACTGTCTGGCATCAATCTTTTACTACCTAGAGTCACAAAACAGAGTTGGAAGTGGGTATGTCTGCCAATAGATTGGGTTGCTTTAGATCAGATTCTAATATACATTGCTACAATATACACCTACTTGTATGTGCCTAATGATTATTGCACTGTAAGTAAACAAGAAATTTTTGCATGTCAAATAATTCTTAGGATGAAATTATGAAATACATTGATATTCTCTACACAGGGATTTCGATAACTTTTTCCATATGGTACTGCTAATGGTATAGAAGGTGGCTGTACAGTAAGGCAAAAGCAAATCACTCAAGCTTAACCCTTTAACTCCCAGATCAAATTTGTAATTCTCATTACTGTCAACCATACAATTCTTATAATGTTAGTTCAGAGAATTTAGTATTGGATCAACTAACTATACCTAAATTGAAATTTTTCTTTCTTCTCAACACTTATCTGGTTGATATTGTATGGATATTGTAAGGAGAGGTCTCACAGGCAGTAGCTTTTATTTAAACCAAGTTGTAATGCCAATTTAGCAAGATCAACCTGTCAAATGATAAATTTAAGTGATGTTTGAAGTGTTCTTCCTGCCTTTCATACTGTATTTTGTTTTTTTTTTCTCCAATCAGTCTTCACTACAGAGTGTTCTATACACTGTATTTGTATGAGAATGCATTTCAAGCCACACGTGCATCTCTTGGTTCTGTGTTTGGTCAGAATTCTACTGGACAGCAGTCAATGATGCGATACAGGTAATATGGGGACTGATTTTGGAAATTGCTTTTCTAGAACTTTCAGATTGATCACCCACTCTCAGCTATCAGCTAAGATAAAAAATTACCCTACTAGGTACTGTATTATGAGGCTGTTTTTCTTTTTTGCTGATGTAAAATGCCTGATCAGAGAAGCAGAAGAGATATAAAACAAGTGCATGTACTTGTCTATACCACACTTGAAAATCCTGGTGAACAAAGAGTGCAAAATTTTTCTGAAGATTTTTTTGCAGGAGAGTTTTCAGTGTCTAAATTAACTGCAATCTGTCAGCTGCCACCCTTTATGAATGTGAAAGAAATCTGAGGAATAATTTCTTTCCCCATAGGTCATCCTTTGACAAGCTGCAGCTTACCCATGAGCAAGTTCGCATTATCAAACATGATGTCAGAGTGGGAGAGATCATAAAAATTGTAGCATTTGCAGGTGAGATGGTTTTTTTGTAGACAATTAAATACCTGGCTCTGCAATAGGTTAACTGGAAGTGAGTTTTCTGACTGGAAATCTTAATAAGCAAGCTTGGTCCACATTGCCTGGTATGTATGCCATTGTCTAAACTCATATACAGACAAAATTATGTTTATTTAAAGGATATCAGAGAATTCTTTGTCCACTACAAATAATATCTGGATAAAATTCCTGAACTTTCTTTCTTTATGTGCAAAGAATATATAATGTAATTTATACTCAATTGACCACTCCCCAAATGGGGATTTTCACCTGATAAATACAAACAAATTAGGAAGAAAAGTTGTGAAAAAAACTTGATGGGAGGCAGATCAGTTGGCTCTATACAAAGTGCAGCCAAGGAGTTGAATTTAGGACAAGCAAGAACAAATCCAGTGAGAAGCATGGTGGAGGGCTAAAACCTAGCATCACAGAATCCAGCACATTTCCTTAAACTCTTGGCCACACTGCTTTAAGCTCAATTTAGCCCTTTTATTTCTCACGACATTGCTGCTACATTTCTCAATGAAACCCTGATGTAATTTTTGTTTTCAAGGAACTGGTAAGACTACAACTCTTGTTGAGTACACCAAGATGAGGCCTATGGAACGATTCCTTAATGTGGCATACAACAAGTGAGTGAACATACCACGTTGTAAACTTTCTCCTGGAATCTCTTGAGTTGTAAAGGTGGAAGAGAAAGAGACTTTGAAGAGTTAATGAGCAGTCTTGAAACAGAGCTATTTGAAATTTTGAAAACGCTTTTGCTCTGTTTGCACTTGCAGGCGTCTTATTAGGGCAAGCTAACGTTATAAGCTCGCGATCGTTTATCCTGCCGGCGATGTTTGATTTGGAGTTAGAATGTACGGTAGAGGTAGGGAACTGGGGAGGGCGAGAAGACGTTTTGATTTTAGTTGTGTTTCCACAAGCTGCAGTCCGAAATGACACTTTTACCAAGTGTCTTGGTACTCATGATCCGTTCAGCTTAACATATTTACATTTTGTTTCATCTTTTGTTTTGTTTTTTTTGTTTGTTTGTTTTTCTTTAGGTCAATTCAGGAACATGCTGCTAAGATGTTCCCTAGCAATGTTGAGAACCGTACAATCCACTCGCTTGCCTTCAGGAAAGTGGGAGTTAGGTTAGAAGAACAGCATTCTTGATTTTAATGCACTGCAATTTACGCATGTGTTGAGATGTACTAGTACTACTGTAGTTAGTCATTGAGCTTGATTTTACTCGAATGTGGATTACCGTCGTTATTGTGGGTTTTTTTTTTAATGCTTTTGTTTTCGTATGGGTTGCGGCTTTTTATCGTGTTTGTTGTTGATGTTCTTGTTGTTGTGTTTTTACGAATTGAGAAAACTGACAAATAATCTTGCCGATGTGACTCCTAGCTTGATTCTTTGTGAATCCTGCACATGTAGGCGTAGTTTGTATTGTAGTGTGCCGACGAACTCGCTAAGAAAACATCTGGAGGGATTAAAAAAAGAACTGCTAAAATTAAAGTCCGGTGGTGGTTCATGGTTAATTCCCCATGCTCCCCAGAAGGTGCAGAGATGGCTTGATCTAAAGTCTTCATACCAACACTAGAGTACAAAATTCGTATCTACTCGTAGCCATACAACATCCTCTAAAGAATTAATTAATTTATTTAGATACAGACACAAGCTTACGTATCGTCTACGGATCAGTACTATCATGAATGCCCTTCCCTCCAATTGCGGATATCTTCATGCCCGACGCGTTGAAGAAACTCTTAATAACTTCATAGCATCTGCTGACACCACTGTGAACCCCAAACATGTACCAGCAGCTAAGAGAACCTTAGTGGATGTTTCCTCTTCAGAAGGAAGCGAGATTGTGGTATCTATCTTTGGTGAACACGGTACAGATACAAGTTATTTGAACAGTGACCAGTACATTCAGGTAGGTTGATTTGATGTACAAGACGCATAGGTAGATTTATTTTAAACGTACGTGACAGGTGCTTCGAGCGGTCATTTAGCGATAAACAGTCACTGTGGTTTTTAAAACAGAAGCAAAGAAATACACTGAAACTAGCAATGACAAGGCTACTATGAGCGACATCTGGCAAGGGGATCATACGAACCTACGTGACAGTTAAGATACATGAAATAAACAACAAACGAAATTGAAACGAAGACAATCGCTTCGCAACTTTTGGCGCGAACGAGATATTTGGATCGAAACGGGAGGAGTCAGGTGTTAGCGCTTTGGTAGGTTTACAACTGAAAATTCTGTTGAAAACATGGGGTATTGAGGCTAACATGATGGTGTTTGACTGCTTTTGTTATAACTTAACCCCTTGCAACGTGCAGCACCTTTGTTATGTATGAACATAGTATACACGGCCGCGCCAACGTCTCAAAGTTCAGTTTATATGGCATTCGACCATGGAATTCTGTGCACCATTATTAATGCTATTTTGTATTTTGTGGTAACTTAAACGGGAGATGGCAGGAGACATGTCAAAAATGTCGTGTCAGATAAAAAAATGTTGTGTCATTTATTGAGATCAAGCGAGTTTACGTTAAGTTTTCATAGCGGAAGGGTTCATGTGTCCGGAAAGGGCGATATTTGAAAGCCAATTTCTAGCATCTCTATGGATGATATTCGAAGTTTATTATACTAGGCTGTTTTTGTTTTTTCGCTGCTTATGGATACCCGTGGATAAGGTATAGTTGACATGGTCGTCTGAATTTCATTTTAACCGTAGAAAGTTGTCTCACATGCGCATGGCCTATGGGAGAGAATGAAAGATCAAGGAGATAAAGAATTCCCAATCACTCATGATGGTAAGTGTGTAATCTTTTTTTTATATCTCAACGTTTAGAATACAGAACGCACCCGTACTGTAAGTGGGTGCCAGATCCCTAGCCCAGGCCTCTCGTCCAGCGTGCACACCGTGAGGCCACCTTGAATTACAGAATGATTTACACTCATAATTCTTTTTCCAGGTTACCTTAAGATCTATCAACTCAACAGGCCAGTTCTTGATGGATACGACTGTCTCCTGGTTGATGAAGCTCAAGACTGTACTCCTGGCGAGTAAAAGACTCTTTGCATGCATAAGAAACCATTGTGTCCAAAATTATAAATTGATTTTCAACAATAATCCGGTATTTTATTGAATTTGCTTCATTGCTCTCGAAACTTGAACCATTACATTAAAAGTTATAGTTATTTAAATTCGTCTGGATGATATGAATTGGATGCATGTTAACACGTGTCGCATGTTGTGTTGTAGCTGCCTCCGATATTCTTCTCAGTCAGTCTTGTGCAAAGATTTTAGTGGGAGACCCCCATCAGCAGATATATGCGTTTCGCGGAGCAAGAAACGCTCTTCAGGAGGTGAAAGGCACCCACACGTTTTACCTCACTCAGGTTAGTTGGTGACTCTGACAATAACTGTAACGATAGTGATAGCTTCTGCTACTGCTACTGCTACTGCTACTGCTACTGCTACTGCTACTGCTACTGCTACTGCTACTACTACTGCTACTACTACTACTACTAATAATAATGATAATAATGATAATAACAATAACAGTGAGATGATAATGATAATAACAGTTATTAATATTACTGGGAAGAATAAAAGAAATTAGGAAAGGAAGGAAGAAAAAGACAGAGTGAAAGAAAGAAGGAAAGAAAGAAAGAAAATAGTGTTGTTTTTTACAAAGCATCACATGTAACTAAATGAAATACAAAACAAGAAAAAAAACAAAACAAGAAATTAAACAACGAAATCAACGAATAGATAAAGAAAAATGAATAGTTCACTGAATAAGTGACACATAACCTTTAGATTCCTCAACAAAAACAACAACAAAATAACAGCAGCAATAGACACTAAATGGGGGTGGGGGGGGGGGGGTGGAGATATCTCCGTTTGGTTGTAGTAGTTGTTTTTGTTGTTGTTTTTGTCACGACGTGATGGTTATACAATATAGAAGCATGGAATTCGCTTCAACGCACATTTCTATGTTTCTTCACTGTAACAGAACGTGTGAAATCTTCTTACACTTGAATTCTGTTGGTTTACAGTCATTCAGATTTGGTCCGGAGATAGCTTATGTTGCGTCTTGTGTTTTGGACGTGTTGAAAGGTGTGCGAAACAAGACTTTGGTTGGAGGAGCTAAGAAAGGTAGATACCACACCTGAAATTTATTTAAATTGCAAAGGTTATTTGTAAGATCAATACTGTTACTGAACCAATTCGTTGCCGTAAATATCACTCATTGATATAAATCTGGGTTTTAGCATTAAGTTGGTGTCGCTTTACTGCCTTCTTCCATTGGTCTCAAAAACTTCCGCCGTCACCTCAACCGGTCTGATGCAGAACCAAAACCAGTTTTGACATGGTACCTGTCATTCTCCCGCGCTCAAGGCAGTCGACTTGTTTCTGCTTTGTTTTCCCACTGGCCCCCTGGTGATATTTTACTTCATTCTGTTTGTCCATCGCGACTAATCTGGTTTTGATTTCACGACACACAGTTGTAAGGCGTCCGGCGTAAGTTAGTTGATAAGGGTGCGTTACTAGCCTTTGAAAAATCTTTCATTTTTTATGACTGTTAGGGTTTTGATCAGCACAATGGATCTTTATGTTATGTATCGTTCATTTTGTAGGCTCAGTGCTTGGTGAACAATCCGGTCAGCTGTGCGTGATTACACGCTGTAATTATACTCTGTTCAACGAGGCTGTTAATGTGTGCTGTGCGAACAACGACAAAAGAGTTGGTTTTGTTGGGGTGAGGCGTGATTGAAAATTTTTTTTTTTCATAAGTTCGTGTATCATCTGACCCGTGCGGCTCACCGTTTAAGAGGCGTGCGCGGTAGCACGAGCTGGGTTAGAAAAAATTATGCGTACGGCCCTGTGAGATGCAAAACCGCTAGAAGAACGGTCAGAGCGGCAGGTGCATGATAAAATGATTATCGACTGGGCTAAGTCTTGTCGGACAGGGAAAATACATCAGTACTGTTGGGAGGATTCTTTTTCAGTCACTTTTGGGACCATGCCTTGAGTCATGTCTAGAGCATACAATTCTTGCTGAGAACGAAATACAGGAAAATAATCATGCTTACATGAAGTACAACACAAACCGGCACACGCGAGAACATTCGTCCACATCTCACATCAAACTGTAACCTTAAACGAGTACTTAAGATACATTTTGCTTACAAACATCATGCTATTCCTTCTCTCTCTTTTCAGGGTCTTAAAAGCCTCGCGCTTGATCGAGTGTTGGACATTCACAAACTGTTTACTGCTGATACAAACAAAGGTAAGTGACATGAAACACGATGGGGATTGTCAGTGATAGATGCGTGTATGGCGGACATACTTCACCAGCTTTAAAGTGGAGTCTGGTACAAAAAATACCAAAAACACTCGAGTATTGTCGGCTAGATGATAGGACCTATAAATGAGGGTTAGATCATTGTTTGTGATAATTTTGCATGTGTGGGCTCTGATTGGTCATTAGGCCATTTCCGATTTACCTTTGCCTCTTTTTCAAAACGAGGCGTGGTGCTTAACCATTCGTACGACAATGAGTTTAATTTGCATGTGAATGAAAAATTATGATCATAGGAAAGGATGAGCACCAGGACTCGCGTTGAAAATGAGGCCAAAGGTAATTCGGAAATAGCCTATTATCGGGTCTTTTCCTGGTGAATCATCCCGGACGACTTGAATGCAACAAATAATTAGTTATTTTCAAAATGATTCCAAGCTATTTCACGAATTTCTAAAGAAAAAGAAGCCAAAAACAAACGAAATAAAATGCGGTTGCTCTGATAACCACTCATGTAATGATACTGAAAAACAAATTTATTCCCTGCGAGGTCGACGATTGTCCAATGATCGCTTCAACTTTTACTCTAAGATTGGCCGTCATATCATGTCGCCTGCAACAAATAACTGTGATAATGTCATCTAGTCAACGCTACTTTTATTAACAGTGTTTTCTCCAGGGGTAAGCAGTGTTTCGTTTAGTTATGAGCTTTTATGCACTTTGAAACAGTTCGCAGATCGATGAAAATTAAAGAAAAAAATGACATGGCTTGGAGCATAAATTGTTTCTTTTTCTTGTAGCGCACTCAGGAATCAAGGACGCTTTAATCAAGAAATTCCGTTCATTTTCTGAATTGAAGAAGTATGCGAAATGTGCTCCTGACCCAGAACTGCTTGGCAAGATTAAGGTTTGTACCACGCCTTTATGGTTAAAAGGTTACTCGATATCTTACAAGATCCTCAGCTTAGTCAGACAATGAGATACGTTATTTCACGAGAAACCACAACAACTTTTGACGTGGATACTTTTTGACCGCGTCATCAGTTTTGCTTTACTTCGCTCTGTGATTGGTCCAAAAAACGCGCGCCACTCTCAACCAATCAGATACAAAACTAAAAATAAATGCAACTCAGTCGCGCACGTTTGTCCAGCGTCTTAGGCAATGTGCTTTCACTATTGAAGTTACTGTGGTTTTTGTTGTTTTTTTATTCGTTCTTATAAATAAATCAAATACAGTTTACTCAAATGGGAAGCAACTACACTTAAGTTTCACTTGTTGTTTCAGATCGTCGAGACACATCATGTCATGCTGCCGCAAAGGATAGAGAAGATAACTTCCAAAGCCGTTGGAAACCTACGGCAGGCGGGTAAGAAAGTTAAGATATTGTGAAGCTCCATAATTGTTGGTCCCTTTTAACTGGGAAAGGAAATTTTGTGAAATTTTATAAACCAAACGGAACAAGAGAAAAAAACCACAATTAACCGATAGACAAACAAGTAAAAACTGTTTGTAACCAGGTACATATCCACGATTTCTAAGAGGCTCGAAAAGTGCGGTCTGTAAAGGCAAGGCTATTTAGAAGGAAAAAGAAAAACAAGTACAAACGCAAAAACAAAGCAAAACAAGCAAAAAACTTCTTTCGCGAGCATTAGTCGACTACTTCAGGTTACATGTATGCTAAAATGAAATCATAAAGTGGCTGCAAGTTAGAGAGGGTTTCTATGGAGTTTCGAATATAATCTGATTGCCTTAATTTTCTTACTGGTCTTTATCTTACTCTCTGGGTTATATGCACTCTTCATTGAGCTGAAGGTGTCATGTTCGCGCTTTTCCTTTTACCACTTTGCTAATACATCTGCTGGCACAGTTTTCCAGCTACAGTCACAATCCCTTTCGCTACGCAGCTACGTTTGTCTAATGAAGCCTTAGCATCTTCTGATGTGTTTATCATTTCTACCTTTGTTTATTTTTGTTTTTGTCTTCTTCCTCGCAGATATTGTTTTCTCCACAGCACACAAAGCCAAAGGGCTTGAATTCGACACAGTTCGCGTCACAGATGATTTTCTACCTGGAACAGACATTGGTGTGCCATTACGTAAGTAAAACATTTTTTTATGAGTGGGTGAGGTCAGGTGTAAATCCTCCATCCTGGTGGGGATTCACACCACCGCCGGCTCTTTTTTTTGCTCTCGGATAGTCTAACATCCCAACTACAGAAAACACTGAACTTGTTTCTAAAACTTCACTCTTCAACTTCAACCACTGACTGGCGTTGCCTCGCACCGCAGGCAAACAGCATAATGGTTATCGAGAAAATTTATGTACTAGTTATCTATGTCTCTGTTGTACAGCATTTCAGTCTTATGTTTATTTACCCATCCTTTCCGCCAAAAAACCGGAGCCAGGAGTATTGTCACTACTACTTTCGCCTACTATTGTCCAGCAATATGTCAATAACCTTTTACTCTATGCCGGCGTCCATTGATGCTTCTGAGTAGCGGAAGACACTGTGACACTCAAATGCCCAAGGGCAGCGCAAAATAATCTCGGGCGTGGATTAGACCCAGAATCTGCGACCCAGAATCTAGTTTGTTAATCAGTTCTCCCCTCTAGCTGCTACATATTTCCTTGTAAATTAGTTACGAGAATTTGGTGTTAGATCAAGACGACAACTTCTACCTGATAAGTCTGAGTATTCTCATTACCTTTTTACTGGATAATGTATGGATATTATTGGGAGAAGTTACATGTTGATCACTTCTGTGAGTTAAAGGGTTAAACACAAGACAACCAGAATTCCCTTTCGATTCAAGTTGCCTGTGTAATATGTTTAGATGACCATGGTGAAGATGAAAGAAACCTAGTGTATGTCGCGGTTAGTCGAGCAAAGAAGTGCCTCCAACTCAATAGTACAATTCTCAACATTCTTGGGTACAGAAAGGTAAGCCACACGGCGTAACATGAACTGAAGCTTGCCCTGTATTGTTGTATGTACCTCGTTTTTTAGTTCTGCTCCTTGACTTCACTTGTTTAGCATCAGTTACGAGTACATGTTTTTGAACCTTCTGATTAGTTTATGTTTTTGTCACTTTTAGGAACATTTCGTGGAGTTGGTATCACCGAAGGAGTTGTCTCAGGTATCAGTCGTTCTGACAAACGGCTAACACTCGAAACATCAACTTAAAATTCTCTCCGGTGGGCAATTTACATTATCAACTTAGTTGGTAAAACCAAATTATCTTTTTCATTTGCAGCCGGCCTTCTGTGTAAACTGTAAGAAAGATGTCGAGTTTTCTCCGCGGCCTCACGTTGTGATTCAGAAAGAAAATGTTGTACTGGTAAGCTGAAAACTTCGCAAGTGGATTTTGTTTTGATGATAGATTTTCCAATTGTGCGTGATAAAGTACGTAATTCTTAAATGTGTGCTCGTGTCCAAGAGAAAAGTGCGTTGGTCAGCACATCATAGGCATGTGTGTACACACGTGCGTGCAGTGCGCTTTTGGTGTGAATGTGAGTGAGTATTGTGCAGGCTTGTTCGTTTGCTACGTGAAGGATAGTATTGACAACCTTATCTTATTTTTGTCAACTGTCTGGGATATTTAGCTTTTTCTTGTTGTAGTTGTTGTTTCATTGTGTTTGCTTTTGTTGTTGTTTGTTTTTTTCTGTACTAGAACCGTAATGATTGGCACCCTGTAGTTATCTGAGCAACTGCTCACCTACTCTCCCCTAAAACCAAGCATTAACCATGACTTGTTCTCAGTTAACTGTTGTTGGGGGAGGGGTATAGGTGCCAGTTGATCAGATACTTACATTGATCCGACGTTTTCGTAGACAAATTTTTCCTTGCCTAGTCTTCCTTGTCTCTTCAGTCTTCCTTATAAATTTACGCGTCCAAACAGAGGGTGACGGGGAAGGAATGCATAGAATACAGAAGAATTGCTGCGAAGGAGATTAGTGTACTTGCCGAGGCTGCAAAACCTCCGAGCCAGTGTACTTGTGGCTATAAAACCGTTTTCGTCTTAACTCTGCTGAGGTTTTCTTTTTTTTCTCAAGGGTGGAAACGTGACAATGGCTGGAGGCGTTCTTTGTCCTACGTGTGCTGTTGATACAATACCACATTTAGGATGTCTAGTTTCTGTAAACAAAGAAAGTTGAGTGCTTCATTTCCAAGGGCAGAATGTTAATTGAATGATGTATGAAAGAGCATATAGAATTAGATGTATCAAATTTTGTACTTATTTTAAGATAGTTATAATGATATTAATGCATATGATAATAACGGTAATAATAAGCAATTAGTGGTGAGTTTAAGCATGATATCATAAGTTATCAAAACCGACGCTAAGGCTGATAACACAGATGCGAGGTTTGATAATTCATGATATCGAGCGAAAACCGAATTCTATAATTGTTTTATTACACATTTTGTCAACAATCTGCAAAAGAAGACACTTTCCCTGAGTTTGAAAAAGTTTGGAAACACTACACGGACGAGAGACTTGTAAAATAAGGGAGACTTTGAACTCGACATGATAAATACCTTATCCTCTGCAGATATTGCATTTATTATGTCATCTTCACACGCTATTGTAATTCAGATTTTCATAGTAACTCTAATGTATGGTAATACTATTACTTTTTCTTTCTGTTTTATTTAATCATGTCATCTCCACACGCTATTTATCTTAATGGAATGCTCGTGCTAATTCATATTTTTCATAGTAAGTCTATTATATAGTAATAAATATCATTTTTCCTATTCAGATTTTTCATAGTAACTCTAATGTGTGATAAATAATGGTAATTGAACTGAGTGAAGTGCAATTTGGGCTGAAATCATACGCGTGATTTCAAAATCGAACAAGCGCGCAGCGTGAGTTCGATTTGAAATCATAAGTATGATTTCAGACCAAAATTGCTCAACACGAGATTCAATTACCACTTTATTACACCCATTTTGAAATCGCTCAAATACAGGACTTGGTCAGTTCAAATTTTTTTTTAATTGATGCAGTACTTAGCCGGTTTGAGATTAAATTCATCCATTTTTTGAGGGGAAAAAATGAGAGTTTTAGAAACAAAAGTTGCAAAATTTGCCACATGATACTCTTTGTCTTTCAAGCCTTGAAATCTGATTGGTTGTTTTGTTCTCAGTATAGCCTCCTCATTGGCTGGGAAAAAGATGCGATTTAAAGCAAAAAAAAGTGGTGCGATTTAGAGCTAATCAGATTACAGGGACCACCAGTGATTTCAAAATGGGTGTAACCTTTTTTTGTTTTTGTTTTTTTAATCGCTTGTTTTTGAGAAAAGCTGGTGGCCGCGAAGTTGACATCCGTTCAAAACGGTAGAATTGATTTATCAGTATACATTCTTGAACAAGCTTTACGTTGCCTTACATCGTTGTTAAAAGGAAAGTACGGTTTAGAAAAGGTTACCTAATTCAGAAGTTCCTCAATTGCGTTGTACTTACTGGCCATCCATTTGAGCTAAAAACATCTTTGTTACGATTAATCCCGTTCCAAAACTCGAACCACTGAGCCACAGACTCTACGGTGGGTGAGGTCCATTACGAAGTTCATATGACACGCGTCCCGCATACAGCTGGGATCAGCAATGTCGGTAGCGTCATGCCCTGTAAATAGAATAAGAGAGATTGTATGTTTTGAGCTCGGTAAGTAAATAGAGAAAGATGCCTGCATATCATCGGATCTGTATAGAGATTGACCCCCACTCTCATAGTGCCTGTACAAGGCTAAATGAAATTTTTCCACCAGCTCTGCAAGATTATATATAGAAATTGCAGTAATAGTGTATTAGACCAGTCACGGTGAGTTATTTAGAAATATTTTCAACAATGAGCATGTGTTTACTTGTAAAATATGAGTACAGTGCAGAACCTTTATCAGTATTATTATTATTACCTGATTGATGATGTCTTGTAGATGTTTGACCCTGCAGGTGCAATCATAGCATAAGTATGATTATTAGCAAAGCTTAGCAATATGGTGGATTGGTTACCTTTCTTAGATTATGTCCAGGCATAAGTAAGGTAATTACCATGATTGGTGCTGAGAAATTAGGGGAACCAGTCTGTGCACCAATTTTCTGACACTCTGTTGAGCTATTGAGCTGTAGAGCAGCAAGTTTTGGGGCATACATTTAACTGCTATAGCTTGTTAATCACATTGACCATCTGTTGAGTCTGCTTGGCGCTCCAACTGAATTTTGCATGGCACTCCATCTTCATTTTGCATGAATATTTTTGTTTAAGTTATTGATCTTCTGGTGGAAACAAGGTGATAATTATGTCATCGTTTGCTTTATTGTTTATTATGTAAATACTGATGACAGCCTTTAAATATAACTATCTAACGTTTTTCTTCTTACTGGCTTTTTATAAGTGGTCTTCGAGGCAAATGTTTTGTCGGCATTTCTCCAACAACTTGTGTACCACAGCGTCCCTGGTTGATAACAAGTCTCACCTATTTCCACCCTTGTAAATTGTTTGTACAGTCTAGTGGGGATAGGTGTATCACCTAGAGTGGAGGAATGTGAAGGTAGTAGGCACGATCAGATGTTGCCCCTTTTTCCAAATTGTTGATAATGACATTCACACAACATGTCCTGGTTCCACCTCTGCCACTCAAGTCATTTCAGTGTTAAAGGCAATTATGCTTCCTCTACAAGAAGAGCAAATATTTTCGCCATAAGTGCCATAATAATAACAATAGCCATGTTACGAACGCTCAACCTTATTACTAAAATTCACACCTGTGGCCGAATTTTTTTTCGTTGGGAAAGATATGTTGCAGAGCAGGTTCGAAAGAAACTTTCTTGAAAATGGGAGCCTTATCTGTTAAGGCTAGAGCTTATCCTGCGAAAGAAAAACAAGCAATATGAATTTTAAAAATGCCGTCATATCGCTACTATAGTGTTAGTATGGAAATATTGTCATTCCCATTCCTCTTCGCGCGTCAATTTTCGCGCGCATTTTTAAGCATGCGCACTCATTTTGCCGCTGTGTCAACCGCATGTAAACTATGACATTTAGACATTTAGTGCTTACGATTGAGTTTTATCACTAGCGATTGATATATTTGGCATAGATGGCTTCCCATACTAAGCAAGCTAAAACAAAATTATCGTCAAGGTCAACATTTGGTCTTGTTGGTGGTGATGTTATTGATTCTTATGAGGAAGATGATTCTCTAGATTTCAATCATAGTAGTACTGATTTCAGTCATTTGCCTGCTGAGATTATGGAGAATATTTTCTGTCAGTTACCTATCGTGGATTTGATGTTGAATTGTGCCTTGGTGTGCCACCAGTGGTATAACGTAATATCACAGGATTCTGTAAGTAAATGTGCTGTAAACATAAGTTTTTGCTTGTTTTTAAATAGAGGACAGCTTGTGAATATGGAAGCGATCTTTGCAGTTATAAACACTACTTAAGCAGTAGTGAAAGTAAGGCCTGAAAAAAATTCAGGCCTATACGGGATTTGAACCCATGGCCTTTGCGATACCGGTGCAGCGCTCTACCAACTGAGCTAACAAGCCAACTGGGAGCTGGTCATTATGTTGGTTCCAAATAAACCCGTCAGGAAGTGGTGAATAAACGACTGTGAATATATGAAAGTCATATTCCGTTCAGGCCTGAACTTCTTTTCAGGCCTTATTTTCACTACTGCTTAAGTAGTGTTCATAACTACGAAGATCGCTTTCATATTCACGTCTTTATCCACAGTTCAAATATATGACTTTCATATATTCACAGTAGAGAACAGCTGGTCTCAAAGTTTTTTTAATTACAGAGTAAGTGGATTTCTAACTTTGTAATTGTTGATTGTAATCGAAGATGACATTGTCTGTGCAGCATGTTCACTCCATTGAAGGTCAGATCTCAGAGAGGAGAGAAATATACCGGTAGTTTAACCCTTTGATTCCCAGAAGTGATTAATATGTAATTTTTACCTAAAATATCCCTACATTATCCAACAAACAAATTAATCAGGCAGAAGATGTCATCTTGCTCCAACAGGAAATACTCACAACTAATTAACAAGGTAACATGTAGTAGCAAGAGGGGAGAATTAACAATCAAATCTTGGGAGTTTAAGGGTTAATAACTCTTTTTTTGTCCTTAAACATCTCACTCTCTATCTTGTAACTTAGGGTAGTGACTGTGGTCTCCATGAAACTGATTTTGTTTTTCTTGTTTTATGCATTTTAATTGTGCTTTTACACATGCTAATTTGTATTTTAGTTTATTCCTTGGAAGAAGAAATATTTTCTTCTAAAGAATAAGGACAATTCATCAGGAGATGTCATGATTGAACTACTGGAGAGAAAAGGACTTTTAGAGGTGGATATGTTTCCATTGAATCTAGCAAGGTATTTGTAATAATTTTCTGTTTTAAAAGTTTTAATGTAATGTTTAAAAAATGAGCAGCAGCATTTTATTGGGTTTAAAAACACTAGTGCTGCAATTTTTTTTAACAGCTTTAAAAACCCATGCCTCTCTTGAGATTTAGACAAAGGTGACATGAATGGATTAAAGGTTAATTATATTCAGATAGGAAAAGTGCTCCATGTTTGGCTGCAGTCAAAGAGTCAGAGTGCTTTTATTTGAAATGCTGCCCAAGTGCATGTTTAGAGAACCAAAAAGTGCAGAGGAGGGGAAGGATTACTTGGAAACAGACAACGATAGATGGGACATTTCTTCTCTAAGAGAAGTAATGTTTCACCATAAATTGGATGCTATCTGTAGTAAATTATTCTTCTTTGGATTATTTTCATTAACACTCAATGTGTAGAAGCTTTTTGTAAAGCTTTGTCACAGTTGTAATTTTGCAGTAAAAAATCAGTTACAAACTGATTCAGATGTTCAAGCAAGCCATTAAATTAAATTGATTTGATGGAAAAGAATGTGGCTTGTTAGACAGCATGCTAGAGTACGATCTTGGAAGAGTTATTGATCAAATGTGATTTATTTCACTTGAAGTCCTATCATGAGGACAACTGAGTGTTGTATTGTTTAGACACTAGGAAGTTGGTGACATTTTTAAGGATGAACTAAATGCGAATCACCCCATTGAGCTCAGCATAATGATCATTTGATGGCTTTCTAAGTATTTGGCCTTGGGTGCAGAAAAAAATGTAATGTAACAGATTTTTTATTGAAAAATTACAATTGTGACAAAGCTTTGCAAACTTCACAAAGCCTCTACACATTGAGTGCTGATGAAAATAATACAGCCTTGAAGAAGAATAATTTACAACAGATAGCATCCAATTTATAGTGAAACATAAATGTTCTTAAAGCAGAAATGTCCCATCTATTGTTGTCTGTTTTAGTTGTTGTTGACAGAAATAAAACAGGCAAACCTTAATTTAGAAATGACATACATTCTTCCATATCATTGGTTTGTTGAGGAGCTTAGTTCCTGAAGAGCAAGGCTCATATTACAAACCAAATCTGATTTGTTGATACAGTAACTTATTTCCCAAAGAAGTCATCAAAAATATATTTGAGATCTGATTGGTTCATTCAGGAACTAAGATACCTAAAATGTCAAGTACATTTTAAAATGGTGAAGTATTTTTAAACAGGGATGTGTTGTATACTGTATTGTGTAGATGGCAACCATACATGTACATGTATAATAATATATGATGAGAGTGGTGTGTGGGATGCAGTTGGGGCAGGTGGGGGAAGAGGTGGTGAGTGGAGCCAGCATTTTCATCAGAGTTTAATGATTTTCTGTTAATTTATCAATTCTAAACATGATGACCCTTCTAATGGCCTCCACCAAAGCACTGTCACATTAATGATCACAGGAAAAAGACAGACAGCTTTGAAATACTCACCACAGGGTGGGCAGAGTATGAGAGTTGGAACTTTGCAATATGAAGCAAATAAAACAGAATGACATCACCCCAACAGGAGAGGTGTAGATTCTTAAAGCTTGACACCTGCATGGTTGAGTGACCACCTGTCACCAAACTTTGTCTTAGGTTCTACTTTGTCTAACTTGCATTTGGCTATTTTAAATTTGTTTTTTTTTTTTTATGGTTTTGTAGTTTTATGAAAGATTTTAAAAGAAAAGCAAGTTCATCTTCAATTGAAAAGTTAAAGACACATCCCAAGTTCCCTTTGATAGAGACATTCTTGGAAACTCTTACCAGCAGCTCAAGAGAGGTACAACATATCATGATTTTTGCAAAGTGCTTAATTAATATTTACTTGGTGCTAGTTTGCTTCACTTTCTCTTTTCGAGAGGAGTGTACAAGTGTTGGAGTATGGAATAGTAGAGGATGAATGGCTTATCAAGTTCAAGAGCTGTGTCACATACACTGACCAACATTTACTTTAATCATGTGGAAATATTGACAAGATCAAAAGTCTAATTTGTAATCTTCACAAAATCAACAAAAATTTCTAGGATTCCAAAACTGTAATTCTCAACCTTATGATGATTATCAAGATAATTCTAATTCTCTTGATTTGCTAAAGAAACAACTGTGTACTCAGTGTTCTCCTTATTAGGCAGTAACAGTTAAAATTTACCATCTTTTGTACCTCTTAATACTTCCTAAAATTGCTTGGAAGTTAAAAGTTCAACAGTTAAAGGCATTGCTCTACCACTTTGAAAATTTATTTTACCTGTCATCCTCAGAATAATTATGGGAGAAGACTTTGTAAAAATGATGTGTGACAGTATCTGCTAACCCTTTAATCCCTTAGAGTGATTAGTAACTATTTTCTCCTATCAGTATTGCCCCTAAAACAAACATTTAGGTCATGAGAACAATGGAAATGATCACCTACATAAGAGGCTCTTGATTGTTAAACAAATTCTCTTTGTCAGTACCATAGGAAATGTATAAAGAACAGTGTGGAGAAAATGGATACTGATGTTAGGGTGTACAGGGTTAATGATGTGTATTGACCCAATTTAAGCATACACTGTCTCTGTTCAAGGTTCCTAGTCCTTGGTCTGTTGTAGCACTTCTGACACTGGTATGCCAAACAGTTTATGAAGTACAAGAAATAGTCCATTGTTTGACAAGGTCCACATCCTGTCTGGTACATGACATTCTGGAATGTCTTTACTGTCTGGCATCAATCTTTTACTTCCTGGAGTCACAAAACAGAATTGGAAGTGGGTATGTCTGATGATAGAATGAGTTGCTTCAGATTTGATTCTGAGATTCACTGCTACAATATTAAAACACCTAATTGTATGTGCCCAATGATAAGTACACTGTAAGAAGCAATTAATTTTTGTACGTCAAATAAATCTTAAGGTGAAATCATGAAATCCATTGATATTCTATACCACAGAAATTTCAGTAACTTTTTCCATATGGTACTGCCAATGGTGTAAAAGGTGGCTGTACAGTAAGGCAAAAGCAAATCACAAGAGCTTAAACAGACAGCAGTGAGAGGTCTCACAGGCATTGAAACCACTGCAATGCCAATATAGCAAGATTAACCTGTCTTATTATAAATTAAAGTGATGTTTGAGGTGTTCTTGCCACCTTTCATCCCGCATTTTATTTTTTCTCCAATTAGTCTTCACTACAGGGTGTTCTATACACTGTATTTGTATGAGAATGCATTCCGAGCCACATGTGCATCTCTTGGTTCTGTGTCTGGTCAGAATTCTACTGAACAGCAGTCAATGATGCAGGACAGGTAACATGGGGACCAAGTTTGGAAATTTTATCTCTAGAACTTTCAGATTGACTTACTCAATCTCAGCTATAAGCTCATATACTGCTTTTTGCCTAAGATAGGAAATTACCCCACTAGGTATTACAAAGCTGTTTTCCTTTTTCGCTGATGGAAAATGCCTGATCAGTTAAGCAGAAAAGATATAAAACAAGTGGATGTACTTGTCTATACCACACTTGAAAGTCCTGGTGAACATGGCATGCAAAATTTACTGAAGATTTTTTACAGGAGAATTTTCAGTCTCAGCATGGAGTGCAATCTGTCAGCTGCCACCCTTTGCGAATGTGAAAGAAATCTGAGGAATAATCTCTTTCCCCATAGGTCAATCTCTGACAAGTTGCAACTTACCCAAGAACAAGTTCGCATTATCAAACATGATGTCAAAGTGGGAGAGATCACAAAAATTGTAGCATTTGCAGGTGAGATGGTTTTTTTTTAGATATTAATTATATACCTGGCTCTGCAATAGGTTAACTAGAAGTGAGTTTTCTGACTGGCAATCATAACAAGCAAGCTTGGTCTGTCTTGCCTGACATGTTTGCAATTGTATAAATTGTATATATACTGTACAGACAAAAGGATATTTATTTAGGATATCAGATAATTCTCTGTCTACACGTCTTCAAAGAATTATCTGAATGAAATTCTTGAACTTTCTCCATTCATATGTACAGAGTATGTAATGAAACGTATACTTAATTGACCTCTCCCCAAATGGGGATTTTCACCTGAAAAACACAAACAAATTGGAAACAAAAATTTTGAAAAAACGTGGTATTTAAATCCCAACTGGTAGGAGGCAGACCAGTTGGCTCTATACAAAGTGCAGCTAAGGAATTGATATGGGGGCAAGCAAGAACAGATTCAGTGAGAAGTAGGGCAGAGGGCTTGAACCCATGACCACAGATTCCAGCACATTGCCTTAAACTTTAGGCCACACTGCTTCAAGCTCAATTTAACCCTTTTATTTCTCACTACATTGCTCATTGCTGCTTCATTTCTTAATGAAACCCTGATTTAATTTTTGTTTTCAAGGAACTGGTAAGACTACAACTCTTGTTAAGTACACCAAGATGAGGCCTAAGGAACGATTCCTTAATGTGGCGTACAACAAGTAGGTGAACATACTACATGGTGTAAACTTTCCCAGGAATCTCTTGAGCTGTAAAAGTGAAAGAGAAAATGACTTTGAATAGTGAATGGGCACTCTGGAAACAGAGCTATTTGAAAATTTCAAAGTGCGTTTGCTTTGTTTGCACTTGCAGGCGTCTTATTAGAGCGAGTGAACGTTATAAGCTCGCGATCGTTTATCCGACCGGCCATATTTGATTTGGAGATAGAGTAGACGGTAGGGGTAGGGGACTGGGGAGGGCGAAAAAACGTTTTGATTTTAGTAGTGTTCCATAAGCTGCAGTCAACAAAGACACTTTTACCAAGTGAGGTACTTGTGAACAGTTCAGCTTATCATATTTTTGTTTTTGTTTGTCTGTTTGTCTTTAAGGTCAATTCAGGAACATGCTGCTAACATGTTCCCCAGCAATGTTGAGAACCGTACAATCCACTCGCTCGCCTACAGAGAAGTGGGAGTTAGGTTAGAAGAACAGCATTCTTGATTTTAATGCACTGCAATTACGCATGCGATGAGATGCTCTAGAAAACTAGCAAATCATCTTGCCGATGTGATGCCTAGCTAGATCCCTTGTGAAGCCTACACATGTGGGTATAGTGTGTATTATAGTAGACTAGACGAACTCGCTTAGAAAATATCTGGAGGGAGAAAAGAGAACTGCCAAATTATAGTCCGGTGGAGGTCAATGGTTGATGCCCTATGCTCACCAGCAGGTGCAAAGATGGCCTGATCTAATCTCTTCATACCAACACTAGAGTACAAAATTCGTATCCACGCGTAGCCATACAATATCCTTTAAAGAATTAATTCATTTATTTAGATACAAACACAAGCTTACTGGTGGCTTACGGATCGGTACTATCATGGATGCCCTTCCCTTGAATTGCGGATATCTTCATGCCCGACGCGTTGAAGAAACTCTTAATAACTTCATAGCATCTGCGGACACCACTGTGAACCCTAAGCATGTACCAGCAACCAAAAGAGCCTCAGTGGATGTTTCTTCCTCAGAAGGAAGCGAGGTTCTGACATCTATCTTTGGTGAATATGGCTCAGATACAAGTTATTTGAACAGCGACCAGCACATTCAGGTAGGGTGATGTGATTGAGAAGATGCACAGGTAGATTTATTTTAAACTTAAGTGACAGGTACTTCGAGCGGTCATTTAGTGACAAACAGTCGCAGTGGTTTCAAAACCAGAAGCAAAGAAATACACTGAAGTTAGCAATGACAAGACTACTATGAGCGACATCCGGCGAGGGGATAATACGAACCTACGTGACAGTTAAGATACATGAAAGAAACAACAAACGAAATTTGAATGAAAACAATCTGCTTCGTAGCTTTTGGCGCGAACAAGATATTTGGATGGAAACGGGAGGAGTCAGGTGCCAGCGCTTTGGTAGGTTTACAACTGAATATAGATGGAATCACAGGGCATTGAGTCTAACATTGTTGCGTTAACTTAATCCCTAGCAGCGTGCAGCACCCTTCTTACGCATGAACATAGTATACGGCCGCGCCAACGCCTCATAGTTCAGTTTTTATGGCATTCGACCATTGCATTCTGTGCAGCATTATTAATCCTATTTTGTATTTTGTGGTAACTTAAACTGGAGATGGTAAAGAACATGTCAAAAAATGTCGTGACAGATTAAAAAAAAGTGTTGTCATTTCTTGAGATCAGACGAGTTTACGTTAAGTTTTTCTTGGCGAAAGGGTTCATGTGTTCAGAAAGTGCGACAGCTGAAAGCCAATTTGTAGCATCTGTATGGGATAATATTCGTAGTTTATTCTACTAGGCTGTTTTTTTTTTCTTTGCCACTTAAGGACACCCGTGGGTAAGATATGGTTGACATGGTTGTCTGAATTTCATTTTAACTGTAGAAAGTTGTCTCACATGCGCATGGCTTATGGGAGAGAATGAAAGATCGAGGAGATAGAGAATTTCCAATCACTCATGATGGTAAGTGTGCAATCTTTTTTATATCTCTACGTTAGAATACAGAACGCGCCCGTACAGTAGGTGGGTACCAGATCCCTAGCCTAGGCCTCTCGACCCGGAGTCCAGCACGCAAACCGAGGGGCCACCTTGAAATACAGATTTACATTGTCTCATAACTTTTTTTCCAGGTTATCTTAAGATTTATCAACTCAACAGGCCAGTTCTTGATGGATATGATTGTCTCTTGGTCGATGAAGCTCAGGACTGTACTCCTGGTGAGAAAAACTTTTTGCATTGTGTAAGAAACCATTGTACCCAATCATCCTTGACGATAATTTTTAATTTTAAACAATAATGCAATATTTTATTGAATTGCTTCACTGCTCACCAAAATTGGTCTCGAAAACTTGAACCATAATATTATCAGTCTTAGTTATTTAAATTCGTCTTGAGAATATGAATTGGATGCATGCTCACACGTGTCGCTTGTTGTTGTAGCTGCGTCCGACATTCTTCTCAGTCAGTCTTGTGCCAAGATTTTAGTGGGAGACCCTCATCAGCAGATCTATGCTTTTCGCGGAGCAAGAAACGCTCTTCAGGAGGTGAAAGGCGCCCACACGTTTTACCTCACTCAGGTTTGTTGGTGACTCTGACAATAACTGTAACGATAGTAGTAGAGATAATGATAATATTTATATTACCTCTGATAATCATAATAATAATAATAATAATTATGATAATGATAAGATGATAATGCTTTGATGAACCACACGATGCTTTTGAAGTTCATTTTTTTATATATATTTTTTAATGAAAACAAAACATGTTTCGGATGAAACATCATCCATCGTCAGTTGTGTAATGAGAAATAAATAATAATAATAATAAAATATTTATATTGCGCTCAACCCACTATTTGTCTATGGCGCTCTACATTAAATAAGATATTTAAAAAGCTAAAAGTTCTACAACATAAAAAAAGCATCACGTAAGTTACATCAATAAGTTAAAAATCGTCTATAAATTAAAAGAGTTAAAAAGCTTGTTTAAAAAGATATGTTTTTAAATGTCGTTTAAAAACGTCTATCGAACTACTGGATCTTAATTCAAGTGGGATCGAGTTCCATAGTCTCGGTGCCGCCACAGCAAACGCTCTCTCTCCATATGTTTTCAGTCTAGCTTTCGGGGTCGGGGAAAAAAAAAAGAAATTACAAGATGATAATTATAATAACAGTAATTAAAATTACTGGAAATAATAAAAGAAATTAAGAAAGGCAGGAAGAAAAAGATAGAACGAAAGAAAGAAAGGAAGAAATAAAGACAACAGTACTGTTTTTACAAGGTACCACATATAACTACATGGAATACAAAAGAAGGAAAAAAAAAAGACACAAGAAATTAGTGGACGAAATCAACGAATAGATGAATAAAAATGAATCGATCATTGAACAAATGACACATAACCTTTAGATTCCTTAACAAAAACAACAACAAAATTACAGCAGCAATGGACACTGAACGGAAGTGGGGTGGAGATATTTCCGTTTGGTTGTAGTAGCTGTTGTTGTTGTTGTTGTTGTTGTTGTTGTTGTTGTCACAACATGATAGTGATACACTATAGAAGCATGAAATTTGCTTCAACGTACGTTTATATCTCCCTTACTGTAACAGAGAGTGTGAAATCTTCTTACGCTTGAATTCTGTTGGTTTACAGTCATTCAGATTTGGTCCGGAGATAGCTTATGTTGCGTCTTGTGTTTTGGACGTGTTGAAAGGTGTGCGAAACAAGACTTTGGTTGGAGGAGCTAAGAAAGGTAAATACAACACCTTTATACAAGAAATCATTAAAATTGCAAGGGTTATTTGTATGATCGATACTCCCTCTGAACCCAAGAGGCAAGTTGTGCTCGCTAGCATGTTTATCTTGTTGCCTCTAATATCAATCACAATTGCAATCTGGGACTTGTCATTAAATTAATTGGTGTCGCTTTACTACCTTCTTTCATTGGTCTCGGAAACTTCCGCCACCTTCTCAATCGGTCGGATGCAAAACCAAAACCAGTTTTGACATGGTTCCTTTCATTCTCCTACGCTCGAGGCAGTTTACTTGTTTTTTGCTGTGTTTCCCACTGGCCCCTTATGACATTTTACTTTATACTGTTTGTCCATTGCAATTGATCTGGTTTTGATTTTACGACACTCAGTTGAAAAGCGTCCGGCGTAAGTAAGTTGGTTGACAAGGCTGCGTTAGTAGCCTTTGAAAAACCTGTAATTTTTTATGACTTAGAGTTTTTATCGGCACAATGGATATTTATGTTATTTATTATTCATTTTGTAGGCTCAGTGCTTGGTGAACAATCTGGTCAGCTGTGCGTGATTACACGCTGTAATTTTACTCTGTTCAACGAGGCTGCTAATGTGTGCTGTGCGAACAACGACAAAAAAGTTGGTTTTGTTGGGGTGAGGCGTCAATGATATTTCTGTTTTTGTTTTCACGAGTTCGTGTATCATCGGACCCGTGCGGCTCCTCGTTTTAGGACTGTGCGCATTGGCACGAGCAGGGTTAGAAAAAGTTATGCATACGACCCTGTGAGATGCAAAACCCTGCGAGATGCAAAACCTCGAGAAGAGGACAGGGAAAATGTATCAGTATTGTAGTGAGAATTCTTTTCCGGCCACTCTTGGGACCATGCCTATGGTCATGTCTAGAGGATGCAACTCTTGCCGAGAACGAAATAGCGGAAGATAATCATGCCTACACAAAGTACCACCCAAACCGACAATTGCGAGAACAGTCGTCCATATCTCACATCAAACTGTAATCTTAAACGGGTATTCAAGATACATTTTGCTTACAAACGTCATTCTTTTCCTTCTTTTCTCCTCAGGGTCTTAAAAGCCTGGCGCTTGATCGAGTGTTGGACATCCACAAACTGTTTACTGCTGGTACAAACAAACGTAAGTGACATGAAACACGATGGGGGTTATCAGACATAGATGCGTGTATGGCGGACGTACTTAACTAGCCTTAAAGTGGAGTCTGGTATGAAAAATACCAAATGCACTTGAGTGTTGTCGGCTAAAAGATGATAGGACCTATAAATGAGGGTTATAGGACTGTTTGTGGTAATTCTGCATATGTGTGGGCTCTGACTGGTCAAGAGGCCATTTCCGAATTACCTTTTGCCTCTTTTTCAAAACGAGACCTGGTGCTCGACCATTCGTACGAAAATGAGATTAATTTGCATGTGAATGAAAAGTTATAATCAAAGGAAAGGATGAGCACCAGGACTCGCTTTGAAAATGAGGCCAAAGGTAATTCGGAGATGGCCTATTGTCGGGTCTTTTCTTACTGAAATCATCCCGGGCGAGTTAAATGCAACAAATAATCAGTTTTAAAATGATTCCATTTCTCGAATTTCTAGGAAAAAGAAGCGAAAAACAAACGAAATAAGATGCAGTTGCTCTGATAACCACTCAAGTAATGATACTGAAAACCAAAGTTATTCTTTTATTCGCTTCAACTTTTACGCTAAGATTGACCGTCATATCATGTCGCCTGCAACAAAAACCTGTGATAATGTCATCTAGTCAACGCTACTCGAATGGGTATAACTGGTATTTTCTCCAGAAGTAAAACAGGGTTTCGTTTAATTTTGGGCATGACTGCACTTTTGAAACAGTTCGCAGATCGATGAAAATTTATTAAAAGAATGACGTAGCTTGGAGCATTAATTGTTTCTTTTTCTTGTAGCTCACTTAAAAATCAAGGACGCTTTTATCAAGAAATTCCGTTCATTTTCTGAATTGAAGAAGTATGCGAAATGCGCTCCTGACCCGAAACTGCTGAGCAAGATTAAGGTTTGTATCTCACCTTATTTTATGAACATTTAGTCGATATATTACAAGATCCTCAACTTAGTCAGACAGTAAGATACCTTATGTCACGTGAAACCACAGAAACTTTTGACTCGTACACTTTTTGACCGCGTCATTGGTTTTGCTCACCACCTTCTGTGATTGGTCCCGTAAACGCGCGCCTCTCTTAACCAATCAGATACAGAACTAAAATTAAATGCAACTTATTAGTCACGTACATTTTCCTAGCATCTCAGCCAATGTGCTTTCACTATTGCTAAATAAATCAGACAGTTTACTCAAATCTGAAGTAGCTACACTATAGTTTCACTTGTTGTTTCAGATCGTTGAGGCACATCATGTTATGCTGCCGCAAAAAATAGATAAGATAACTTCCAAAGCCGTCACAAAGTTACGGCAGGCGGGTAAGAAAGTTAAGAAATAATTGTGAAGCTCCATAATTGATGTTCCCTATTAACTGGAAAAAGAAATTTTGTGATGTTTTCTAAACCAAACGGAACAATATATAAAAATATTAATAAAACCATAGTTAACCGACAGGCAAACAAACAAAAACTGTTTGTACCCAGGGACATATCCACGATTTCTAAGAGGCTAGCAAAGTGTGGTCTGTAAAGGCAAGGCTATTCAGAAGGAAAAAAAAAACAAGTACAAACGCGAAAGCAAAGCAAAACAAGCGAAAAACTTTCGCGAGTTTTAGTCGACTGCTTCATGTTACATGTATGTGACGATGAAATTATAAAGTGTCTGCAAGTTGGAGAAGATTTCAATGGAGTTTCGAAAATAATCTGATTGCCTTAAGGTGTCACTGTTCCTTTCACCACTCTGCTAATTCGTCCGCTGGCACAGTTTTCCAAATTTGGTCACGCAAGTTGCTTTTATTTAATGAAGCCCTAGTATCCTTTAATGTGTTTATCATTTCTGCCTTTGTTTATCTTTGTTTTTGTTTTCTTCTCCGCAGATATTGTTTTCTCCACAGCACACAAAGCCAAAGGGCTTGAATTCGACACAGTTCGTGTCACAGATGATTTTCTACCTGGAACAGAGATGGGTGTTCCATTATGTAAGTAAAACATTATTTTTACCAGCGGGTGAAATCAGGTGTGAATCCTCCATCCCGGTGGGGATTTACACCACAGTCAGCTCTTTTTTTTTCCATTCGGATAGTCTTAACATCCCAACTACAGAAAACACTGACCTCGTTTCTAAAACTACACTCTTCGACTTCAGCCACTAACTAACTCGCACCGCAGGCAAACAGCATAATGGTTATCGAGAAAATTTATGTACTAGTTATCTATGTCCCTGTTGTACAGCATTTCAGTCTGATGTTTATTTACCCATCCTTTCCGCCAAAAACAGGTAAAGGAATGATATTGGCCGGGTTTTCCGTACTTGACTTAAGGGTCAATCTTGGAAAATGGCCGATTCAGATTTTTTTGGTATGGTGTGGTTCACGGCCTAGTTGTATAAAAGGCAGATAACGCTGTCCAACGGATAAATTGCTATCCGATGGATAAGGGATAGCAATTTGTATGGTGTTATCCACCGGATGGAGATTTATCCAGTGGATAACGCTATCCAACCTTCGAACAACTGGGGCAGGAGTATTGTCACTCCTCCTTTCGCATACTGTTGTCCAGCAGTGCATCAGTTACCTCTGACTCTATGCCAGCGTCCATTGATGCTTCTGAGTAGCGAAAGACATTGTGACACTCAAATGCCCAAGAGCAGCGCAAAATAATCTCGGGCGTGGACTAAACCTAGAATCTGGGACCCAGAATTCAGCTTGTTAATCAGTTCTCCCCTCTACCTGTCGCACATTTTCTTGTAAATTAGTTACGAGAATTGATGTTAGATCAAGATAACAACTTCTATCTGATTAGTCTGAGTATTCTCGTTACCTTTTTTCTGGATAATGTATGGATATTATAGGAAGAAGTTACGAGCTAATCACTTCTGGGAGTTAAAGGGTCAAACACTGGGCAATCAGAATTCCCTATTGATTCAAGTTGCCTGTGTAATATATTTAGATGAATATGGTGAAGATGAAAGAAACTTGGTGTATGTCGCGGTGAGTCGAGCAAAGAAGTGCCTCCAACTCAATAGTACAATTCTCAACATTCTTGGGTACAGAAAGGTAAGCCACACGGCGTAACATGAACTGAAGCTTGCCCTGTATTGTTGTATGTTTCTTGTTGTTTAGTTCTGCTCCTTGACTTCAATTGTTTCGCATCAGTTACGAGTGCATGTTCTTGAACCTTCTAATTAGTTTATGTTTTTGTCACTTTCAGGAACATTTCGTGAAGGTGGTATCACCGAAGGAGTTGTCTCAGGTATCAGTCGCTCTGACAAAGGGCTAACGCTCGAAACACTAGCTTTAAATACTCTTTACGATGGCCTATTTACATTATCAACTCAGTTGATAATACCAAATTATCTTTTTCATTTGCAGCCGGCCTTCTGTTTAGACTGTGAGGAAGATGTCGAGTTTTGTCCGCGGCCTCACGTTGTGATTCAGAAAGAAAGTGTTGTACTGGTAAGCTGGAAAACTTAGCAACTGGATTTTTTTTTGGTGATAGATTGTCTAATTGTGCGCGATTTAGTACATAATTCTTAAATGTGTACTCGTGTCCATGAGAAAAGGGCGTTGGTCAGCACATCATGTGCGTGCAGTGCGCTTTTGGTGTGAATGTGAGTGAGTATTGTGCAGGTTTGTTCGTTTGCAACGTGAAGGATGGTATTGACAACCTTATCTTCTTTTTGTTAACTGTCTGTGATATTTAGCTTTTTCTTGTTGTAGTTGTTGTTTCATTGTGTTTCCTTTTGTTGTTGTTTTTGTTGTTGTTTGTTTTTTTCTGTGCTAGAACCGTAATGATTGGCACCCTGTAGTTATCTGAGCAACTACGCACCTACCCTCCCCAAAACCCAACATTAACCATTAATCATGTATTGTTATCAGTTAACTGTTGTAGGGGGAGGGCTGGGTGCGCGGTTACCCAGATACTGACATTGATCCAACACTTTCGTGGACAAATTTTTCCTTGATTAGTCTTCCTTTGCTTCTCAGTAAACAAATCTGACAAGTCTCTTCTATTTACGTGTCCAAATAGAGGGGGACGGGAAAGGGTTGGGTAGAATTCAGAAGAACCGCAGCGAAGGAGATTAGTGTACTTGTCGAGGCTGCTACACCTCCGAGCTAGTGTACGTGCAGCTATAAAACCGTTTTCGTCTTAACTTTGCCGAGGTTTTCTTTCTTTCTCTAGGGTGGAAACGTGAGAAAGGCTGGAGGCGTTCTTTGTCCTACGTGTGCTGCTGATAAAATACCACATTTAGGATGTCTGGTTTCTGTAAACGAAGAAAGTTGAGTTCTTTATTTTCAAGGGCAGAAAGTTTATTGAAATGATGTATAAAAGAGCATATAGAATTAGATGTATCAAAATTTGTACTTATTTTAAGATAGTTATAATGATATTAATGCATATGATAATAACGGTAATAATTAGCAGTTAGAGGATTAGTTTGAGCATGATATCAAGAATTACCAAAACCGACGCTAAGGCTAATAAGACAGATACGACGTTTGATAACTCATGATATCATGTGAAAACCAAGTTCTAGAATTGTTTCATTAAACATTTTGTAAACAATCTGCAAAAGAAGACACTATTCTTGAGTTTGCAAAAGTTTAGGAACACAGCAAGGACGAAGGACTTGTAAAACAAGGCAGACTTTGAACTCGACATGATAAATGCCTTATCCGCTGCAGATATTGTATTTATCATCATTGTCATCTTCACACGCTATAGTGTCTTTATGGTATACTCTCGATCAATCAGATTTTTCTTAATAAGTCTAATATATGATGATAGCTTTATTGTTCTTATTGGCCTTTTTAATCGTTTCTTTGTTAAAAAGGCTGGTAGCCGCAAAATTTACATTCGTTCAATACAGTAGAATTGACTTATCAGCATACATTCTCGAACAAGCTTCACGTTGCCTTTCCTTACTGTAGAGCACACGTTATTGTTAAGGAAAGAATAGAAGAAAAGTGAATCTCTGTGATACGACAGATAAATTAGACAATGCTGAATCAATAATTTTCTCAAAGTGCATCTGTAGTGTATTGCGTTACCTAAGCGTTACTATAGTCACGCTATATCCTGTAAGACACGATCGGTACATGATTGTAAAAGTACATTCCTATGTAAAAGTAGTATTACTGATTCCTAGTATTGTATTGTGAATATAGCTTGTTGATTCTTTAATAAAATTCAGTTGAGCAATAGCAATGAAAGGAGTAACTTGACTGAGTCTAGACGACACAACAGCATCGAATAAAGTATAATTTTTCATGTAAAAACCTTACACAAGTGTTTATTTTTATTATCCGGCTCTCACAGGCAGTCTGTTATGCCCTTTTCTTTTAATGGTCAATGAGGAAGGCGGGCTGAATGAATATTAGTGATTAGGAGGTGGCAGATGTTGCTGCGCCGTTTAGAGGCAACGGTCTCTTCTTTCTCATCGTTTCCCCTATCCCCAGAACCCTCTTGCGGCCTTCTTTTACGGTATCCTCAGGTTTTTTTTTTTTTACCGCTTCAGATTATTGTAACTGTGTTCAGTAACAGCCTTTGAACAGATCGGTTTATCTTTCAAAGCGGTCAAACTCTCTTACTGTATATTCACGGGTACTTAGTCCATATAATTTAATTGTCGACAAACTGAAATGCATCTACTGCTCTCAGGAGATCGTGTATTAATATTGAATTTTTAAATGGTTCGAGTGGATGTCGACATACATGCCTTCGTGAATCAAAGTTGTCCTAAAAGCTGAGTTGACGCAAGACAATGAGGTAGAACGTGTGAGCCGTTTCCCACTGATTTTAACGCCTGACTTGTTTCAACCTATTTTCTTAACCGAGTTTCCTTCGTGCTCGTTTGAAGGTTGTCGTCTGAATTTTTTCTAAGAGTCAAGGTGTTTTAGACTATAAAATCACGAACCAAGGAAATAATTTAACGTGTCATACCTCTTTTATTTAGCATTTAATGATTACAGAGTGAAGTTTTCACGTTAAGGGGACAACTCAGCCGGGATTATTTTAACTCTGTTTTACCTTCCCTCGTTTCTAGTGTATAACTGGTGGAGGCTTTATTTCTTTGCTGTTGTCAACGGGCTTTACTTTGGGTGCTGGAGGATTAATTGGAGGAAATATCGTAGGCTTAGGTTCTTCCTTTTTTTTGTCACCAAACTTCTTCTTTTTCCCCTGCCTCCTGTGCTTAGCGGGCGCAGGCTCCAAATCCCTATTGTTGTTAACGAGCCTCACCTTGGATTCCGGCGGATCTATGCGAGGAAATACTGTAGGCTCTGGTCCCTCTTCATCGTTGACATAGGACAATTTGGCATAAGGAACTTCTATGTCCTTGCTGTTGTCGATGATTTTTACCGCGGGTCCTTCAGGGTATATGCGGGGAAATAATGGGAACTTCTCTCCCTGGTCTTGCATTGCAGTTAAATTTGCAAGTGCATCATTCATCTCAGAGATCGGTCGTGATGGATACCACTTCGATTTAATCTCGTTCTCAGTAATTTCTTCAAACTGGCCTTCCATAGTGAACGCATACAGGTCTGAATTAATGAGTTGGTCGATGAAGTACTTACTGTAAGGATAATGCTGTTTTAAAGCAAGCCATTGCCAAGGGTACATATTCTGCTCGATCTGGTCCTTGAGGTCGTCATAAAATGGTTTATCAGCACTCCCAAACGTGTACGACAGTTTTTTCCTATCTCCAGATCCGCGGTGCTCCTGGTGGAAATTTGGAAAATTCCCATAATAACCACCTCCCCATCTCATGTAACCTTCCAGTTTGACAGAGAATGTGGGAACGATCGTAGCCGTATATGGAATTGTAACTTTTTGAGGCTTTTTGAAGGCGTGCCATTCAGAAAATGTTTTTGGGGGTAGTTGTTTAGCTTCTTTGATGGAAAGAATGTGCCAATCTTCGTTGACTGTGGTATCTTCCTGATCTCCTCCCCATTCATAGCTAAAACTACTTTTGGCAGAAAATCCCACCCCACCTGTTGTGCTTGGTGGCTCGTACTCCATACCCACTTCCAATCCAAATTTGGAATCCCAACTGGTTTTTTGAACATTTTTCAAGGTGCTTGCAACTCGAAACTGAATTTCGACCTCAGAGTCATACCCTGGTGTTGACTTTTTATTCGAGGATACCCTGCTGTAGCTTCTATCAGGAGAATTCATCAACCTCTCTTCCTGGTCCAGTGGAATTGTTTGCTTAACGGACTTTCCAAATTTTACATCTTTCATCGTAAATTTGAAATTTTCGTAAGTAATCTTCAATCGAACATCTTTCTTAGGTCCCTCACCCAGGCAATAAGATTTGTAGGCTGATTCCCACGTGTCTTTATTCCGCCGGAAGTGTTCTCCAGCATATCTTGACCAACACCCACCAGCCCAGGCAAATCCCATCATGTTGGCCAACTGTCCAATGTTAAACATGGTGGCATCCATTACACGTTGTTTAAGTCCCTCCATGTTCTTTAGCTGTGGAATGCCTAAACAGAAAGATAAACGTGCGTTTCTGATTAAGCTCGAGGCTGAGATGACTAGATATTAGCCGTTCTTTTTTTTGAGGTTTTATGGACCGAGAGGCAAAAAAAGAGCGAGTTTAGTGTCCAGCCATCTTGATAGAACAAACTTGGTCGATGACGAATTTATTAAATGGCGAAAAAATTTCACTCTAGTTTTCGCGGTTAGCTTTCTTTTTAAATGTATCTCATCATTGCTCTTACGAATCAAATTCACTCATGATCAATCGCACAAAATTCTTCGTCATTCATGAACATAGATTTTTACCAATATACGAAATCGTTAGCGATAAACAATTTTTTCTTCAAATTAATTTTTCCTACTTTTTTAATTGATCTTTTAAATACTTTCTAAATTGACCTTACATTTGGAAGTGCTAAGATGTAACTGCGGAAATTACAGCGCTGCTAGAAACATTTATTGTAATATGCTTCATAGCAATTCGTAAAACTTACTTTCCACCATGCGACAGCATTTGAACTTTTTGATGCTGGATAGCTTTCCTCCAGAATCTTGATTTTCAAATCCAGCGATAAAAAAGCCATCCCTCTTGCACTCACTAAGACCGGCTCTGTTAAACGTATCGCTGACGTCCTCTTGATAGCACTCGTGATGTTCATAAGGATGATGAGAAGGTTTGCAGCATTTGCCCCAGTCAATGCTACCGACATCGTTGCCGTACATGTCTCCGCGGGACACACCTCGGAGGTAGAAGCCAGGTGGACAGTTGCTTATTCCAGTCCTAAGAGCATTTTAAAACGTGATCATAATCACTCGTTTGATTAGCGACAACAAGAATGACGTGAGAAATAAGCACTTGCCAGAACATCACTTTATTGTTCAGCGAAATGAAGGGCTGCTGTGAAAAAGTATCTTCGATCCCTTGAGCAATTCACACTGATTCTTTTTGATTCATTACCGTTAAAGAAGGGTTTGTGTCTGGAGCTGGATAGTTATTGGTACCATTAATTAAGAAGCCCAATTAAGCGAAAGTTGAGCTCCAAAATGAGGAATCTTATTTGGATTAAGCACACCGCACCACTGCATCAATGTGAAAGATTTCTTTCCTGAGCATAACTTGAAATCAATTGGGATCAATATCAGTATCTGAGCAGCTGCACACCCACCCCTCCCGTAACCCGACACTGATTCTAATAAGTTGTGTGAGTTGACTGTTGTTGGGTTAGGGGAGGGGTGGGGGAGCAGTTGATTTCATCTGTATATCGTTGGTCTCCTGTTAAAGTCATTTTCGTTGTCGATCGCGACGTTTTGAATGCATGTTGCTAATCTTCTTTGGTGAGTTTATAAGGTCGACTGGATCAATTATAGACCGAAATTGTGTCCTAAAATGTTACCTGTCCATTGATCTGATCCAGTCAAACATCTGGCACTGGGTTGGGACTCCCCAGAACGTTTTATCTCTTTCACAGCACTTGGCTTTCTTTAGTCCTGGCAGGTAGTCATTTCCATCCCGTTCAAAACCGACGAGGTATTTAAACACATCACATTCCTTTTCCCCTTTAATTTTAAAATTCCAGTCTCGCATGACGCAATTACGTGCATCTAAAAATAATGAGAAAAACAACAACAGAGAAAACAGGGATTACCATTTTGAAAGTGCTTTTCTTTAAGTGAACTTGTGGCTTTCGCTGAAGAAAAGTAATCTTTGTTTATGTTCTTAATCGAAAGACCAGAATCAGCCATCGTGGTAAATGTTACTTTACTGCGAGTGCACTATGCCTTAATTCCTACCTACTCGTAATGCCCCACCTAAACAAACTCAAGATCTACATCAAACGGTATTTTAGTAATAGAAGCTTCAACGATAAATAGGACAAAAAGATACGAGTTGATCGTCACTGATCAATCCATTTATCAAGACATTGCATTAGAAGGAATGTAAAACATTCAGCCTATGACGGGACGGAGTTCTTGCTTTCCACACACTAGTTGGGCATCACTATAAACTGCGCTACGAGACCTCATGCTGGGACTGATAGCTGTAACGGTTTAAGTCCAATTCGTCTCTTGGTGCCCACGGTCTTGTGACTTCTTCAGATTTGCCCTACTCCCGATACCTCGCTTTGGTAATATTTGGGCTCAGTCCTCGCCGAGGCCCGAATGTTTTCAGTCGTACTCTTTTTATACAGAAACTGAAATTTCAGTCTATTTGCAAAACTCGGTCATTTTCTTGACAAAAGTACCTGTATATCACAATAAAAATCATTCTCTTTCAGAAATATTTAAACAACATACCTGAAAAAGACGCAGAGGAGCCTACTAAGATCAACATCAGCCGGAAAAAAATAGTTGACAACATTTTCACCCAGGGAAATCTCCTTGGAAATAGTTACGACTGAAATGAAAGACGCAGAACAAGTTCATTACGATACATTAAAATTCAAAAGGCAACCAGGTGGACAATCAGACATGGTTTGATGCTACTCTAGTTTAAAGAGTTGATGAATGTAACCCAGAAGTTACAATTCATAGACCCAACGTTTCGACACTTCTGTCTATTGCCTTAATTAGGGGTGATCTGATCGCTGCAACAAGAGGTCCATTTACATGCTCACTAATTAGCTGCCCTTTTTATTAAGATTCAATAAAGATTCATGCGATCTTTTTCACTGTTGAGCAGATGTTCACGAGTAAAGTAAATTTAATCAAGTAAATGTCACAAGTTTCATTCAATTTGTCACATAACTTAGACAAGGAAACAGCTGAAATTCAAACTTTCAGGTATACTTCGATTTACTTTGTTTTTACTTTTATACACTGCTTTATTCTTGGTGTATGGTGCAGTGCTTCGAAAAGATATTTTTAAGATAAGATAAAATAAAATGATTAGATAAACTAGAATGAAATGTATGTTAAATACGAGGGGTCTGGACACACTCACTGAGCCTGAAGTGTTGATTAATAGATCCAGTGATATTGGATTCTGTGTCCCGTTGCTGTTTCCAGAAGCTGACACCAGCATCAGTTAGGAGTGATTTGGTTGTAACGTGTGGAGCAATTAGTAAATCGACATTCGAGAGATACCTATTAACCCGTACAAGCGTCAATCTCGAATAGCATGTCATATGTCAAACGCTAATTACGTTTCTAAAACAAAGTACTCAATCAAAGAATATTTGGCAACTTCCCGAATACTTTATTATCAGATTGTACTCTAAGAAAGGAAACTATCGCTAACATACAGGAAAAGCTACATCAAAAAAAGGTTTCACAAATCTATCAAAACGGTAGAATTATGCGCTCAATGAATTTCCCTTGTTTAAGTTCATGACTAACTTGAGAGCACAAGATTGTTTCAGAAAGCAAATTAATGGAAACTATTTTGAAAGGGTGAAATAATGGCGCAGCCAAACAATGATTAACACCCTCAGCTTCTTGTCTGTCAGCTGTACCTTCTCTGATTTCGAAAGCAGCATAAGTCCTCTCTCTTGTTTTCATCGTCTATGGGAAATATTTTAATTAAATTAAAAGTTGCAAAGTAGGGCTCTCTAATCCTTAAGGCTTAGAGAGGCTTCATTGTTAAATGATGAAGCATGACACCAGTTACTCATGAAATAAGAAAAAATGTCCCAATTAATTAGTTCATCAGGATACCTTGTTATTTTCTAAACTTTCTCATTGGTGTCCTAATTGTCTATCAAGGACAAACTTGAACAAAAAATGAGTAAATAAAATTTAGTACTGTGTAGACAAAACCAAAGGCCATTAGCAAAACAAAACAAAACTACACTTCCACGTGCATGAGTCTCATCAATGTAAATGTGGCTTAAAAATGGTTGCCATGTGCAACAAGATTAGTTGTTAGAAGAGACGACTAATCCAAGAAAATTAAAAGAATGTTGGACACGACTTTATTGGTTTGTCGCAGAGTGCTTTATCGATTTTTATATTTGTTTTGCTTTGTTTTGTTTTGTTTTTTTTACTCACAGGTGTGCCCATTCATCCGATTTGTGCTTGAAAAACTTGGCAGTATCCCTTGCAACACGCGCCTTTATTTTGTAGTGCACCTTGCGCAAAAAGAAATTTTGACTGAGACAGGCACCCGTGGATGTCGCAAAATAATAAAAAGTCGCCTGTCGTTTCATTCACCTTCTATAGTTAAGTGGGTCAATTAAACTCACATACATTTTTCCGTTGAGGTGCGCCTAAAGTCTGGATTCATCTTGACCAGGTGTGCTAAAGCCAAATTTCTAAATTTCAGTTCAAAAATAAAAGTAATACCCATTATTGCGATTATTTGTAAATCAGCGAAAAATTTTGCTCAATAAAAGCTAACTTTGTTGTATCAAGATGAAAGTCTTGCGTGATTGTTTTGGCTTTTCCATGTAACAGGTGCATGCATCTTGAAGAAAACACTTTCAATTTAGCTGGTTTTAGTAGAAAATTTATTGGGACAGGTGTAATCTTATCTCAAAAACAAAGAGCAATTTCACTCTCAGCTTATCCCCCGGTTAATAATTCATAAAGTACTTTCATGGTTCCTTTGACATACTAACTGACTATGTAACGAGCTCTTTGTGATCCATGAAATAAGTAATTTTTACCACACTCCTCCCTTTACGGACCAAAGAGTCGTGCTGGGTAAGTTGTGCCTAAAAGGTGTTATTTTTTTCCTTTTCCTATTCGCTTCTCCGTTAGTCTTTTGCAGTTTTTCGATTACGAAAGGGTGTAATTACGTCTCCTAATGAATTTTTTTTTTCAAACGAGAAGGGATACAAAACATGTTTGCGGGGAATGTCTTTATGAAGATTTTATTGTAGGGTTGTGATAAAATTTGCCATTCTTGCCACTTTTCGGTAGTTTTCCAAGATCGCATTGGTTTATCTGTTATAAATATCATTCATAAACCACTATTATCTTTTACAACTTCTCAAACGCAATTTGCGAGCACTGATTATGGAATTATGATCTCTGTATCCTGAATATTGATATTTACGAAATATTGATAGCGCAAAAAGGTAAATCTTTAGCCTAATTGCTATCAAAGACCATTTAGTCTAGCATATATAACTTTGAGAGAAGAAGTAGGACTTACCATCAAAATTTACTTACGTTGAAAATACTCTGTTTTTTTGCCACAACTAATTACTCATTAATTCTTGTTTGCAGGTAATTTAGTGTTAACAACTGAGTTGAAAACGTAAATTGGCCACCGTAAAGAGTTAAAAGGCTTTTAACTCTTTACGGTGGCAAATTTACGTTTTCAACTCAGTTGTTAACACTAAATTACCTGCTATACTTTCCCACCGACGCAGCATTTCAGTTTCTTTAGAAACTTACCCCCTTAATTCTTGTTTGCGTTTTGTATAAAATTCAATACTTCCAGTTTATTGTTTTCGGTCTCTTCTTGGGTGGAAAGTGACTCGATGTTTCAATGTATTCTTAAACATTAATCTCTCGAAAGCAAGAGAGTTATTTTTCCAAAACAACATGAAATTTTTCTTTGTCTCGTTTTTCTCTTTAGTATAGTCCTAATTTTCTAGCGAACTCGTTTCCATTTTATCTTCTTCTTCTTCTTTGATTTCCTCTGTGGTTAATAGCAGAGGAAGGAATGTCGATCTTATTTTGTTATCACTCGTCTTACTTTTATATATTTTAGCCATATATAGAATGGCATCACTCGCCTTTAAACTGTTGCTGTATTTGGTGACACTTTGCACGTTTCCAAGTTCAACATTACAAGCGTGTACCCAGTTCACAGATATGGAAGCTAAAATGGCCAAGAAAGGATACACTTACTGTCCACACAAAGATGATGAGTTGTATATGGCTGGATTTACTCGGAAGCAAGGTACTGATGATCTGAGGGACTTTAAAACTTTTATTTGTTGTCAGCCTCCTTTAGAGCACAGAAAGAAGCCTTACACGTGTACGTCAGCTGACTGGGACATGAGTTTTTCAAGGTGTGTTATTTTGAAAAGGATTTATCATTTTATCCAGGCGAGTTTTCAATCATTTGCTAACTATGGTCACTGAACCAAACGTAATGTGTTTGTAGTCTTATACAGTGTTACTGAGTGTTGCGCGTTTTGAGGCGTTTGATGGAGTTCTTTTTTGAGTGTCCTTTATTTAACTCTTCGGCCTTGTCTTACCTTGTACCAGTGTTTAAATGATAATTTAGTGTCTGCTAAGTCCAAAAGAAAAACACACAAAAAAGCAAACAGACAGGCAAAAGAAGCGTTTCCATTTAGTTGCAACCGACTAGCGCCACTCATTGTGGTTTCATAACATCACGTTACCCGTTGGCCTATTGAAGCAGCTCTACTATTTTCATTACATCTAAACATCTGTTCACAATTTGAAGTAAATGCTGGTGATATTCTTGCATTCCAATCCACTTCAACTGCTCGTCTGTGCTTCTATTTGCTTCGAAGGGAGGGCTGGGCCATTTGTCCATCAGGGCATTTCCTTCGTGAACTTCATCGTGGTGAAAGCCATGAACTGAAGAGTATCAAGTGGGCCACATGCTGTAAGCCAGCACTTCATCCTCATTGGTACAAACAATGCTATGAGCAAGACGTTGGGCAAGGCATGAAGTGCACCAGGAATGGTTATTATGTGGTGGGAATTCATAGAGGTGCCTCTGAAAAGCTTTCCAGCATCAATAAGCTTAGATGCTGCAACATGTATGATAGTAGGTATCTTTTTGAGGCTAGGTGACCATGTGGCTAACATAGATTCCATTTCGAAATAATTAATTCAATTATTGGCCGTCATACATTTGATATTAATGAATTATGAAACCAGACGCCATCAAACTGAGGCATGGCTAAACGCGCTAGGTGAGATGAAGGAGTTGCCACGCTATCCGGTGAAATTAGGCTATCTTGCTGGCGTTAATTGTATTTAACCCTTGAAAGCGAACTACTTTTGGCCATATCATCATTGTCTTATTGACCTGGCATTCCCTTGCCAAGATGGCTGGAAATTTCCCTTCCTCTGTGGTCTAGTGCACTCCCCCCCCCCCACCCCCGAAAGGATGTCACGTTATGTCATGTTTGCCTTACACGTGATGCCCCTTTTTTGGAAGTAAGTTATTTGTTTTTCCTCGACAGGGCCATTAGTGCTCAAGTCAGTATTAGACGTCAAGACAAGAATCATGGATATTACACAAAATAACCTGGCCTTGTTGGCCAATTATCTCGGCTATGGTTGGGCGAGTGGCTGTCGAGGTAGAGTTGCTGGTCAGGACTTTGTACGGGAAGGTGACTCCTGGAGGTCACATTACCAGCGAGGATGTAGCGGATACATGTCAACGACTCGTCTGAAAATCCATTACGGCAACTTTTCGTTTAGAGTAAAGACCATTGACTATGGGAGGCCGGAAATTGAGTCAATGAAGCCCATTGTGCAAGATGTCGGAGAGTTAAAGAATCTGGATTCCCAAACGGTGAAAAGTACGATAGCAAGACAAATCAAGACTGTCCGCACTGTGACTCATTCGTCTTCCACCAGGTTCAAATCAGGTTGGGGTGCCTCCATCACTCTCAGTTACAAGTCTCCAGGATTGGTGGGCGAGGTTGCCACGGGAACCTTCAAGGCATCTGTGACGTTGTCAGGGGGAAGGGAAAGTGCCCAGTTGAACACAAATGAAAATGGTGATATTAACTGGGATATTGTGCAAGTGAAGGAATCGCAGAAAACAGAAGGCAACTCAGGTTCTTCGTATCAAATAACTACCTCCCAGAAGAAAGTCAATGTTCCTTACAAAGCCACCATACAAGTTCAATTCACTGCTACCCTCGATGGCTTCCTTGTCTGGGGAGGAGGTCCCAATGGGGATAATCCCAACTACCACGAGAGCTATCGAGGCTCCGGTGAGCGGCCTATTTTTAAGTACCAAATTGGCACAAAGAAGGTACCCTTCTATAAGTTCTTGAAGCGGGCGAGTCAAAGAGGTGACAGTCCTTGGTTATGGAACCTAATGAAGCAGGACTGGCCATATGTCAAAACCATCATAGACATACTCACCGACGAGACTCTCTACGAATTTGATCTCGAGGGAAAGTTCCATGATATGGCTGGTCTCGATTTCAATGTACAGTGGGATGATGTAGCAGTCGGGAGCGGTAATTCTACCATCATTGCATGAAGAAATGTAGCAAGTGAAAATTTGCATTATGTTTTCTAACCTAACAGTAGCACATTGTTGGATGAAGGATTTCAATATCGTGAATAAATTAGATAAAAATTACTTTTGTGTGGTTAATGAGGTTCTCTTGACGCACAATTGCGACACATGAGCTGAGTATAATTCACTCAAATGATTATTGCGCACTGTAAGGAACATTTCATTTCACAAGTTACTTTCTAGAAATCACACAAGTTTTTTGACATCTCAGTTTTCTCCTCATCCCTATTAAAGGGAAAGTACGGTCTGGAAACATTTCACCTCTGTTGAAAGAGCTCTTCCTCAGGAATTGGAAAATAATTGCCGTTTTGTCCAGTTTGCCTTGCCATTGTGACAGTAGCGCTTTGAAGTTGCTCTTATCTACAACTTTCGCGACTAGTGAAACGCCATCTTGGATATGACGTCAGCTATGACGTAGCAATAGTAAACCTCGCTCAACGCTTTGACCAGATTCACCCTTTCGAAGAGTATTTCTTATGACAGTTAAACTATGGTCAACTGTCTTGTGGTTAACTGTCATAATACTTACAAAAATACAAAATGGAAAGGAGTAAGCTTCCACAAGCTACACGAAAATGAAAATTTAAAGAAAATCTGGCTGGCAAAAATAAATCGCAAGGACGATTTGCCGAAACCCACGAACTACTACGTCTACTCGGATCACTATATCGAGGAAGACTTCGAGCGGAATATTTAGGGTTGAAAGTTGTGCCTTCTGACTTTTACTTCAGACTGAAAGCTATGTTTACCTTTCACATGTTCAAAATGTGTTTTTTCTTTAATTTTTTTAAAAAGAACCACTGTAATTGAAGCGAAACAAATTGAAGCTCGCATTTGTGAGTGACCGCGTGTGGTAAATTCGGTCGCGACCAAAGGCGACTTTCGCCGTTTTTCCCCAAACATTTTCCCCAAAATATTTTTACGAAGTAGTATTTATAATTATATTAAAAGACACCTGAATATTTATTAGTTTTTGAATCACCGTAAAAATGTCTAGTAGTTACTATGTGTAAATAAGAAGACAATAAGGAAAACCATTAGTGTCTCAATGTTTGTCAAAAATACATTCCCTGACTCCCAAAAAACATCGCACTCACGGCATGTATCCAGATTTGGAAAAAAATTAAGTAAGTGAAAAAAACAGAAATAAAAAACTTGAATAATCCACCTAATATGCCACAAGCATTTACATTGCTAATTTTATGTTTTTGGAACAGTATTTTAATGATTGGAACTGGAGTCGATACCCCGCTTTAGAAAGACTTCCTCGAATGTTTAATGAATACAAAGACAATTTTGTTGATTAAACGTGACTATCCCAGCCATAAGTCATTCTCCTTGGCATCTTTAAAGACTGAATAATTTCAGGCTGCATCTGGGTAATTGCTTCCTATTGATGCCCCAACACACGAAAGAATCAAGCCTTTCTTCCCTTTACCAAGACTGTTATAAGTCCACTAAGTAGACTGTCTATAACCTGCCAATCGCATACTCCTAAGAAAAAAACAAAAAACACAGATATATGGTCGGAACGGAACCCAGACAAATGCATTTGAAACAAAAAAAACTCTACTTCGCGGAGCAGGCGCCCATTTGTATTGAGATCAAAATCCTAAGCTAACATTGCTCGACACGGGAGACTTCCTGACGCTCGTCGTTTAACGTGAGGCTCTGTTCGCACGTAACATATTTGGAATAGTGGACCTCTCTTTTTTTAATTTTCCCAGAGTAGGTAATGTGATAATTTTCTTAGGTACTCTTTCTTTCAATTTTATCTCGCTCACGTCCATACTAACTCATGATTTACCTCCATTTGGAAAACAAAGTATATCAACCCAAGAGGTCTATATACAATTAATATTGCGGTGAAGTTCACCCTTAGGACAAAAGATTACCACATCACTTGTAATAAAAGGGCTGACAAACTGCATTTCTTTCTTACGAAACTTGAGCGTTTTGTTTGCGTGAATTTTGTGAAAAATGTTTATTCTGTCGGTGCTTACTCATTTGACAGATAATCCTCAAGACTATCATTTCTCACTTAGTGCATGCCAACAAGGGCTGTTCTTAAGCTTGTAAACACGCGGGTCCAAATGATCCGTGTTCAGTAATACACTGAAGCCTGCATTGTTCCCTGCAATTTCAATGATAGTTCATTTCACCCAGTTAGCAGTGCGAAATAAATCCGTCGAGGGCACTGCGCTGTTCTTTTGTAAAAAAATTAAAAAATTATCACTGTAGAAACAAAGATTTTATTTGAGAAGAATTAATTACCTTCCAGATCGAGTCAATCACCTAGTACGTTAATTTCCTGACAGCATATACACTCGTTTTCTGTTGTCATCTCTTGACAGTTGCCGCAAAAGCACCACTCGCGATTTCCGGGACGTGAGCGCGTAGATAGTTCTCTTTGTATATCTTCCTGAGTTTCTTCGTCAACAGAAATTTCTTCTTCTCCTGAAGACGAGCTATGTTGCGGCTCAAACATGAATGGACGAATTACACTGTCTGGATTAAGATCCAAGTCGAGAATTGAGTCATTATCGCTCTCCTTGCCGCTGTTTTCTACGTTTTCATTCATCTTAGTCGAGATTACAATGCTTGACTATTGCTACGTCATAGCTACACCATGACAAAGGTGTAGGATTTCAATTCCAAAACGTCAATTTTTAAAAATGTGATTTCTGGCAACGAAAACACTTTCAGCTTAAATGAATAGCCAATTAAGAAAAAACAAGTCAGGACCTTTTGATTTAAGCAAACTTATTCTAGACTATGCTTCCCCTTAAGGCAACTCACATGTCAATTCGTGACGTTGTCTCAACTTTGGTGGCTTTTAATGCTTAGCTAACCAGGGCATCTTGCAAGGATTGCGGTATTAAAGTTCAAATTAATCCTGTTGAAGCTAGGCACATTTCCCAAACTATGTGTCTCCTTACTCGGAACTGGTTAGATCAAATGACCACCACAAACCGTATAATATTAAGCCAAGCTTTAATAATTATTCGATCTAAAAGAAATACCTTTATAATTCGTAATTAGAACAAACGCAAATCAAGTCTTTATCTTGTAACTAAATTCAAAAACTTCAATACAAACTTACTTCTGTGGCGGGTCGTTACAACAGTCTCACTTTACGGGTTAGCAGATTCTCCAGGTAAGCGGATTTAGAGACAGAAAAACTATAACAAAATAACTTCTTTCTCACTTCGATTCTGCTGAAAAACTGACTTCAAACATAATAATCTAACGCTTTTAAAATCAATCTATTGAATTAATGTCCATCACGATTCTTGTCATCGAATAAATCTGTCAACACGAGGCAACGCCTATTTATTAAACGAAACACTATGATATATAAAAGCGAAAAATCCCTCAATGCCCACTTCCGCTTTTAAAGCAATGCATTTTATTTGCAGTTCCTTGTATAAACGAAGCTGCATGAATCTATACCTAGAGTCACGAACATGTTAAATCGCAAAGTCAGTAAGTTACTTGCTTTCGGATTTACACCCAATAAAGACGTTATCGATGAACAAAACATGGCGAAAAAGTGAATTCAGACTTTCATATAGCCAAAAACTTTCATATCGGCCGTTTTATTGTAGAAAGTCGCCACTAACCATAAGCTCTCTCGATGAAGTGATTGACGCCATGTTTTTTTATATTATTCACTCCTATTCTCTGCAGCGAATTTCAAGCTACTTACAAGTGCCCCCGTTTAAGCGTTATATTGAATGTTTCATCGTAATTTTTAGCCCAGAAATAGGAGGCCGTGGAAAATACTCGACTGATATCAGGCCACGCATAATTGAATTGTGTCAGTCTTATGTAACTAAGGTTACTTTAAGAGTCTGGCGCTTATAGAACCTTAAGTGACAGTAAACGTGTGCAATGAAGGGTGCTGAAACCCCAATATACTTCCTACGTAGATGTTGCGGGCTGAAATTAGATATCTCCTTAGAATTCAATATCGTGCCTTTGAATAAATATTTAGTTTACTGACGTTATCATACCTTTTAATATACTGTTCAGGTTGCTGAAATTCCTAACCAAACTTTTATGAAAATATGTTTCAACAGTGGCTACGATAAATTTAAAGAACCGATTTTTACGGTGAATTTTCAAGGCAACGTAGCTTGGGAGAATCTTTGGAATTTGGCCTAAAATTTTATCAAATTTTATTAATTTTAATATACAACAAAAGAGTAACTTGATTTTGTTATGAAGAAAGTACTTACTGGTAAAATATGAAATACTGTACATTAACTGAGGTTGTAACAAAGTTGACCAAAGGAAGTTTTTTTCGTCTTGTCTCGAGCACGGAACATAGATAAAAATTTACAGTCGCCATCAAAAATGACGCCTCAGACGCTCGGATTGCTCGCTCTTTGCTTTGCTACGCCATTATTAATTTCTTGTCTTACACGCCTCCTGTATCAATACTATGATCAGCAATTTCTAAAGCGTTAAATGACGCGTTTCACGCTTGGGAAAGGGCGTAAAACATCTTTCTTTAGCAAACAGAAACAGTCACATCAAAGATTTGAAGGAGCATAAACAGAGAAAAGAATCCAGACGAAGTGAAGCCGGACATTGAGTCAATGAGACCAATTGCGGATAAATTAAACAGTTATGTGAAAGATTCAAGGACCATGGAAATAAACAAAGTACCAGAAGCATGATTTTTAGAGAAAAAATACGCCATCTTTCTCATTCTTTTCACAGATATGATTTTTGTTGTAACTTTAGGAATGAATAAGTTGTTTAAATAAGGGTCACGCTTACTGATTACGATTGGTCGAAAAGTACTCTTAAGTATATCACGTGTTTGTTATAGCACTATTTCAAGAAAATATGTGATGAATCTTGCCTATTTAACAATATCGTCTTAATAGAAGCTTCGTTGAGGCAGGCTATTTTCTATTTTTATCAGTCAGGGTTTAAATGCGGTAAATCAAAGGCCAAGTAGTCACGAGAGAGATTAACAATTATTGCACTATAACATGATATTAAGCCTATGATCCATTGAAGTAACAATAATAAGTAACAGTGAATAAAAAAATCCGTGAAAATTAATGTGGATGTTGAAAACGACCACCCAGATCTGTCAAATTCAATTCTGACTTGGAACATTTTATTGTTTTTTAAACCTTAAATGTTTCGGTGATTTATATCCCTGAGCTATTTACGATTTACAGTATTTCCTGAGTGCCATATCGTTTAATATCATCTATATATCATAGCTCCACGATATATCATTTACATCCAGCAAAATATCCGGCTTCCTCCTGACGATTTCTCGTTTGCACCGAACGACTTATCCTTAAGCAAATCTGGAGAAAAGTGTAAATACGAAGTTTGCCTTCCGAATTGTAACAATCAACAGCTTTCTTTTGACTCGGCTTCAGTGAACTTTGACTTCTTGTGGATACTATCGAAGTAGTTGCACTTTACAACTTTGGTTTGTGTTGAAACGCCAATATATCACTTACACGGCTCATCATCAAATAATATATCAATTACATCCGGTAAAATATCCGGCCTAAGCTTGACGATTTCCCGTTTACACTGAGCGACGTATCCTTCGGAAAATCTGGAAAAAAGTGCAAATACGAAGATTGCCTTCCGAATTGAAAACGACCACCCAGATCTGTCAAATTCAATTCTGACTTGGAACATTTTATTGTTTTTTAAACCTTAAATGTTTCGGTGATTTATATCCCTGAGCTATTTACGATTTACAGTATTCCCTGAGTGCCATATCGTTTAATATCATCTATATATCATAGCTCCACGATATATCATTTACATCCAGCAAAATATCTGGCTTCCTCCTGACGATTTCTTGTTTACTCTGAACGACTTATCCTCAGGCAAATCTGGAGAAAAGTGTAAATACGAAGTTTGCCTTCCGAATTGTAATAATCAACCGCTTTCTTTTGACTCGGCTTCGGTGAACTTTGACTTCTTGTGGATACTATCGAAGTAATTGCACTTTACAACATTGGTTTCAGTGTGCTGAAACGCCAATGTATCACGTACACGGCTCATCATCAAAAATAGTTGATAGTTGCAATATCTACCACGTGCACGTCGCGCTTTAAGAAGGTTAATGTAAGGGTATGATATGGTATAGACAGCGGCGGAAGCTACCAGAAAACACAACGATAAGTTTAGTTTTCAAAACTATTATGGTCACTTCAAAAGTTGCAAAGTGTTGTACTTGGCGCTCACATAAAACAACTGTGCTAGCAAAGCGAATGCCTCACTCTGCTTAGAATTCGTTTAACTCCAAACGCAAGATTTTCATCAATAGACTAGCGCACGATACCTCATATCTTTATTTCAAGTGCTAATATCTATTAATTGGAATATATAATTCTATATTTTTAACAAATGTCGATAATAATAATATTTTATATAAAATAATAACTAATATGTTTGCTGAGGAAAAAAACAAAATATAATTAAAAATCTGTGAACTTTGATTAAAATAGGTAAGGTTTATCGAGGCTAAAATATAGCAATAAAGAATCAAAGCCTGATATTGAGAAATGTAAAAAAAATTGGCGGTAAAAAGACCAAGGAAATGGCACCTTCAATAACGTCAATATCAATGTCATTGTTCTGTATGTCACGTGGAAGCCTCTTAAACAGACAAGAGACTAGTGCACTCTTGAGCGCTAGGATTGATTATTGAAAAAATCTAACAGATCAAGAGATCTGTCTCAAATTGACGCTAATACTCGAACATATCATTTTTGGAGACATTACATCCATTTTGCATTTACCTGAAAATGAACTCTTAGCTTGACGCAGATTCATATTATTAAACCTTTAAAATTTTAAGGTGACCCAAGTGGTGTGGCTATTTTCAAACTACAATTCTTTCAAGGCTAGTCCCTTGAGCAGGGTATCAAAAAAATGACCAGTAATTTCTAATAATAACAGCACAGCCTCTTAGAAACATTCTTAATTTTAGCTGTATCTGCCTGAAACTCGATGATTACCTTTCCAACAAGATTTTAGGTATGTGCAAAGAGTAAATTTGAAAAAAAATAGGAACGAGAGTAAATCTAGTAAAAAGATTTCGATTGCGAAGAATTTCTGGACTTATCAATGTCGAAATTGCAAAATTGTTCTAAAGGATTGACTCAGTATCTTCCTAGAAAGACAAAAATAATCGTTCTGTTTCATCAAAAACGCCAGTTGGAAGGAAAAATTCTCAAGTAACAATATCGAGATATTCTTAATTATAATTTAACAAAAAAACAAGAAAAAAAACGAAAAAGAATTGTAGGTGGTAGCGTCAAAGAAAAAAAAGTGTCGGCAAGACTAGTATTTGGATGCAATATGGAAATCATTAATAATATTTGGAAGTTTTCATTGATGAGTTAGTAAAGTGTTATTGGAAAGCATTGTCTGGAAATTGCTATTTAAGGAGCTAAGTGCATCAAATGTTTATACAACCATCGAGACCAAACATCAGGTGAGTGCCACTAGCTTTTGTAAAGTTGTTAGGTATTTTTACCTGGAGTTAAACACTTTACCGCTCTAGGGTGTATTCAAAGAGACGAATGGGCACGTCCTTCTATTACCAAATTTTGTCTGAATTTCGGATTTCGGACTAAACACAAAAAACTCAACCATGAATCGTATTTAAACATCCACGAGTGAATCCAACAGATCCTGATGTGCAGCCAAATCTTACCAAAAAGGTTCGATTTGGTATTTACTACACCCAAATTCCACCAAAAATCCTGTAATGTTTTTAGTAAATACCGTAATGAAATCTGTTCAGGGTCCTATACTGAGCCACACCAGAGGACAACAAACGGAGAACAATTATACAAACTGATGAATGAAAACTAAGTTTGTATTTTTACACAACTAAGTGTCAAATCTTAGTGGCAAAAAATTATAATTCCTGAAAAACTAAAATTACCTTGTATGGCAATGAAATCGTTCTCTTCAAGGAACATTTTCATAAACATAGACATTAATAGTGTGTCGCAACCTAACGGAGCTTCAAATTCTTGCATGAGAAGTTCAGAAGTTCATAAGTTCAGCCGCAGAGGAACTTTGGGAACCAGATGTTTCAAATTTTTTTTGTTTTACTGTATATAGAGCGAAGTAAAAGGGCAGTTTACTTTAGCACTAAAACAACGGCGAGATCGGAGAATTTTGTAGAACCTCTTCTTATGGCTTTGTCATTCTTCGCTTTTTCAGATCTGGTTTATGAACTAACAGCAGTATGTTCCTTCTGCTGACGGGAGCATTACTGGCGTTATCCGTATTTGGAGGGACCCAAGGTAATGATTTCACCCTTCATACCATCTGGCAAATTTATAAAAATGGATCACGTAGGGTAGTTCAAAGTATAGCCTGTAGATCTAAAAAAAGAGTTTTTCATTTCATAATATGAAACTTATCGTGATATTCCGTTTTGTTTTTCAATTCCATCACGGTAAGATTCTGTTTACAAATGACTCAAAACCTCACTTCTACTTTGTATATTGTTCTGTAAACTCAGTTATAAATCATGTAAAATCACCCAATTTTTCCTCTTTCAGGAAACACGCCTGTTTCTTACTTGGGATGTTACCGAGAATCTAAAAATCACCCCCTCTTTAATAGAGTGTATTTTGATCCCAGAAGAACCAGTTATCCATCAAGGCGACCGAGTTTGAGTTCCATGATTCAGATCTGTGCTCGTGAAGCCGTTAAGAAAAAGTACTCTTACTTTGCAATCAAAAGATGGCGTCAGTGTACGTGGGGACGAAAGGGACTTAGCATCACCCGGAGAAGGAAATGCAGAAATCGATGTCACAATGGCGTCGGCAGACTGCGGTATGCTGCAGTCTACAGGATACAGAAAGCTTCAGGTTATTGTTTTCATTAGTTTTTCATCAGTAAGTCTTACAGCTACACCTTTTGCTGTTCATGTAGGTTAAAAATGTGAATGAATGGTTTCTGCACGATAATATTTGTGTACTGTCTCTATCGGCATTCAAGAAGGTGTTCATGACTTGAAGGTTAGCGCAAATGAAAGTATATTTTTGCCCCATAATTTCTATTGACTGCTGATTAAAATGCCAAAAATCGTCATTGAATCTGATTTACGCGCAAATGATCGTTTTTGTCGCTAATGAATGCAATTTTACGCAATTCTTCGCCTTTTCACACAAATGAATGCGTATTTTCTCATAATAAACAACAAAAGAAGCAGATCTAAAAACAAGTTTTTCATTTCATAATGTGAAACTTATCGAGATATTCCGTTTTGTTTTTCAATTCTATCAGAGTAAGATTCTGTTTACAAATGACTCAAAATCTCACTTCGACTTTGTATCTTGTTCTGTAAACTCAGTTACAAATCATGTGAAATCACCCAATTTTTCCTCTTTCAGGAAATACGCCTGTTTCTTACTTGGGATGTTACCGAGAATATAAAAATCGCGCCCTCTTTAACATAGTGTATTTCGGTCACAGAAGAACCAGTAATCGATCAAAGCGACCCAGTTTGAGTTCCATGATCCAAATCTGTGCTCGTGAAGCCGTTAAGAGAAAGCACTCTTACTTTGCAATCAAAAGATGGCGTCAGTGTACGTGGGGACGAAAGGGACTTAGCATCACCCGGAGAAGGAAATACAGAAATCGATGTCACAATGGCGTCGGCAGACTGCGGTATGCTGCAGTCTACAGGATACAGAGAGCTTCAGGTTATTGTTTTCATTAGTTTTTCATCAGTAAGTCTTAGAGCTACACCTTTGGCTGTTCATGTAGGTTAAAAATGTGAATGAATGGTTTCTGCACGATAATATTTGTGTACTGTCTCTATCAGCATTCAAGAAGGTGTTCATGACTTGAAGGTTAGCGCAAATGAAAGTATATTTTTGCCCCATAATTTCTATTGACTACTGATTAAAATGCCAAAAATCGTAATTGAATCTGATTTACGCGCAAATGATCGTTTTTTTCGCTAATGAATGCAATTTTACGCAATTCTTCGCCTTTTCACATAAACAAATACGTATTTTCTCCTAATGAACAGCAAAAGTTTTGTTTGAATGCTCTTCTGTTCGGTCGATAGATCACTTTTTTGGGGCAGAATCAGCTTCCCAAGCATAAACTTTTTAACAGAAATTATTGAATTTTTAGATATTGAGAGACGTATTTTCTGTCAAAGTGGGATCTTAATCGAAAATTTGAAAAAAGTGTAGCTTTACTTTTTAAAGAAAAACATAATTGATGCTTCCTTTGGCCTGCCGATACTAATTTTCTTTCTTTATTGTCTTCTTTCTTTCTTTCTTTCTTTCTTTCTTTTTTTTCTTTATTATCTGCCCCTTGAGAATAGATGTAAGAAAACAAAAAAAACTGCCATTCAATATTTGAAAGCGGGCGGTCCGTGGCTAGGAGACCATAACAGGAGAGTCAGATAGACAGTGTAGCCCTTTTTTGATAATGGAATGATAGAGGAACAGGACAGTCTTTCATGTAAATTGTTTTCTCCAGTTTTAGTTTGCCAAGCGGGACAAACATCGTTTGATAGATGCGGGCGGAGATGTGACTGCATTGGTGGGCGTCTCGTTAACTGCGTAAGGATTAGAAAAGAGTTCACATCCCTCTCGTTGACAGAGCGAAGGCGATACATTCAAACCATTCTTACAGCTTCAACTGACACCAGGTTCAAAAACGATTACGACCGCCTTCTCAATGACCATAGGATCCTCTTCACGACGGGAATTCATGAGCGTATTCACTTTCTCACATGGCATCGTTATTTTATCCTGCTTTACGAAAATCTTCTTCGACGGGTTGACTGCAGATTCACTGTGTCATATTGGGACTGGTCTCGAGTTTCGGGTGATCCTTTTCGAACAACGAATCCCAGAGACCTTTGGCATAGAGGCAATGCTTCTTTTGGCGGAAATGGCGTTCCACCCAACGACTGTGTACAGACGGGTCCTTTCAGAGAGAGCGTTTGGAGCCTCCCTCCCCTTCCATCGGGAGCTCCACCCTCGCCTGGATCTGGATGCTTAAGGCGACAATTTATTGGAAACCCTCCAGACACGGTTGCAGTGAATAATGTCTCGCAATTTAACCCGGTTAACTTCACACGTTTTGAGCTGGCACTCAGACTTAATCTCCATGGCGCAGTTCACTGTTTGATTGGTGGTACCATGTGCTCTGCTGACGCCGCTTCAGCGCCTGAGTTCTTTCTGCATCATGGCTTCGTCGACAAGATTTGGGATGACTGGCAGAAGAAAAGTGATGTTCACCTGAATGCGTTCTTTCCTACTATCAACGAGGTTATGCCAGGTACTCAGGTGTTACCCAGGGAGGTGGTTAGTCTTTCATCCCAGCCAGGAGGCGTTCGTGCAGAATACCAGCAACCTACAAGCCCTGTGAGACCTCTATCAGGTATATGTATGGTCTAAGTTATCTTTGGTCGTATTTATGATCGTCCAGTTGAAGGTAGACCTGGGAAGGGCTGTTGTCGGAAGTGGTGACGGACGTTTCGACAACCTTCGCGGAGGTCATCAACAGAGTTAAGTCTGATGATAACCCCTGCAAAGGTCGTCGAAATGTCAGTCACCACCAATTCCCCCACACCATCATCACCACTTCGAACAACAGGGTGGCTCAGAATGATAAAAAACGCTTGAAAAGATGTGACTATCAAATATCTCTTTGTTTTCAGGCAAGGGACAAAGTCAACGAAGGCGATTTTCTTCTATCAGTTCAAAGGTCATCAAACTGTTCCATGTAAAGCCATCTGAGGTTAGAGAAGCGAGAGCGATGGAAAAGATGATACAGCCATGAGCTGAAGCACCGAGCACCGAGGAACGAAACACAGAAGCAGCGAAGAAAAATTGTGTTTCTATATCACATTTACCAATATCTTAAATATCCATTATAATCAATCTTTAAATTTGCACTTGCATTGAAAAGTTACGAATTTAACCAGTATCCAGTTGAATAATCTTGAACTGATTTAAACAGTAACTGGAAAATATGAAATCGTGAAGACGTAAAAGTAAGGGAAGTTGTAACTTATTCATCACCTGGTGGTATGGATAAACTAGTGTGGAATGTAACTCAATAAAAATGATGAAGAAACAGTTTTTTTTTTGAAGTGAAAATGATTTTGATACCGTTTTGTTTACAAATGTTTGAATGGATTTTGTTCTACATTGGAACTATGGAAATACATGGACTGTCACAAAAAAAAGTACAATGCATCATCCGACTCTTTCGCTCTGGCATTCGAAAAAAAGAACAGAAAATGGAAGGAAATATTTACACTTAGTCCCAGTTCAGACGTCAAGCTTCTCCCGCGCTCAACTTAATTGCAATTAGGTTCGACTATGGCACGACGGAAGCACTACTCTGATTCAGACGTCGGGCTAATGTCGTTCAAAATTCAGCGCATACTGCATAAAGGAGAAATTTTCTCATGACCTCTTCCCCCCCCCGCAGTAACGCAATTCCGCCGAAATATATTAGTATAATTTGTGAATTTTGTCTGGCACGGCAGGGGTGTGTTGTCTGAATCACTGTCGTACCAGTGTCGAGTAGCACAGCAGAGCTTGTCGAGCTAAATTACTTTCCGAACTTAATTCAAAGGTTTGATTCAGGCTCCGTGCTTGTGTCTTGCTTTTGCTGAACAATTTTTAATGCGTATCGAAATTAAACCGAGATTGCACAGGTGCTACTTTACTTCTCTCTGTGAATGGTCTAGATAACTCCCGCCATCCTTTCAACCAATCAGATCGATGAAAACTTGAAACAATCGGGACTTGGTCATTTGCCTTTTCTCGCTTCAAGAAGTTTTTGCTCGTTGTACTTCATGTCCTCATTTTCTCAGTGATGATGATATAAACCTTTGTTCTGATAGGTCGCTGAGAATAGCTGGGTTTTGTTTATTCGACACTCAATGGAAACTGCTCTACAGTGTATCAACAAACCTGATTGCCAATTTTATATTATTCTACAGCAAATGCTGCTAATCAAGGAGAAGCAATTGTGGATTCAGTTGTATTGCCATCAGCTTTTCCATCGTGCTTTGCGAATTCATGATCATGTACCCAACTCTCAGCTAAAAACGTTGAATTTAAGGGCAAAAAGTTAAAGTTAAACGTCAATTATTGATAAGAAATGAAATCACTTGCCTGGTGTGGAATTTGAATAATTCATGACATGATTCATCTCGTGAAATTTTTAGAAAATTAAGCAGGAGTACATTTTTCTTTTGTAAATTCCAATAACTGAACGATTAAAGAAACGCTCTGCATGTATCAGACTCAGGAGTGAAGATCAGAATGTCTCTTCTGGATAACTATGATTTGAACAAGCAGTTGTAACAGAGAAAATCAAGATTTATTCGAGTCTTTACAATTCATATAAATTGTCAACCATATCAAAGAAGAGGGAACATTTTTGATATCATATTCAAATATCTTTCGGTAAATATAATACAGACACAATGAGTAATGAGAATGAAAATGAATATACAAAAGGCTATATTGATTTGATATTTGGATATTTGGGATTTTGTCATAAATGCGTGCATTGTTGGAGATGAATCTATCGAAAGATTTTATGAAAAGAACGATGAACTATGATTCTCTATCTGTTGGTGACACTTTTAGCTTGGTGTAAAATGAAAGGTAAGGATTTTTAGTGAAAAGGAAAGAGACAAAAAGTGCATAGAATACTTAGAGGTTAGGCTTTCCTGTATAAATCATCCAGCTCAATATCAACAACTCCTTAGTTTCGAAACCAACTAATGAAAGAACTTAGTTGAAAAGTGGTGCATTCACCGTGTACGATTTTCTTATTTCTCAACCTTCTCACCAGTCTGTAAATCAATATTTACCTAACAGACTAAAAAACCGGCTTAATAAGAAAAAAATAAAAATGAGTAAAAAAACACAATGCCTCGGTCGATTTCTGGACTTGAATGTAAAGGTTTATCGGAGTTGAAAAAGCGATGACTGAGGCCTTAAGAGCAACGAAATCAATACGTGTGAAACGTCATGAATACTACATTGTCTTACGAATTTAAGCACTAAGGAAACTCAATGAATGAAAGGCTATAGCGCACAATGCAACAGCTCTACCCCAGAATGTGGTGGGAAGATTTTTTTACCTCAACTTCCGTTCAAACTCCTATCTAGATCTTTCCGCATCATGGCTTCATCGACAAGATTTGAGATGACTGACAGAAGAAAAGTGATGCCCACCTCTTTCCTATTGTAATCGAGTTTCCACCAGGAACTCAAATATTACCCAAGGAGGTGGTTAATCTATCCTTGTAGCCAGGGGGGCGTTCGGGTGGAATACCAGCCATCTCGTAAGCCCATTAGACCTCTATCAGGTATCTATGTGATGAGCTGAATTATATACTCATTTTCATTGACTCCTACTTATGATCTATTGGAAGACAGATGCATAGATGACGTCACCATTGACAACATTTTGATTTTTTTTTCTTTTTTAACGAACAAATAAATTCCGTGTTACTGGAAATAGATCACAGAAGACAATAAAGTCTGACAAGAACGTTAGTGAGACACCCGGCTGCACCTCGTCCGCCGCCTTTTTGCTTTTACCACATTTTGGTTTCATCTTTAATCTATTATTGAAAAACGGTGTAACAAATTACGCAGCTGAATGGTAAGCTATAAGACACCTGACTGACTATCAAATATCCCTTTGTTTTCAGGGCAGAGTCAGAGTCAACGAAGACGTTTTACTTTCCTCAGTGTATAGGCCATCAGAGTGTTTCGTACAAAGTTATCTTAGGTAAAAAGAGCGATAGAGATGACAACCTTGTGCTTTTCTCAAAAACAAAGCGGAAAATTGGTTTATATCAGATTTTCAGGTGATGGAGTTTTTATGTTGATAAATATCTTGCGTTATACCCGCGAAAAAGGATTACAAATCCAATATCTAACAGAATTATATCGAATTCATTTATATAGCTATTTTGAACAGCTTTTATGATTTGCATGAAAAACACGAAATTAAACTTAGTTGCAATTTATTGACAACTCAGTGGTATCAACCGAGTTTGGAAAGTGCCCTAATAAAATATAAAAAAGTGCCGGGTGAGTTCTATTGAAGTGAGCACGTGGGTTTGTACATTGTTATATGTACATTTACCCCCTTTTATTGAAATAAATAAGAAAAAAACCCTGGACGAGGGCTGTATGCGATGGCAGGGCCGCGAAAAGCCGTACGGCCTACCTCAATGCCACGTTCATATGGTAAAATGATTATTGCCTGAGTTAGGTCGGGCTGGCAGGGTAAAGTTTTGGCTCTCAGCCATGATCCTCAGCCAGTATCCGGTAGTTAGTGAGTATCTTCGAGCAAAATATCTTACCGTCTAGCCCTCTCACCTAGGCAATAAGTACGTTTTAAACAAGATGTCCGACATTGAAGCAGGGGAATTACATTCTAAACTGTCTCGACCAAACTACAATTTATTATTAGACTCCTTAAATCTGTTATTCAAAACGACTCTCAAGCATTCACGATTACAAACCTCTGTTACTTCTCTCGTAAATTGTAACAAATTAATGAAGCTAGGATTTGACCAGTCAGTCGCTTTCTTACAGAACGAATCTCGATCCTTTTGAACCCATTACTCTTCAGATACGTTATATGGACGAGAAGGCGTTTTCATCGGATATCGCATTGAAATATCGTCCAATTTTGTAGATACAATGAAAAATGATGATGAAAATGATGATATAATAGGGCTATATTGAGTTGATATTTGGGGTTGGTTGTCAATGGGTGCATTGTTCGAGACGAATCTTTATAAAAATTTAACAAAGAAGGACTTTTACAAAAGCCAGTTGTAGTGCTTCGACGGTGTTCAAGACAAAACGCGCTGTAAGTAAAATGGTAGACTAATTCTAAGGTGTCTTTTTTAACAATATCTTTTCTTAAGATTTTAAATCTAGAACGAAGAAAACTTTTCATTATCATCAAAACTACTGCATATGTATCCTGGCGGCAATACTTCGCCCGTATTTCAAATATCTGAATTCTGTTTTATTATAAAACATCTTACTCTTTCATTCTGTTTAATATGAAATTTATCAAAATCTCACGGTTTTTTTAAACAAATTCGAAAATCTTAAAATAACTATTAGCCGCAATGGTGTCGCAGAAAAATAAATGTGGTGTCCTGCTTTGTTCAATAGCTCATCTGGTGCGATTGAACGAATTAGTTTCTATCATTTTGATGTAATTATTGGCTAATCTAAAAAAAATGAATTGGATACGACAGGTAACAGTGTTTTTAATCAATTGTTGAAGAAATTACTTCCTTTTTTATACGTCTACCAAAGACGTTGGGGATGATTAAAAAAAAAAAAAGAATATCAAAATTCAGTCCATCAACAATATAAAAGTATTATGTGAAAAGAAAAAAAAGAGGAATGAATTTTCCTAATCCATTTATTTTTGTGTTTCAGTATATTTAGTAATTTTTTTACCAAGATTCACTGTTACAGAAGGTTAGTGGATTTGAAAATATCATCTTAGATTTGTGCTTTCTATAGTTTTAGTTTTCTTTTTGTTCCGGCAAGGTAAATGATATTTTGATTCTGATCACCCCCAGCTGGCTGAGAGAAATATCAGAGTATTCCATATTACTTGCTGTAATATTTCTTTTTGAATCAATTGGGTGACCGAAGAGATAATTGGGTCTCAAAGCTGATTGTGGTATGAAGTAAATAACTTCATTCTTTTTTCAGATCTCATTTATAACAATGGCGAGAACTTTTGTTCTCTTTCTGATGGTAACGCTCTTAATTTGGTGTGAAGTTGAAGGTAAGGATTTCTAGTTTAAATTACGGGGAAAAATTTATAGCACATTTGCAGGTTTCGCTTTTGCATGAATCATTTAATTTAAGATCCTTAAGTTTAGAAATTAAATAATGAAAGAACTTAGTAGAATAGCGGGTTATTAACATTTAACCACCTGTAGAGTTACTCAGGATTTTCTGTATTGTGTTAGGGGTGGTCCAATATTTTAAATGACATACCTCATATCACGCCTGGTTTGCTTTTATTGTTTTTAAGACGCGAGTGGACCTTTCTTTGATCTTTTATGTCTTTTGCTTGAAAAGACAAGATTAGCAAGTTGGAAATTGAAAAAAAATGGCAGTATTTCGAGTGGAACTGTTCAGAAATCATCAAATGAAGTAACTAGGTAGAAAAGCTCGTTATGAACACTCTAACAACTGTGGAGTTTATGGGGTCAGGTGGTCAGGTGGTTCAATATATAAATCCAATCACCATTTGAAACTAAGTGACACACATTTCTTTTCACGACCGATTTGCTGTAACGAAGGTACTAGAGGCTCTTTCATTTTTCTTTTATATTCTTCTATTCAATTTTTTTTTACGTGAAGAAACAGGACTAGAAAGAAAGGAGTCAAAGAGCATTACTACGAGAACACATTTCTTTTTCTACAAAAAAGAAAAGAACAAAACGGATACTAATATAATATAATTTATTCACTCTTCTTCTTGTAGCATCAGGCCAAGTTCACGTGTCCTACCTGGGATGTTATCAAGAACCCCCCTACGACTCGTTATTCTATAAAGCGTATCTAGATTATAGGCACCGTATCGATTGGACAAAGCTACCTGACTTGAGTCACGTGACTCAGGCCTGTGCTCAAGAGGCCATCAAGAGAAATTATTTGTACTTTGGCATCAAGAACTATGGAGTATGTTCCTGGGGCCCAGATGGTCTCACAATTACGACCAAAGGGACAAAAGGGTCTGGATGCTTCCTGACTATCGGAGGTCTGTCGGCTGTTTCCGTCTTCAAGATTTCGAAAACGAAAGGTGACAAAGTCGCAGCCCTGATTAAAACTAAAAGTTACTTATACGTAGAGAAGCGTAAAAGCAGTCTGTTTTTCAAAAAAATGCCGTAGAAATCTTTGCGGAATTCAAATATTTACATAAAGACATTTCCATACGGGGTTAGTTTATTGAGGAAAAATTTACATCTTTGTGTTATTCTTGTGCTCTAAGGGTAAGGCAGAAAAAATATTAAGAGGACACCAAGCGCCACAAAATGTAGGCATAACACATCAAGCTGAATGTTGTGATTCTCTCGGGTCTAATTTAAACTTTGTCCCATGAAACATCCATTTTGTTGTATTTGAAAAATTTACTCGTGCTTATTAACATCAAATTGCACTCGGAATCATGTTGTTACCTCTACAAATTCCCTAAGTCCAACACAAATGAAAACTGCGTTGATATCTGTCCACTTCTATTGTATCCATAAACGTCACTTATATTTTTAATAACTTATAAAGCAGATCTCTTCCTCAGAAATTTGATTATTTTCTTCATATTTTAAGTTGATGGTGGGTGGTCGAACTGGGGAGCCTGGAGCGCCTGCAGCCTAACATGTGGTAACGGCAGGCAAACACGCATACGGACCTGTACTAATCCCTCACCGGCTGCTGGCGGTGCCGACTGCGTTGGAGATAACTCTCTTGAGGTTCATTCATGCAATACCAACAGTTGCCCAGGTCAGACAAGGAGTTCTATCAAGATTTCTTACCCTTTCTTTCTATCTTCATTTTCAACGTATGCAATAGGCACGCTTGCATGTGCGTCATAAGGCCTTCTCCATAACTACTGAATCGCGCTAAGAAGCAATTAGCTTTAAATCAAAGATTGACTCATATCAAATGTTAAAAAATGCGTAATAATGAACTTGCAAAGTGTTCTTTAATTTTAGCTAATGGTGCATGGTTTAGCCTGGCGTGACTGGAGCGGTTGCAGCTGCTCCAGTCCCCGCCTAGTATAGGTGCTCTTACTTGCCGTGGAAGCGATTCTCGATCCCAACCTTTCGGCGCGAAAGAAAGTGAAAGGAATTGAATAAAGATTTGGAAGAGATAATATGAGTAACGGATGTAAAAATTTTCAACTCCTGATGGTTACTTCTAGTTCATAGTAAATGGTCGGAATGGGGCATCTGGGGTGGTTGTAGTCAAATACGCGTGACTACTTGTACCAATCCTCTCCCGAGTGGAAGTGGTACAAGTTGTCAAGGAAACAGTGACAAGTCACGACCTTGCAACACGGATTCATGTCCAAATAAGAGATTGGATCAAATATCTATTTAATCCGTTCGAAAACAGACAGATGTAAAGTAAAATTTTCTTTTCGTTCTAAGTAAACGGCGGATGGTCAACTTGGGGAGTTTGGAGCACTTGTACTCGAACGTGTGATGGTGGAGTTCGATCACGCATGCGCACATGCAGCAATCCTCTACCACAAAGCGGCGGAGCTGCTTGTCAAGGACCTGGATCTCAATCTCAGCTCTGCTATAAAAATGGTTGTCCAGGTAAAAGTTTCCTTACAAAGATGATACGGACAAAAAGATTTTGTACTTAATGCCCCCTGTTTAGCAAATCGTGTATTATATGACGAGGAAATACTTTACGGTTAGGACAGTTTGTTAAGTAATACTAGTGCCTATAACCGCATAGAAAATATTTAGCACTTTTTCTCGCACATCCAATCATGTAGAGATCGACTTCATTTTTCACTATCTAGCATCACCTGTGCAGCTGTGGTGATCATTGATTAGTTACCGTAGGAGTTAAGAATTTTCACAAAATTCCAAGATATTTCTAGCATTGTGCAAGTCCATCGCACATATCATTAAGCCGACGTAATTCAAGCAGATTGTGATTGATTCAGTTCTTCTTGGAAAAGTGAAATATATAGATATCAATTACAATAACCTATCAAGCGTCAATTTATTTCTATATAGTCAATGGTGGTTGGTCAAACTGGGGAGCTTGGGGCAGCTGTACACAAACATGCGGTGGTGGAACACAAACACGCAGTCGCACTTGTACCAGTCCTACTCCAACCAATGGTGGTCTCAACTGTTCAGGAAGTAGCTCGGAGTCCCAAGCATGCAACAACAACACGTGTCCATGTATGTCTAACAATTCGTTAGTGTCAGTCGCAGTATGATTCCGTCAAAGGGGCTTCTTCTAGAGGATAATGTGTATTTACATTTAGTCTTCCATCATAAAAGTTAATGGGTCTGCTAATCAACATTCTGAAGTGCAACAAACTGAGTAAGACTGTTTTGCTACAATTCAGCCATTGAGAAGTTTCAAATTCCGCACTAAACATTTATTAGTTTTGGAACCATCACTTTATATGAGGATTTTAGCCACAGGCGTTCATGGTAACTCTGTATAATAACTCTGACTCTGCCTTGGTGACATTTTCCCTCGTATATCTTCTAGATATACAAACATGTAGCAATTGTTTCTTTTTGTGCATCTTAATTGAGGATTCGTCACATTTGTAAAGCTTTGAAATTTATGCGATGATATGTAACATAATGGTTATTTTTATAATAAAAGCGTAATTGTCTTGATTTTATCTCTAGTTTGCCAAGAAGGAAGTACCTCATTTGATCAATGCGGGCAGAGATGCACCTGTGTTCAAGGCCAGTTGGTTAACTGCGTTCGTATTCGAAAAGAATTCACTTCCATGTCATCTCTTGAGCGAGAACGGTACATTAAAGTCATATTAACAGCTTCTACTGACCCAAAATTTAAGAACGACTATGATGAGTTAATCAATCGGCATAGAAATAAGTTTTTCTCTGGAATTCATGGACGAACGCACTTCCTTACATGGCATCGCTATTTCATGTTGCTTTACGAGAACCTCCTTCGTCAAGTAGCCTGCAATTTTACGATAGCATACTGGGATTGGAGTTCAGTGTCTGGAAATCCATTCAGCACTGTGAAAAGAGAAAGCCTATGGCACACCGCGAACTCTGGTTTCGGCGGGAACGGCATAGGGCCGTATAGCTGTGTCCAGACAGGACCATTCAGAGAGGCCAATTGGAGCATCGTGCCACTTCCAGCCAATTCCTTACCAGAGCCAGGTCCTCGGTGTTTAGCACGGAGGTTTAATGGGAACCCTCCTGACTCTGTGGCAGTTCAAGAAGTCTTACGAATACCAGCGAGTAACTTCACTGATTTTGAGCTTATGCTCCGAGTGAATCTTCACGACGTTGTGCACTGTTTGATAGACGGGACCATGTGCTCGATAGACTCAGCTGCTGCCCCGGAGTTTTTTCTTCACCACGGATTTATTGACAAGATCTGGGACGAGTGGCAGAAGAAAAGTGACGCTCATAAGAATGCCTTCTTTCCTGGTATCAAAGAGGTTATGCCAGGATCTAAATTGCTACCTCATCACGTACTCAACCTTTTGTCGCAGCCGGGAGGTGTTCGAGTAGAATATCAGTCATCCAGGAAAGCCGCCAATTTATTACCTCTTTTAAGAGGTGGGTATGTTATCTTTTCTATGTAAAATTATCATTGGGGGAATATTCTCAAAGGCAGAAAAAGCAAAAAATATCTGCAATGCATATAAATGAAGATTTTTTTGTTTTATTGATTAATCTGTTATTTAGCAATAAACATGCAGTTTTCAAAAATTCGTGGTCTCATTGGCAAGAAAAAAAAAACAAACAGTCTAAACTTTCCGGGTTCGTAGTAAAGCACAAGTTTAATGAGTTTGTCGTGAGTTTTGGTGGCAACCATACTCAGTGCTCCGCATAATGTGATGTTATAATACCGCAATACAATACCGATTTTATTCGCCATTCATAGATGGAAAGATGGGTTTCATAACAAAATTATTAAGTTTAAAATACTTGTTAGTAACAATATATTTATATATGGCAAGAGGGCCTCAAGAAATCATGGGGCTTCTACTATGGACTCCTTCCTGCTAAAACAAAAAGAAAAAATATATGCCTATAAGCGATACGCGTTCATTGGAAACATTTTTTTTGCCAAACCACCAATGTTAAGAGTTGGTATATCTGTAGATTCAGTAATAAACTTCGAAGAAGTTTCAGACTACCCAATACCATTGGGTAAGGAATTCCAAATTTTCGGACCTTGAAAAACTATATAAAAAAATATATAACATTTGTTGGACATTGATGGTATCGGTAATCATCGCCTCTTCTGTTGTTATACGAGTGCAAACGAGTACATCATCAAGTAAAATATCAATGTCAATGTCAAAATAAGAAGCTGCTCGGACTTTAGGGAATATTGTAGGCTCTGAAAAATATTTTTGAAAGCGCGTGCTTTGTCTTTCTTGTAAGCCCTTTCCTTCCTCAAGACCGCTTTTGCATTCATTTATTACACATGCGTAAAATGTATAGATCACATAGTAACTTAGCAGTTTTACAATACTTGTAATTTTTCTTGATTATTGTATATTCTTGTAGTTAGTAATTTTGTAGAGCCTTCACAGATGAAGAGCCACATCTTTTCATTATTATTATTATTATTATTATTATTATTATTATTATCATCATCATTATCATTATGTGCCTGTTTCGTTTGATTTTCTTCTGTAGGACTAAGTCTCAGTGCTCTTCATCATATTCCACGGAGACAGTTTTCTGGTGTCACTGAAAAGATAATAAAGGTATTCCATTTAAAGCCATCTGAAGTGAAACGTGCAAAAGAATTGGAGAAGCTGTTGCAGCCGTTGTATTAGTTAGCTTATATTAATTTGCAATATCACTTGAATTAATAAAGTGTATCTGACGATTAAGTATGCGATGAATATCAAAATAAAGTTGAATCCATTAAAAGTTGTATTTGGTTCCTGAACAAAGTAGAGTTTAACCCTAAATTTCATTGTCGTGGTAAAGTTGCGCTGTTTCCATAACATGCATGTTTAGAGCGTTTGGTTATTCCAAAGTCTATTTTATTTAGTCAAAAAGACAAAAAAAGCTACTGCTCGGTAATGAACTCCGTTTAGAGTATTTAGCAGAGAAGAGAATCTAACAAATGATGGGCGAGACTTTGGTAAACAGATTTTATGGTGTGCAGAGAAGTTTTGCACGGCTGCAGCGTCGTTCCATCTCTAAATACTACAGAGGCTCGCTCATTAGACCCAAGTGTTGATGCAAATTATCGGTTACAACAGACGTTAATAATGAAAATTAAAGGAAAAAAAATTATCAAAAGACAAAAGATGTGACCAAAGAGAAGCGACTTAAGTGATCTTGATTGTTAAAGCAATGCCTTTATTTTTTATTGAATAATTTAACTGTAAGTCAATTTATAATTTACTACCGTCATGAGCCTATCGTGATACCTTCGCTGTGTACCGAACTTGTGGGGTACACTCTATTCTCGGTCGTCAAATCCTGTTTTATTGTTTATCGTCGACACCCACCACGCCACGAACTTTGTATCCTCTCTTCTAAAAATCTGTCGCTTCAATCATCACGTCACCTATTTACCTTTTATTAAACTTAAACGTGAATGCGTAAGTGTCATGTCACGCAACTTCCGTTTAGCTGCTCGCTGTATCTGTGACTGCCCCCAAGCATCGCACTCGTGACATGCAAATGAATTTCGACGAAAAGAGAACCGATTGTTTTCGTAGAAACAAACTTTACTCTTGAGAAAACCGCCTGTTCCGCCTTTAGCGGATGGCCTGAGAACTACATCGATGAAAAAACTGAAGGTATCACTTTTGTGATCAACAAAGAAAACATGGCGGCGCCCAGGTGACGAACGGTTACTAAGTAGCACGAGTGGTCACCAAGCAAATCGGTGACTTCCTCTGACATCTGCTGTAGTATGAACTGTTACAGTATTTTGTTACGCTTGGTAAAGTTATGAGTGTATGTCTAACCGGGTACACGCATCCAAAATTTTACAACCCTAAAATAAAGTTTGTATTCAATATGAAGGCTGCATTTCAATGTTATGCATGTGATACATCACCAGAAACTCTTTTGTTCATATTGAGACTATTATCTGTTGTGTTACGGGTCAAATGTAAACAAAGAAGGTTACTTTTATTTACTCATTATTTCATTACAGTCCAAAATTGAGTGAAATTGTTCCTAGAAAACTTGAGAAATGTCATTGTGGAAGCCCAAAGTACCGCGTAGACAAACACCTTCGGATCTCGCTTTTCTTTCTCTCTGTTGGGTACTCCAACAAGTATAATATGAAACAGAGGTGAAAAGCTATCATGATGCATCAAATCTTTGCCGATCATTAAGTGAAATCTTTTGAGAACTAACAACTTACTTCATATTTCTTCCCAAGAATTCCAATAAGGAGCCATGCAATAACTAAATGATTCAAACGACTGCGCTGCTCTGGTGGCCTTATTCATGGGTGGTGATCTGACCTCCTCAAAAACAGCAGGGGCGTGTTTCTTTAATAATCGCTCTACAGGTGGTGTCGAAGCCTACCCGCATCAGCTTTCACAGTCAAATTAACGTTAAATTTCACTGGGGGATCGCTTTGTTCACTTAGATCACCAGAACTCCTCAGAGCGACACATCGAAGGTAATTACCTAATTGAAACAATGAGCTGTTACATGAAACTATCGAAAGAAAAGTGATCAACTAGAAAATTTGATTAGAGAGCATACTTTACAATAATGTTCTTCCTGTTATGCTATTATGCCATAGGTTATTGTAATATCGTTTAACGCTCGAAGTGACTTTAAGTAAACTCTATCACAATGAGTTTGGTATTCGATTGACAGACTTTTATCGAATATAAGATGGCAGATCGATAATTTTATCTAAGAGCAATGTTTTGGCTCCTAAATTGAAATATATACTACAACTTCGCGTGACATTCGATGACAAGTGTATTTTCCTGTTTGTTGTTTAGATTGTTTGTTTATTTAGAATGTTTGTTTGTTTCTTACTTTTCAAAATTTCTCTATGCCTTTCTTACTATTCCAAAGACTGTCTTGCCAATTCTCTCAGTCATCCCTTGTGAACCATCAAAATCAATTCATTACCGAGTGATGGTTTGCTAGCTTTGCTTCTTGTTTAATTTTGTCTTCGTTTGCTTGTTTCCTTAAATTTTTCTTTAACTCCTGCCTACACTTAATTCTTTCTGATAACTAAATTACTGAAATCATTCGGGAAACCTGCCGCTGACGAACGATATTATATACATTTAATATCGCCCCAGACCAAGGTCGGCCTCTTGTTGACTTTGATTCGCTGTAAAAAAAAAAAAAGAACTCAACTCGACGCTTTATTGTTACCTGAAGATCCACGAATTTAGTGAGAACAGACTAAAGCTAAAGAACCGAATAATAAAGAATAGCATAATATGGAATGTATCTACTTGCCCAATTGACATTTTATTGATTTTTTTTTTTAGCAGCTAGCAATGGAGTATCTTGGAATTATCACAGCAATGTTAGTGATGCTGAGGAGTTGTTCTGCAGGTAAGACTATAGACTTCTCCAAGATCCAAGACGCCTCCGCTATCCGTCGAAGAATCTTGGAAATATTTTTGCTGATTATTCATTTCAGAATGTGACCAGGGATGGAAATCGTTTAACAGCAAGTGCTATAAAATGTTTGAGGGAGAAAAGTCATGGGATGATGCGAAGACGTCCTGCGAGGGAACTGGTGCCCACTTGGTAAAGATTGAATCTGCTGATGAAAACATTTTCCTGTTGAACAGTTTTCTGCAGTTATTACCGAACGATAATAATCGTGAGGCTTGGACTGGACTCTCAGATAAGAAAGAGGAAGGAGATTTTGTGTGGACTGATGGTGCGACACCAGAATATACAAACTGGGCGGCCGAACAACCCAATGATGAGGATGACGAACAAGACTGCGTCGAGATTGTGAATGGTGTTTTCTGGCCCGGAGGTTTGCCACAAATTGGACTTTGGAATGATTTCCAGTGTAAAAAGGCGTTGATGTTTATATGTGAAAAGGCGGAGTAACTGATAAATGCTTGTGTTCAAGGTACGATTTTATTCTTGAAGGACTTTATCAATGTAACGCTACATGATTCGAACGTATGCCTACGTCGCGTCTGTGTTTCTCACGTTACACAGACATCATTATTTGTAACCGAAGTTAAAGTGAATCTGTCCTCGTACACGCTAACCTTGAAACCCAACAGTCTGTAAGCTTTATTGCTATCGGCTTGGCTATTGTCATCATCGTTATTAACTTCATTATGGCGATTTTAATCGCGAATTATATGTATTTCAGCCACTTGATTAATTCGTTCCCCAAACCTCTGTTACAGGCCATGGCTGTGCCAGGTCTAAGGATGTTATTTACGTCACTTTGATTGAGAACTGTAAGAGTTTGCTTTCCTATCATAAATTAAAGTATTGACCAGAATGCCTCAAATGATTTTTTCTTCAACAGTGGGAATCTGAGGAAGAAAAAGCCGCACAACTTCGAAAATTAAATTAAAGCAAAACGGAGAACTATATAATAAAAAAGAAACGGAATTTCAGGAAATCATTCCATTAGTCCCTATAGGAACCATATATATGATGATTATTTTATCAAAATGATTTTTTTTTCTTTTCCCAGACGTTGCTCGAAATGCATCTTCATCCTCAAATCTGTTAAAAATTACCGATAAAATTGTCAAACGACTACAAGGGTATATTAACGTGGTGAGAGTTTAAAATCAAGGCTTCAGTTAGCCGACCCTCCGTTTCAGGTTGTAAGCTGTTACCATCCTGCATGTAAGAACTTTCCCAAATCTTTGATGTTCAATGTTAAGCGCCCATAATAAAGGGAAACAGAACAATGCAATTTACATGGCGATGAAATCGATTCTTATTGCATTTATCTGACTGCTGACCGCTGATGCAGCATTGCTGTTCCAAATGGTCGCCTCAGTTTCTTGTCTGAACAGGTGGTCTTACGAAAGGTGCGAAAATTTTTAATAGAATCAGAGAAGGTTGGGTTTTCCTTTTGTTCAGAGATCTGGTGGCTCGATTCATGACATAGTCGAATCAATGTCTGTAAGACCAAAAGAAATCGTTCCATGTTATGCCTGGCTCCATTTACAATTCTGCTTTCACGAGAGATCGTGGCCATTAACTCCCGAAAAGAAAAGTGCTGTTTTCGAGGAGGTAAGTGTGCTGCATAGAGTTACATTCAAGCACATGAAATGAGATGTCTTAGTATTTCAAATTGCCAGCTTGTTTTTACCTTATTGTGTGGGTGTTACAATATTATATTCTTTTAAATCAGTTGCTTTTTTTTCTTTTTTTCTTCTTTATAGAGTTTTGAGAAATAGTTGCGTCTATCTAAGCGATATTTTGAATGTTAAAGACTTTGAGAAAAAAGGCCGGGTCTTTGGTATTATTAAGAAGTTAAAAAGAGAAAGAATACGAGCGTGCGTCTCTTTTTTTTGGTAGCAGGTAATTAGGCAAGACCTCTCTACCGAGAGTATTCCAAATTGCTCTCAAAGTGAACATGCAGCTATGTGGCTGAAATGAAGCATTTACTTAATCGAACACTTTAAATCATTTCATGTAGTTAGGTTTTTAGAGTATCATAGCCGTTTAAATCCTGTGTCCTTTTAGAAGTAAAAAAAAGGATTTAGTTTCAACATTGAAGAGTCTTACGGTTCTAAATAACGTTTAGTGCTTGGCAGTGATATTTCGATCCCCAACGTGCCTTTGTACCAGAGAAAACTTTTTTCTTTATAGAAGAGAACTCTAAAAGATGACGGACAAGCTCGAATATTTTGAGAAGACATCGATGTTTACTTGACCCTGATTAAGGGTGACCGACTTGAAATACAGAAAAATACTGTTAAAATTTAATGCATAATTGCAAAGTGACTAAAAATTGCATGCCTATATAATTTATCACTTAACTGTTTGGTTAAAGATAATTAGGAACGGGAAGGTTGCTCCGTGGCCTTAAATTCTACCTTTTTCTTCGTCCTCGAGATTTTATTATCCATGACTACTTCGGCTGCAACTGAAATTCCAATTTGGGGGGGGGGGGGGGGGGGGGGGGGGGGGGGGGGGAACAACACAACAATTGCTCTTGAGATTCCTTCAAAAGTGGATCTTATCTTATCGGAAAAATATCCTGTTTACAAGTACTTTACGACACGGGGAAAATTAGAACATCTGAAGTTGTTTCTTTTGTAGGATTTTTCAAGGATGAGGTTGGATGGGATCATTTTTGCATTACTTATCGCTCACTGTGTTGCAGGTAAGCGTTAAATTCACCGTAAACGGCAAGAAAGCCAGGTCAGTGGTAGCACAGTCACTTGGAAATCTTTTTGGCTTATTTAGTTGTGTATTTGTTTGTTTTCTCTTTGAAGAATGCGAAGAAGGATGGGAAACACCCGGGGAGAATTCTAATTGCTACAAACTGTTTACGGAGAAGAAAACATGGGATGCTGCAAACGATGACTGTCGAAACATAAGCTCTCACTTGGTCAAGGTAGATTCTGAGGAAGAAAACACTTTTTTGCTGAGGACATTCCTGCAAGTCCCTAAAGGCGAGGTAAATCGAGAGGCATGGATTGGACTCACGGATAAACTCGAGGAAGGAGAATTTGTCTGGACAGATGGAACACCAGCAGAGTACACAAACTGGGCCGAAGAACAGCCAAATGATGAGGATAACGAACAGGACTGCGGTGAAATCGCCAATGGAGTCTTCTGGCCTGACGGTCCACCGCAAATTGGAGTTTGGAACGATTTTCAGTGTGATGAAAATCTCATGTACATTTGTGAAAAGGAACCTTAAAAAAATATATCTAATTATTCTCTTTATCATAACTAATAGCTCAGCTCTCAATTTGCATTTTTTTAAAGGGGAATGGGTTTGGAAGACGTCAAAGACGTCCAGTCCTCAATGTGCGCACAATGGACTGATCATAATTCATAAACTGGGGGTTGGATCGAGGATTGTGGTTAGGTCACGATAAAGACTTAACCGAACCGAACCCAACAAGGCTCTTCCCCCCCCCCACCCCCCCTTCCTCATGCCCCCTTTATACTCTGTTGGCAACGACTGATCCCCTCCGTTGCCCCCGAAAACCATGAAATTTTCGAAATCTATTTATATATCTTTACATTCCTGTCAAAGTATCATTAATGATCTCTTAGCTGAGAATTCTCAAGTAGTAAAGATGCGTCATATATGGAGCACATCAAGTAAAATTGCTAATAATAACTCTTTATTGTATTATTCATGACGTTCGGATAAATAAGCTTCTAATACGCCGCAGTCGAAAAAAAAGGAAACCAGATATGCCTTACATCTCATACAATACGTAAAAAGTCCAACACATACATGTTCCTTGGCATGATAAGATTTGAGCGAGAATGATTTTCGAAATAGCCCAATAGATTTCAATATACTTATTCAAATTACTCGGTCACAACTCATTTGTTAGATCTGAGGGGTTAAGCAACGATTTCATGCTAACTAAATATGTGCTTACAGTAATGTCGTCTAATTAAACTTCTTGCAAATGCACGGAATGCTTTAACTGTAAAGTTATTCAAGCGCATAACATACCAAAGTCCAATAGTCGTTGATCTTCCTTAAGATCAGGAACTTACAATGCAATTTGTATTTTGTAAAAGTCGCCCATCCTACAAAAACGCTCAAAACCTATTACAAAAACTCTCTCCTCTAAATTTTCTAGATGTAGACCTCACGTATTTCGTACTCTAAATTACGCAGTGGCAAACCAAATAACCCTCTCGCAAAGATTTCCTTGTTCAATTTTTTAACTTGGTCCAAAAATAAAACGGGAAAATGCGAACATACGCTCTATGCGGTCTGAAGAGCAATATAGCAAATCATAAGAGGAAATATCGCCCAGCTTAGCTTGGTGGAAGGGAGTCCGTCGTGCTTCCTACAGCCCTGTGGTCAATTCCTTAAATAAAGTTCAAAAAATAGCTTCAATTTGACGAGCCCTCTCAACCTCAGCCAAGGTTAATCAATATCCGATATGACCATCAGTCCGGTCGAGAGCCCAATACTGTTAAATTGGTTACTGTGTGATATTGCCCTCGCCGTGAACGTTTTTGCGGTCATAGAAATCAATGCCTCGTTGCGTCAAAAATGAAGCACGTACTTAAAAGCTATCGAAAAAATTGAGTAGTGCGGTCAACAATGCCCTATAAAGGACGTGGTATCCTCCCCTAGTTCGCGGTCTATCGTCCGATTATTAATTGATCCATGACTTAAGCTGTATTTTAACCGACATAAGTAATGAAGAGGTGCCTGCACATCTCAGCATTTCTCGTGTGTTGAAAAGGCTCTCTCATCTAAACCTTGTACAGGTAAGAGTTCATTCGTTATTATAATATTTTCTTTATAATGTTAAAAGATGGCTTTGGCTTAGAAATACGAGTACAAGGTATTAATTTCATTGCTCTAGAAATTAGGAAGTTTTAGCTCTAATTGGGTTGCTAAATATTGTTTGTGATACACCTTTACATTATGACAAAATCTAACCGGCAACGTTCAGATTTCTACTCAGGACAACCTTTTTACGGTTTATTAAGATAAATTCGTCTAAAGTAACCGGTTTTCTCCCGCAGAATGTAAATAATTGTTTATTTCTAATTTCTAGAATCGAGTCGTGAAAGTATGGTAGCTTTACTAAAGAAAAAGCATTTGAAAGCAGAATTGTTAGTGATTTGAAGCAATAAGGGGTTAAGAATTTGCAACTTCGAAGTAATCTAGTTATTATTAATTTTTTTTTATGGTGCAGTGACCACAAAATGGCCCATGAGACAGCTTGGAGAAAGTTTTACATCTTCCTGGTTTTTCTCGTAAACTGCCGAAACGTTCATTCGAAGAGACAAGGTAACTAACACTTCTCAACACGATATCAGTAGCAAAGAAGAAAAGCAAATCGCAAAAAAATGAGGAAAAATAAAAAAACCTAAATTATGAACTAGGCTAGGATTTCTCAAAATCCAAAGGTAAGGTTTAGGTCCATAATAAAATCGATTCGTGTCGCTTCTACAATTCAATTAATTAACGATGAGGATCCAAAAATTAGTCATCGGATAATGATATTTTACTAGTTAAAAAGGCCAATGTTAATTAAAACATACAGTATTTATTTAACGTCATAAACGGATATTCCAATGCGCTGAATGATTTTCCAATCTTGTACTGTGGAATGACGCCCGATTATATTATAATTTTTTTTTTTCACCGAAATTAGAAATTGCTAATTGGAAGTCTCTTTACGTTTTACAAGGAAGTCTACAGATAATATCTTTAGGAGTACCCCGGATGGTGTGCGTGACAGTTATTTAAATGCGTGCGTGACAGTTATTTGAATGTTTCAATAGAAGTTGGAAAAAAAACGATGCATAATAAAACCAACGGGAAACTGCGCAGTCAAATTTAACTCTCCTTCCTATTTTTCGTTATTTGGTATCGTTGGTACATAAATTATTATTTAGGAATTTGACGAAAAATCTTATACCCCATTCACACCAGCAAAACATGTTTTGTTAAACTGGTTTTCATTGAATGAAAATTATAAACAGAGAACTGAAAAACTTGATTTTCCATTGGATTCAAGTACTAGCTAACTTGTATTTCCAATGTGCTACATTCAAGTCAAAAATATTCAGTTAAATAGTTTCTATGAAGAAAAAAAAAATTAAACTGTGTTTAACAAAACAACTTTTAAACATGTTTAAGCTTTGGTGTGAATGGGGCATTAGTCTAACTACGGGTCGTTTAATTTGCATATCATTTGACAGTGAGGGAAGAATATCAAATATGTTGAAGGTTTTTTTGCTGTCTTCCGTATTGATTTTCCGACGCAATATAACTATTTCCTAGTGACACATAAATATTTTCAAAATAAAATTAGCTTTTTTTTAAGAAAAAGTATGCCAGTATTGGAATATCGATATCACAATCGTGTTGCCACATTAAAAAAAAATGGGACTTGCACTATAGCTTACTCGAGTCATTAAAGTGTCTCTCAAGAACATTATGCGTAAGTATGAATGGCCTTAATTTTTTATCTCGGCAATCAAACATTTTTGGTGCATCCTCGGGCGAAGTCAGGCTAAATTCAAATTTAACTTATTCGAATTACTCCCCCACTGAGACACGGTGAGTTTACCTCATACTGCAAAATACCAAATATATATGAAAGTTAGAAAAATCTGGAAAAAATGACAGTTGCGATGACTAGTAAAGGCCAGTATTAACGTCAAATACTCCGTCTTTGTGATTTTACACTGACATGACCGAAATTCAGTCTACATTGACGAAGAGTTATTTTAACATAATGGAAATGAAATCCGAACACTTTTTTTTTTTTTTTTATGATATTCCATGCCATTTTAAGAACTCTACATTTGAGGTTGCAGCCTGTGGTTAGATACGTTCCTTATGAGCAAAAGTTAGCTTAGAAAGCTATACATCATTGCTTAGCTTACTTTTTTAAAGTCTTCCACTTTCTTTTTCCTGATATGAAGACCAACAAACTAAATGGGGCGAATTCCTACGTCCTGAAGACTAATATCCACTAAGCTGATTCAATTAGAGCTGGAGAGTGAAATCTTTCTGTTTTCTTCTTGAATCATCCATCACAGCTTTGGTCTTTTGAAATTAAATTTTCAATATTTTGCTCACACCGGGCTTAATAAATATTAAGACTATCTAATAGGCCGTGGGTTTGATTTTTGCAGAGATTATTACGAGACCGCCACTGAAGCATCGTATTGAAACACCAATGAGTCTTACATCTTGTGTCTCTCACAATTCTTACTTAAAAACAGTCTCTTTCTCCCTCTTAATTAGAAGCTGCCCTTCCCGCCTTTAGGTTTTCCTTCAGAGAATTTAAGCATGACGTTTACAACAGTCAGCAAAAGCTTAATTTTTTTGCCATCTGTTTTCAGCCGTTTGTGAACAACAGTGAAAATATCTACGCTAATATGAGCCAAATATTTGTTTACTATTTTTTTTACAGTAGTTCTTCAAGTAATAAAAGATGACCGGCTAGAATTAAATTGTTTTCTGCTGTTGTAAACATTTTCTTTGTCTTAAATTCACTGAAAGGGACACTTTTTTAGGCCGCTTACATTCATTGGATTTGCGCTTTTTCGCCGCTTGAATTAAAGGGTTTCATATATAGATAGATAATCTTTATTTACCTACGGACAATTCATCAGCCATAAAAACATTCAAATATATAAACATGCATTAAATGGATAAGATACTATAAAAACTATACTTAAACACAAACCTAACTAAAGCTGCTTTCCACGAATGCCGTACTTGAACGTACTTCTTTAATTACACGCTTAAATAACCCAAAGGACTCTGCTTGTCTGATGTCACGAGGAAGTCTGTTCCAAAGAGTGGCGCCGCTATAGCTAAAGCTATTTTTGTAACATTTTGTGCGCGGCAAAGGAACATTATGCTTGTTCTCAGAGTCTCTTAGGTTATACGCAGTTTCTCGCCTTTCAAATTTAGAGCATAAATAATCTAGAGCTGAACCATGCAGAGGCTCATAGACCATTAAGGATCTTTGTATTTGCTGCTGGGAAGCTAGGTTTTTCCATCTTAGGAGCTCAAAGAAGTGACCAACATCGGCATCATAATTTTAATAAGTTAAAACACGGGCTGTTCTGTTTTGTAGTTTCTGTACCTAGTTCTGCAAAGTTATCCCGCAGTTTCCCCAAACAATATTTCAATAGTCGAAATGTGGTTGAATCAGAGCTTGATATAGTAGAAGCAAAGTTGCTTGAGGGACAAGGTGCCTTATTCGTTTTATAGCCCCAATGCCGGAGGCGACTTTCTTTGTTAGTTTATCGATGTGACTGCTCCAATCGAGTGTATTATCGATGGTTACTCCAAGTGATTTTGCAGTGGTGACCTGGCTAACTTGATTGTCATAAATTGTGATCGTCGGAGAAAATGCGTGAGTACTGAATCTCTACCTTTGTACAAGTTAGTTTGTAGCACAAACGTTGCATTTATCTCAATAAAATGTTACGTTGTTTTTCTGTTATTTATCAGGTTCGGTTTCAGTCACGTCATTAGGATGTTACCAAGATGGTGTGAACTACCAAAGTCAAAGGATATTCCCCATTCTGTTTTTAAGAGTTAAACCTGCAAGGTGGTGGTCTGATAGTAACCATATCATACAATCATGTGCCTCTGCGGCTGCCGCCCGAGGATATCGGATATTTTCTATTCAGGATTTCGCAGAATGTCGCTGGGGTCCAAGCGCTGAAAGAGATTATGGCAAATATGGCCGTGGCTGGTACTGTTACAGAGGACTGGGATGGATGGGATCTGGCAGCGTGTACAGGGTTCAAAGTTCATCCCCAGGTAAGATACTTAGTAAATCGATATTAAATGGAGAATCAAGCTATAATCGCTGACTAAACTTGTTTCGACAATTGTTTCCCAAGGATACGATAAATATATTTCTCAAATTTTTACTGTCTTCCCCTATCTTCCTCAGAATTGAAGAAAAAACGTCATTCTCCCTCTCTTTCTTAATGTTGATGTGCCTTATTCCGATTTCAGTTAGCTTGTGTCTTGATTTCGTCAGTGTAAGATTCTTTAAATCAAACACATCTCATTTTTTTTTTTGTTCCTCATTAGTAAATGGAAAATGGGCGAGCTGGTCTCGTTGGAGCTCATGTAGCGCCAGTTGTAATGGTGGAACTCGAACTCGTCGACGCAGCTGTACCAATCCTCTACCAGCCAATGGCGGTGCAAGGTGTTCTGGATCCAACTCACAGACGCAGTTTTGCAACAGCAACCGCTGCCATAGTAGAGGTAGGTGCTTGGCTATTCTTTACCTGTCAGCATTGGTATATCAGTTATCTTATTGAGAATTCTAATAACGTAACGATCGGATTTATTTTTGCAAGATTGCGCAGGGATTTTTTTATATATTGATTTCGCTCCAAAGTTCATTCGTGCTTAACTGATAGAGCGTCTCTAAAATCATATATCTGAACTGTAAATTACAAGTACCATGCCCCTTTTATCCTACTTCTTTACCTCAGAAGGTTGAAGGCTCTATGTAAAGATTAGAAAAGCATCTAATTTTAAATCGATCGTTCATTGAGTATGATTCATTTTCACGCATCATTTTCACATTTCGGCTTAAAAAGACGAGTTTTGGTGACAAGCTACATGCAGGTTAGGCACAAACAGGTGTGTGCTGCTGGGCGGGGGGAGGGGTATGGGGGAGGGGAACTTTGGATGTTTGCGCACTCCACCCCAATGACCAAAACATCTCTCTTTTTTCATGGGTTCTACAAATCCCTTTGCAGTTGTTCATGGTAGGTGGTCAGCATGGCGGCCATGGAGCACATGCTCTCGAAGCTGTGGCAGAGGATCACAAATCAGGACCAGAACATGCACCAACCCCGCTCCAAGAAATGGTGGCAATAACTGCCGAGGATCAAACACTCAAAGAAGGAGATGCAACTCAAAGAGATGCCCCGGTATACTAATTTTAAATGAGCGGCTTTTTTATGACTACAGAACACGTAATTAAAGACATCTAAATTTAAAGAAAAATCTGCAACTCGAATGGACCTGACAGTTTGTAGTTTCTGAATGTGCAGTTTCCTTGTGACTATAAAATTCCGAGGTAATTCCGAAGTCAATAGCGCAGAATTTTTTGAAAGTTATTTAAATGTTTCAAAAGTAGTCGGGAAAAAACGGTGCATGGTAAAACCAACGGGGAACTGCGCAGTCAAATACATCTATCCTTCCTATTTTTCGTTATTTGGTATCGTTGGTATATAAAATTATTATTTAGGAATTTGACAAAAAATCTTAGGAAATAAAAAGCCAGAGTCTAACTACGGGTCGTTTAATTTGCATATCATTTGACTATGGCGGAAGAATATTAATTATGTTGAAGGTTTTTTTGCTGACTTCCGTATTGATTTTCCGACGCAATATAACTATTTCCTAGTGACACGTATATATTTTCAAAATAAAGTTGGCTTTTTCTAAGGAAAAATATGCCAGTATTGGAATATCGATATCATAATCGTGTTGTCACATAAAAAAAAAATTCATTCAAGGGTATGGGGGAGGGGAACTTTGGATGTTTGTGCCCTCCACCCCAGTGAGCAAAACATCTCGCATTTTTCATGGGTTCTACAAATCCCTTTGCAGTTGTTCATGGTAGGTGGTCAGCATGGCAGCCGTGGAGCACATGCTCTCGAAGCTGTGGTAGAGGAACACAAATCAGGACCAGAACATGCACCAACCCTGCTCCAAGAAATGGTGGCAATAACTGCCGAGGATCAAGCACTCAAAGAAGGAGATGCAACTCAAAGAGATGTCCTGGTATACTAATTTTAACTGAGCGGCTTTTTTGTGACAACAGAATACGTAATTAAAGACATCTAAATTTAAAGAAAAATCTGCAACTCGAATGGACCTGACAGTTTGTAGTTTCTGAATGTGCAGTTTCCTTGTGACCATAAAATTCCGAAGTAATTCCGAATAACGCGGATTTTTTTTGGGAGCATTATGATCACGAAAATGAAAATAATCTATCAAAAACGTGACGATACAATTGATTAGCCGGACTCTTACATCGTGAAACAAACGGTTATTAAATAAAACCAAGATTAACGACAACATTTTCTATAAAAACTATATAACTACATAAATCAACGCGTAAGTGGTAATAACAAGAAGGAGCATGGCAGCATTTTTCTCAATTGTTGTTTGTATCTTTGTTGCTGTTTAACTTTAGTTAATGGAGGCTGGTCACGCTGGCGACGGTGGAGCTCCTGCTCCAGAAGTTGTGGGGGTGGATCACAGCGAACAGTTAGGACATGTACCAACCCCCCTCCAAGAAATGGAGGGTCCACATGTCCAGGAAGGAGCATTTTAGTCCGTTCATGCAATACCAACCGCTGTCCAGGTAACACTTTGGAGAATGTTCTTGATGTATTGAAGTGATGGTTATCAGTGAATTAGAAATGTAATCCTCATGTCCTTCTCAGTGTAGACAAAGACAGTTGAGGAAATCCTCTTTCTTCAGTTTCACTATTTTCAATTCTTGACAGCTATCTTCAGGATGTCAATGTTACTTAAGAAAGCAACTTAAGATATAAGAGCAAGAATGTTTGTGCCTCTGAAGAAAGTTGTATCATCTTAACTGAAAGGAAGTTTTTTAGCTTTCTCAAATCAAAGTAATGTTTGTTTTTTTAGCTGTCTAGAGATCTGATAATTATGTTTCCATGGTTTCCTCACAGGTTGTGTGGAAAGGACCATAGTAACCGATAGATGTGGCCAGCGGTGTATGTGTTCACGTGGTCGCTTTATCCAGTGCACTCGTGTGAGACGGGAATTTACAGCCATGTCAAGAGCAGACCGTGAAAAATACGTCAGAATTGTTCGCACTGTGTCAACAGACCCCAGATACAAACCAGAATATGACAGAGTAATAACCCAACATAGAACAATATTCAATGATGGGATTCACCAGCGAGATTTGTTCTTACCATGGCATAGATGGTACATGCTGCAATATGAGAACCTTCTTCGACGCGTAGACTGTACAGTGACAGTACCTTACTGGGACTGGAGCCAGGTATCACGTTCTCCATGGCGCGGTAGAGCGTCTGATTTGTGGTTCTCAGGAAATAGTGGTTTTGGTGGGAATGGAGAACAAACACCTCAACAGTGTGTGACAAGTGGTCCGTTTAGGCGAGGAGTTTGGAATGTTGTGCCATCAGCCGGGGGTGGCTGTCTCCGTCGCCAGTTTAATCTAAGTGACAATACCCCTGATTCCGCTGCAGTCGCAGAGGTGTTAAGGATTCCTCATTCGGAATTTGATTCCTTCGAGATTGCGCTGCGAATAAATCTTCATGACACTGTACACTGCTTAATTGGAGGCACCATGTGTTCATTCGACTCGGCTGCTGCCCCTGAATTTATGCTGCACCATGGTTTTATAGATAAGATATGGGCAGACTGGCAAAGAAGGAGTAGAAATCACATGAATGCTCATTTTCCCTCCGTCACTACACCCATGCCCGGCACAAACCAGCTCCGTACAACAGCAGTTTTGAATAACTTAAGATTACCGGGAGGGGTACGAGTGCAGTTCCAGAATCCACCGAGACCGCATATAAGAAACCGTTTTGGAGGTAATTAGCCGGTTGTTTCATCATTATCACTGTCATCACCGTATTGGTTTTCATCATCATAGTTATCAGTGTTATTGTGTTTTGTTATTGTTATCATAATAAACAATTTTTCACCAAAGTGGAGGTGAATAATGGTGGATATTTATCAGGTCGCGAAAGTGCAAGACAAATATCAACCACTTTAACCGACACTGGAGGTAAATAATACAGATACAGATACACTTGCCGAAAAAATAGTTTATTTCTCTCAATACAACAAAAAATGGTCGAAAATTTAACTCTCGAAGCGCGGTTTTGTTTCTTTGGCTGCTCGGAGGTGAATAGTCCTTGCTATTCACTTCCGATCTAGCCAATAAGTTTGTACGAAAATAACTATTCACTTGTGTGGTCTATACAATTTTTAATTATTATCATATTATTATTACTATTATCATTATTATTATCATAGTGATCATCATCATTATTTCTGTCATCATCATCCACAGACTGTGACAAATAGAGGAAAAACAAAAATAGGGAAAAATGAAATTCTTCCAAAAAGTCCTCTCAGGTTTTTTTGATAACAAGGATAAAGTTAACGCTATAATTTGATTCTCGACGGGATAGAAATATATTATTTGTATTGCTCTGCAAGATTTTGTGAAAAAATAGTTGTCTTAGATAGATATCGAAACGATTTCAGAGGATGACATCTCGTATAGAAAGGCCTTTCTACAAGTTGATTTATCATCATGTGTTCCAGGATTTTCGATCAGACCTCTACCTCCTTACAAATCCTTTTAACAAGCCGTCTGGTTTTCACCCTCGGTAGATGCTTTCATGAGCGCGCGGGTATAGGACAAGCAGGATACAACGGTTATCGATCGATTGATATTAATTGAACATTTTCTAATGTATGTCTTCTTACTAAACCCTTTCAGCCTTGACTACAAATTCGCTTGGCCAAGCTTCACGAGGGAAGTTTTCTGTCCTTAGTGAAAAAGCTATGATGCTGTTCAACGTCTCCAAAACAGAGGAGGAGAAGGCAAGACGACTAGGAATTTGGTTGCTGCCTACACACCAACGAGCTGGAAAGAGAAACTCCATGGACACCTCAATAGATTTTGGGTTTGATCCTTAGTCATTAATTTGCAACGATATCTCGCTAGCTTTATCAAAATCTACTTTTATCTCCACTGTCAATCATCCTTGCGCTCTTTAAATCCTCAAAGAGAAGTACAGCCAACTGATGTTAAGTATGTGTTTGAAATTGTGGCATATTGTCTCATTTTGTTAGTTGCTGACTTCTTTGAATCAATGCAGATAAACTTTGCGCTTAACCATTAAAATCCCTAAGTTTAACTTTTTTTTAATATGGTCTATTTAGAAAGGTGCTGGCATAGGAGGATTCGACCTTTGACCTTTGACCTCCAAGATCCAGATCTTCACTCAATTCTCAGCTCTATCTGTCAACGTTCTCTTTCATTTAGGACTTAGGGTTTGACGTTTCGTAAAACAGTATCCTTTACCGATTTCCTTTTCATCGTTATTCGTCTGAAAGATGTATTTTGATATTTTGAAAAGGAATTCCTTTTTTGGTAGCTCCTGGAATTGAAAGGATTCCTTAGGTATAAGCAATATATAAAAAAAGCAAATTTTTGCAAATAGCGCTTTTCAACACCCTTGTTCTTATTTTCATAGGTAAATAAATGAAACTTTCCTTTTTCAATGACTCCAATTAATTTTTGATGATGACGTTCCATTGTCCATTGCGCTACCCATTCCGAACGTTGCTGTTATAAGTTTTGATTAAACATGGTTTTCTGAATTACTTCTTCGATTACCCGCTGTGTCAGGTGCCCGTATGGTTTTCCAAATGTGGAATGTTTTAAAATGATCCTTCGTCAGCTGGCTGCATTTGGACAGGGATGAATACGAGCATTAATTTATTGTGTTCAACTTTAAGAGAACGCATACTGTTCTTGTCGCTTCTTTCTGGATGCTGCGCGAAATCCAGGGGTTTGGTGTCATCTTTGACTGACTGACCTCCGGTCTTTCTTCCTCGATTTTATGCGAAAGCGTTGCATCCCGCTGACCAACATAATTCCCACGGGTTGACTCACTTCGATCTAGATGTCATGGGAATACAGAGGCGGATCTAGGGGTGGGGCCCGTCCGTCCCCCCCATGTTTTGGATGTTTTGGGTAAAAGAAAAAGAATCGCAGAAGGAAGAAAAGCCGGCGGGGCAAGCGACAAAAAAACGGGCCTCCCCCTTTACTCAAGGTCTGGATCCGCCACTTAGAACATTTGCAGAAAGATTGCAACCACTCGATCGAACGAAACGAGTTACTACAAATTCGAATAGTGAGCCACACGTTCGATATTGGTAGATTTAATAATTTTGCGGGTTTTGTTACATCGAGATAAATATCCATTTCTAAGCTAGACAGAATACAGTTTACCAATCCAAGATTCTTACTATCTGGTAGAATTTATCACTGCATCATCCTCGTTTGATAAACGAAACACCTGTCGAATTGTGCGCCTTACCGCTTGTCTCACCTCCGGGATTTTATAACAATAAAGAAATGGATTAAGCGACGAGCTTAAGAAAATCAAAATTCCCGTAAATTCCCAGGCGATAAACAGAGATCGAGTTCTCCCACTCTCATTAAAAATAAATAGCGTGGTAACAACCAGGAAAGGGACGTAGCACACTTCTAAAATCACCTGTACCCATAGTGCACTACAAACAACTTTTCTTAAACGCGAAATGTTTGGTGAGAATGCTGCTTGTGAATGACTTGCAATTTGAGTTTCACGATTGCGAAGTATAAGGACTATCTTGGTGTAACCGACACCAGACACTGTGACACAAAAGACCAATACTGCTAAAGCGATGAAGATCATACTTTTGCTGAGAGTAAATCCCCAAAAGGACACAGCGGTCAAGATGATGCCAAGTGCCCATAAGCCAATCACCACTGAAAAGGTTCGTTTGAATGTTACAACATGTCTGTAGCGGAGTCCTAACACCAAAGCCATAAGTCGATCCAAACTGATGGCTGCTGATGTGGAAAGCGAAACACCGCACAAAGTTGTAGCGATGGTGATCGAGAATGTCGCTGTGTATAAACAGACAATGTTTCCTTCTTCTGTCATTGTTCTTATCGAAAACAAGTAAACAGCATGAAGAGGCTCTGCAACAAGAGCGACGAGAATGTCCGTGACAGCCAAGCAACGGAACAGAAGTTTGGATGGCGGGTGAATCGAAGATATCTTGTTGAGAGCAATTAAGATGAAAACATTACCAACAAATGCCGTGATGGATAGAAAAGCAACCACGGTTATTGGATATATGACATGGTTTCGATGAAATCTTAATGGCGTTTCCACACAGAAAAGAAATCGAAGTGAATTCTGGCTTCCGTCGACAGAAGAATGTTCCATTTTTCGGAGTTAATTCAAACACGTAAAACGGTTGTCTTGTTCGCTGCATTTACTAGTGATTATGCAAGAACATGAATTTTATTAAAACGTTTTATTTTCAGAGTGACATTATGTCAAAATGGAATCAGAAAAAGGTACCACTTAGGCCGAAATAGTTTAAATAATGAGAAATTAAAAATCCCATTTATTTATCAAAGTTTTGAATCACTCGAGTCGAGTAGTCTACCAAAAACAAAAGACCATGAAATGATTACAACTCATGTGTTTAAATTAGAGTCCATAACTTGTAGTTTGAAGAAACTAGAAAAGTATTTTCTAGTGCACAATTTACCGGCGCTTCACTAGTAATTTCGTTTTTTTTTTTTTTTTTTTTTTTTTTTTTGCTAAAACAAACAGACTTACCTGCCAGCGCACAAGAAATAATCACGACTATGTTCAGCAGGTGATTGCAAACACCGCACAGCTATCAAAGGCAAACCAATTCTTTGCTTTATCTCTAATGAAATCATTTCCCGCATGAAAAATAATTGTAAGCTCAGTTTATTATTTTTCACGCATCTGCATCTCAAAATCACCAACAATGTGATTTTTCTTATTTTGTGCGAATCCAAAGTAGAAGCTGTGTTTGAATTAACTTTGCGTGTCCAAGTGCGCTAAATATAAACATTAATAAAAGCTTGCGCATTGGGAGCTGTGAAAATAATCACGAAATATATTTTTTGAGTCGTTCAAAAGGCTTCAACTTTTCTATCGCCTCTATTCAGAATAATACTATTTAGCACGACATTTTCTGCTGACAATTTCAACCGTTTTCAATTGTTACAAGAGTATGTCTGCAATAATGGACAATGCCTACGAGTTCTGCCGACAGTGATATCAGTCCGAAGAGATATCCAGCTGGCTCTCGACGAACAACTGCAATTTGGTTCGGGTTTTTTATCTTACAATATAAACTAAAACGAAAAGCAAACAAACAAGCAAAAAACATCAATCAAACCAAACCAAAACAGAAGTAAAAAAAACCATTAACAAGAATCACACAAAAAGAGAAATGAGATAGAGTATTGATTTCACCAATCAAGTCATTTTCTGTACCTTTTCTCCTGTTCTACACAAATGAAAAATAATGCAATTTCTTTAAAAGGAGTTTGACATGCGGCTTTCCAACAATGACCTATATTCTAAACCATAGCAACAATTTGCCCTTGGTATACACAAAACAAACAGCAACTGAAAATGGCAGATGAAATGTCAATAGAATTCTAACTAGGAATATAATTTTAAAATGCTTCAGTTTATTTTTTGACTTCCATTTTAAACTGTTAAGTTAAATATGCTGACTTTAATACATTTGCTCCATTCAATCGATTTTCACCGAGAGAAATTATCGAGACAAAATATCCTCTCGATTTTCACTCGTTATTTGCTGAGTATTTTTCGTTTGAATTCAATGATTCTTAGTGTTTTTGCTTCGTCTTTGACCCTATTTCAGGCGATCATTATAAATGTTTCGTTTGTATTTTTCAAGTTCTTTTTCGTTCCTCTCTTCCGGTTTTACCGATAATTTATGATCAGAAGTTAAGAATCGTAGTTAAGTATTGTAAGCTGAATGAGAAAGTGTACAAACAACGTTTTCGCCCAACGAATGAAAACATCACTTAATAACTTTTAAATTATAATCATGCTATATCTGTGACTTTCGCAAATCATTTTTAACCATAAATTCGCTAATTTAATTCCTTTAAAAAAATGATTTTCGTTATCTTCATCATAAATTCGTTTAGTTTCGAAGCCTGGCGCTTGCTATCTTTCATTCATCGATAAGGCAACCTTAAATGAATTCATACTAGCATTGCATTCATTCAAATAGGGTATATTTGCCTTCTGCTGTCAATGTGTATATAAGTACAAAGAAACTGTTTTTCTACAGCATCACGTTCTACTGAACTGATTCAAACATGGCTCAAAATATTAGCGATGAAGATCCCCGCAGCCTGCTAGCTGAAATTTGTATCGCTGTTTCCAATGATTTGCAAATATCTTACACCATAGTCCTTTTGGTTATGAACGCTTTGCTGTCCATTATAGCATCTCTGGGAAACACATTAATCTTGTTTGCTCTTCACAAAGAATCGGCGCTTCATCCGCCCTCGAAGCTTCTGTTTCGATGTTTGGCCTTAACTGATCTGCTTAATGGTTGTATTTCACAGCCTCTGTATATCCTATATTTGGTGTCACTTTTGACTAAACATCAAGATTGGCGAGGAGATCTTTGCTTTTACTCAGCAACCTTTGATCAAATCACCACAAACACTTTGTGCTTGGTGTCGTTATTAACTTCAACTGCGATAAGCATAGACAGACTTCTAGCTCTTAACTTAGGTTTACGTTACAGACAGGTCGTAACCTTTAAACGAACTTCACTTCTTCTTTTATTTCTGTGGGTGGTATCCATCGGGTCTGTGTCATCCTCATATCCGATGTTGGACTACAACAAAGCTGAGATGTTTGTAGGAGCTGCAATGTGTGTTAGCAGTCTTGCAATATCTTCTTTTTGCTACGCTAAAATCGTTTGGAAAATTCGTCAACATCAGCGACGCGTGCAAATAAATGGGGGAATTAATAATCACGGAACTCTTTGTACAGACAGCGTGGCTTTGAATAATGCACGGTACAAGAAAACAGTTTCTAGTGTGCTTTGGATTCAGCTGACACTGACTATTTGCTACTTGCCGCTCATCGTAACTGTTGGCTTAGTTTCCTACAAAGGGCCAACATCGGTGCTCGACGCCGCGTGGGGAATAGCGATAACCTTGGTGTTTCTCAATTCATCTTTAAACCCCTTTCTTTATTGTTGGAAGATTAACGAGATAAGAGCAGCAGTTAAGGGCATAGTAAGTCGGTTGTTTCCTTTTTAAAAGGAGCTTTAGAGTTAGAGTATTTTTACATTTCTTTAATAAACATCTACAACGAACAGATGCACATTAAATTGATAAAGATCTCCTTTTAAATTCCCATAATCCACTCGATCAGTAATAATGCTTAGTTATCTTTTGAACCGAGACGTGGAGACTGGTAGGGAATATTAATTTCGTTGCGTTCATTATCGTGACAGCAAACGAAAGAATCAATGACCATAGAGATTGTAATTGATGATTTAAGGTTAAAAGGTTTTTATGATCAGTGGGAAAGAGTTTGTATGGCCTTGCCGTGTTCACGCGTAATTTTAAATTCTAGTTTGAACGGGTTACATCGTTAATATCCTTGAGGCCGAATGTGTAAGCCATGCGAAACTCGTTTAGCTCTGACATCATCATCGGTAAACGTGATTAGAATTAGGTTAATAACAGTGCGTTAATAATATTTTTGTTTGATAAAGCACCGGCTGAAAAAATATATTGTTTTGCATTTTCTTTTTCGAAAGTAATAATTTTGTTTTAACGCTTACGGTGTGATAACTTCACCATCTATTGCTTGCATCCGAAGACGAGAGTGGAAGTTTTTTTCAACACATTTTACTTGATAAAGGAGACTGAAATGATTCAGGCTTGAACAGGATCGGTGGCCCTACCTCCCAGATTCTTGTTCGGCGCTACTACAAACTGAGCAAATACGCTGCTGAGGGCCAATATGCGAAAACACAACGACAGTAATAACAAAAATAATTACACTAACAACAACAAAAAAACCTTTGACCTTCTTTCCCATGAGCTAAACAACTACATAAATAGATTTTAAAAATTTATGTTATTATTCTACTTATGAGAAAGATGTAATATTTGTTTGTTAGCACGAGATTGTTCTCTCTTTTATGTTTGGCAATAAACGAAAAAAATTAAATGACAATTTATGAAAAAATTAAATCTAAACTAAACAAAAAATGGCAATTCTGATGTATAAAAAGCTAGCATCAATGCGAAATTTATACTTTGGCACGCATATTTTGAAAAAAATGCACATTACACGAAGTTAAAGTTGCAAGAATCAAATGTCACTCAGCTGAGAAAAAAAATCGATTTCAACGAAAATGAAATGTACCGTAGGGCGTTTTAAAAAGGTTCTTTTTCGTATTTCATTTCAGCTTAACAGAGGTGATCCTCCTTTTGTTTTATGTTAATTTTTTTTTAACCTAATCAGCCAAACTTAAAAGCTTCCAAAATAGAGGCCTGTTTTCATTGGCGCCTGCTCTCTGTCATTTATCGATAAAGCAATCTTAGATGAACATATGTTAGCATCGCATTCATTCAAATAGTGTATATTTGTCTCCTGCTGTCAATGTATATATAAATACAAAGAAGCTGTTTTTCTAGAGCATCACGTTCTACAGAACTGATTCAAACATGGCTCAGAATAACAGCATTGAAAATACCCTCAGCCTGCGAGCTAAAGTTTGTATCGCTGCTTCTAATGATTTACAAATATTTCGCATGATTGTCTTTTTGGTTATCAATGCTTTGCTGTCCATTATTACATCGCTGGGAAATACGTTGATCTTATATGCCCTTCACAAAGAATCGGCGCTTCATCCGCCCTCGAAGCTTCTGTTTCGATGTTTGGCCTTAACTGATCTGCTTATTGGTTGTATTTCACAGCCTCTGTTTATCCTATATATGGTGTCACTTTTGACTAAACATCAAGATTGGCGAGGAGATCTTTGCCTTTACTCAGCAACCTTTAATAATATCACCACAAACACTTTGTGCTTGGTGTCATTATTAACTTCAACTGCGATAAGCATAGACAGACTTCTAGCTCTTAACTTAGGTTTACGTTACAGACAGGTCGTAACCTTTAAACGAACTTCACTTGTTCTTTTATTTCTGTGGGTGGTATCCATCGGGTCTGTGTCTTCCTCATATCCGATGTTGGACTACAACAAAGCTGAGATGCTTGTAGGAGCTGCAATGTGTTTTGGCAATCTTGCAATATCTTCTTTTTGCTACGCCAAAATCATTTGGAAAATTCGTCAACATCAGCGACACGTGCAAATAAATGGGGGAATTAATAATCACGGAACTCTTTGTACAGACAGCGTGGCTTTGAATAATGCACGGTACAAGAAAACAGTTTCTAGTGTGCTTTGGATTCAGTTGACACTGACTATTTGCTACTTGCCGCTCATCGTAACTATTGGGTTAATTTCCTACAAAGGGCTAACATCGGCGCTCGACGCCGCGTGGGGAATAGGGATAACTTTAATGTTTCTCAATTCATCTTTAAACCCCTTTCTTTACTGTTGGAAGATTAACGAGATAAGAGTAGCAGTTAAGAGCATAGTAAGTCGGTTGTTTCCCTTTTAAAAGGAGCTTTAGAGTCAGAGTATTTTTACACTACTTTAATAAACATCTGCAACGAACGGATGCATATGAAAAGAACTTTAAAAAAGTTTTACCTTAAATTCTCATATAATCCACTTGATCAGCAAAAATGCTCAGTTATTGTTGATGTTGTTGTTGTTTTTGTTTTTTTGGAACTTTTATTTTGAACAGAGATGTGGAAACTGGTAAGGAATATTAATTTCGTTGCGTTCATTATCGTGACAGCAAAAGAAAGAATCAACTGTCATTCGATATAAAGGGATAGACAATGTTATTGATGATTTAAGGTTAAAAGCTTTTTATGATCAACGGAACAGAGTTTGTATGGCCTCGCCGTGTTCATGCATAAATTCAAAAGTCTAAATCGAATGGGTTGCATCCTCGATATCCTTGAGGCCAAAATTGTAAGCAATGCGAAACTCGTTTAGCTCTGACATCATCATCGGAAAACGTGATTAGAATTAGATTAATGACAGTGCGTCAGTGATATTTTTGTTTGATAAAGCACCTGCTGCAAAAAAAAAATATTGTTAGCATGTTCTTTTAAAGTTTGGTAGCACGACATTGCTCTCTCTTTTTTGTTAGGCAATAAAGGAACAAAAGTTAAATGACAATTTGGGAAAAAAACTTAATTAAACAAAATCGGCAATTCTGAAGTAGAGAAAGCTAGCATCGATCCGAAATTCATACTTTGGAATGCATATTTTGAACAAAATGCACATTACACAAAGTCCAAGTTGCCAAATCAATTATAAAATAATTCAAATAGTACGCGCACTCTAATTGGCCATAAAACCATTTTACATGAGCGTATGTAAACGTCGTTCCTCTTTCATTAGTTATTTTATAAAAGAAATGTAAAATGGTTTCCGTGTTTACATAGCCTGATGTAAACACTTGGGAGGTTTGAAAAACACTCGATAAGCTGGAAACCACTCCGCTTCGCGTTGTGGTTTCCTACGCTTATCTCGTGTTCTCCCAGCCTCCCGCGTGTTTACATCAGGCTATGTAAACACGGAAACCATTTTACATTTCTTCAATATCACTCAGCTGATAAAAATCGATTTCCACGAAAACGTAATGTACCGTAGGGCGTTGTAAAAGGGTTCTTTTTCGTTTCCATCCAACATATTTTATCCCAAATTAACGGAGGACATCCTCCTTTTGTTTTTTATTGATTTTTTTTCTTTTACATCTAATTAACCAAACTTTAAAGTTTCCAAAATAGAAGCCTGTTTACATTGCAACTACACAGTGCCACTAAAAAGCTCTAATATTAACATATCAAACTCATGGGGTACAAATAATCTTAACATGAATATAGCGACCACGCCCAGTTCAACGCCCCACTCAAATCGAGTGTAATTTTCGAATATTTTACCATCGTGCGAATTCTCTACGGAAAAAGCACTCAATGTACCTCTGAAATTTTAAACTATAATATTTTGGCCTTCTATTTCGCTAATTTTCTAACTTGAAGGTAAAGTTTTTCCCCCGTCATTTTTACCTTTTCTCCGAGCGGTTGCGTGAAATTAACAAGGCGTTTTTGATCAAAACACAACCAAGCGAAGGGTCTCAAACGATATCTCTTTTACGCAGGCGCCAATTTAAAAATGTACCGCCAGAATCAAAAAGAGGAACAAATTTCCTTTGTTTTGATATGTAAAGTGTCGAACAAAAAGCAGATTTACCCCCGTCATTTTTACCTTTTCTCCGAGCGGTTGCGTGAAATTAACAAGGCGTTTTTGATCAAAACACAACCAAGCGAAGGGTTTCAAACGATACCTCTTTTACGCAGGCGCAAATGTATCTTCCCTCGTTGAAGAACGCCGGGCAAAACACTCTCAACACCTTCCATGAAAACATCTTGGTCAACATTAAGGTCTATGTTTATATCAGGGTCCTCTCGCCGTCGAGACCAAAGCTTTTTCTTTATTTCACGAGCAAGTTGGCCATGGAACGATTCTTTAAACGTCTATCCTCTAAGAGTTTTCCGAAGCTTTTCGCTGCGAACAAACGGAAAATATCCAGATCCTCTATCGGCCCTCAAGGGTGTCCATTCATCGAAGCATGTGCTATAGCCAACGTCATGAATTTTCAACCTCTCTTGTTGATTTTGTCAACCTCCCTGATCTCAATATCATACAGTTTTGTATCTTTCTATTGTGGATTCGCCACTAACGGGGGTTTATGTCAAGTATTTGTTGAAAAATCGCTTTGCTTTTTTTATTTCCATCTTTAGCCTGTCCGCCATTTTGAAAATCCTCCTTTTGTCGCAACAGAGAGCATGTTTGTGCATCACAAAGGCTAGTGGTCGCGTACACCTGGAACCGAGAAAAACAAATGTTCGTCGCGCTGGGGAAAGAGTTTGATATGTTCATTAAAATTGCAAAGAGACTTCTGGTCTTAATCACACTGAAGAAGGCTTCCTGCCTTCGCACATCATCAAGACGTTAGGGACCTAAATTAGCAAACCACAAGGGTGGCGGCAACGTGGACGTGGCAAAACAAAACATCTAATAGGCAGAGCAAAAGCTTTGCACGTGCGTTTCTTCACCGTCCTTTGCAAAATAACATCGTGAAATCATCAAAATTTGGTGGCCTGAGAAAGGAAACTTCGACGGAAAATCGCGTAATTTTCCATTTGGGACTCAGCGCTACTCTTGTACATTACTCTGAGGCGAATTCATGTTGCCATAAAAAACGATAAACACATCCAGCCATTCGCGAAATTCTCTCTAAAAACATAAATTCATTTTTTAATATAAAGGTCCCTAATTATTTCACTGGCTGCCAATCACTAGAGAGGAGTCAGTTGCGTGTTACTACTTGTACTCACATTAGAGGAGAAATGTTTTTCAAAATCTGAAACCTCTTAACGACAAAGTTTTTTATTTGAAACACTAATTACTTTCAAAACTTCAAAAATGAATTGCACTTTAACATCTACAAATTCAGCTAAAGTCACTTATAGTTATGATCCAGTTATTAGTAACCAATGCAACATATGGTTAATCAAATACACAGTAGGTCACGTTTCAACACTTCTTACACCAAGAATCCTGGAACCCTTATACATCGAATAATCATAATATTATAGAGCACTGAAATTTACCTTTGTTGCCCAAATACGGCCATGAACTACTGTTAAACATATACCCAGACGGCGGGTTTATTTTTTACGATACTCGAAATCAAATGTAGGAAAAAGCAAAACCAAAACAAAAGCAAAAACGGGAAAAGAAGCAAACTGAAAAGAACACGGAGGCACGTTTGGTTTTCACTCTCCTTACTTATATGATTAAATTAAAATTAGGAATTGATCAGGAATCCAATATGGCAACCGGAGTTCATAATCATTCGACATAGAATATAATTTCTAATAAAAATAGAAAAGCAAACAAAAATCAAAGAAAAAATCAAGGTATAGTTGAGTAATAAAATCTGAAAAAATTTAAGTTGGAACGACTCAAATTACCTAAACATGATGCTCTTTAATACAGCTCATCTACAATTAGTTTTTATTTGACTGTACGCGTGGCATATAAACCCTTTGTATGATAATGAACAAAACCGCGGCATCTTTTTTTTTGGGTACTGAATAAACGGCGGTTGTTGGTTTTTGAGCCCTCGTTTGTTGTACGAGCAAAGTTTTTATTACTTGTATAAAGAAAACGAAAAAAAAAGAAAACGACTCCACAGCAATATCCACAAGAAAGCCGAAAGCTAGTGTCTATATGTTTGTTGTTTTGTTCATCTTCTTGTTTGTTTGTTATTTCCTTGGGCTTGTTCACCAAAGTCTGCAGATTTTGCGCTTCACTAAACAAAGACCTCGCTAAGCATACGTAAAATGTAGTATCAAAAACACAAGATGTACGTAATGAGCACTAACAGAAGCATTTAAATCACAGTTGATATCCCGTTAAAGCTGTGTTCTAAGTACGATGTTTCTTTGATCGGGCCGTTACCACCTCTTCTTCCTAACCAGCATTCACAGGCTGAAGTATCTTCTCGTCTTCCCTTGCCTTTTTGGCTTCTTCTGCGCTCACTTGGAACAGACGGAGCGACGCTCCCAGGAGGTTAGTAAACGACTTGCGTTTTGTGTTATGCAATTGCTCGATACTCTTGCCTAAAAATAAAGAAAATTTGTATGTCACTTCCTTAAAAATGCATCTATGATTCAGTGCACACCGTGACACATCAATAATCATTAAACGAATAGAATCTATGTTGCCATGTGTTTGTTCAGTTGTAGATCTCAGATGACGTCGATTGTGGTAAAATGTGTTTGGAACTACTCGAAATATTTGATGGCTTGAAAACCCAATCAAAGAATGGAGAGCTGAAGGCAGGGGGACTAAGTAATGCTAATAATTAATAACTGACTTCTGACCAGCCTTGTAATCTGCAAGGTCTTACCTTTTAGTCGACTCATTATTCTGTTTTCCCTCTGGGACGCCTCATACTCAACTCGTACGCCTCCTGGTTGTTGAGAGAGATTGGTCACCGCTGTGGCTTGGACTCCTCCGCTACCCATCAGCGATTCTTGTCGCCATGCGTAGTTCCTGGTCCTCTTTTGCCTGTCATCCCAGATTTTATCGATGAAACCGTGATGAAGGAAGAACTCCGGAGCAGATGCAGACTCAATTGAGCACATGGTACCTCCAATCAGACAATGTACTTGGTCGTGGAGGTTAACCCTGAGTTCTCTTTCAAAGTTCACGAAATTATTCTGAAGAATAACTTCTCGCACTGCGGCTGCGTCGGGAGGAATACCCCTAAATTCGCGGTTTAAGCACTTCCGTCCAGTAGGTGACACGGCAGACCAAACACCCTGTCTGAAAGGTCCATCCTGCACACAGCCTCTCCGGCCATTCCCACCAAACCCAGAGTCACCACTGTGCCAAAGTTCCTGCTCGTTTGATGCGTCCCATGGGTTGGAATCAAGACTCCAATCCCAGAAGGCAACAGTAACCTTACAATCGACCCTCCGAAGAAGATTTTCGTATTGGAGTATGAACCAGCGATGCCAAGGAAGAAACTGCTGTGCCTCATGGATTAACTCGAAAAAAAGCCTTTGATGCATATTGATCAGGTTTTCGTAATCTCTTCTAAATCGCTGGTCAGTTGAAGCTCTTTTTATAGCGCTTATATAGCGCCTACGTTCTTCCAATGACATGGCTGTGAATTCTTTCCTTATTCGAATGCAGTTGATGAAACTGCCGAAGTGACACTTACATTTTTCACCACAATTGTTATAAGCGGTACTTCCATGTCTGCAAGCTAATAACCGAACAAAACTGAATGAATATACATGAGCAGATATCTACATCCATAAAATCTTGTCAGAGCCTGTTTTGCGTGGTACTCAAAAACAACATCGAAACCAGAGATAAAAACTAAGGAAAAAAACAGCAACAAAAATGTAGATAAGCGGAAGAAACGAAGAGAGAAAAAGAAAAAGATGTATTTAATGAATATATTTTCAATCTATTGCCTAGAATAAAATGCATACAGTCGAACTATCCACACTGAGAGAGAGGAAACTGACTGAAATATCCGAATGACCAGCCATCAAAAGGTGGTAGGCGTGTAGCAAGACATATCATTATGACTAACAAATATTCAACACAGCTCATTTATATCCTTAATGAAAGAAACCAAACATTGAGTTCATGGCAATGTGATAATGATTCTATGGTAGTCTGCAGTGATAGGTTTAAATTCTTATGACAGTTTTGACAGCCTTTTAAAGAGACAACATAGGCTACTTCTCATAAAATGTTCTTTAGAATCACATATCACAGTAACTTTTGCAGGCAGACGAAAAGACGAGAGAGCCAAGCGAAAACCTGATTTTACAACAACATCAGTGCCACGCTAATTTCTGTCTTCATTATGGGGCGCTGCCTAACTTAGCTTAGAAGATAGAAATCGATTTCTTACCGGAACATGTATGTATGTTGCAAGGTCTTGAATGGTCACCGATTCCTTGGCAGGCAGACCCGCCATTGCTCGGAGGCGGATTGGTGCACGTCCGTGATCGGGATTGCTTTCCTCCGCCGCAAGTCTTACTGCAGCTGCTCCATTTACCCCATTCTGACCAACCGCCGTTGACTCCAACTGAAAAGGAGGAAAACGTGGATTATTGAATTTATCAAATAGAATAAATGGGCTCTTAATGGATCTACCCCTCCCTCCCTTAAACCAACATTAACCCTTAGTTGTTATCAGTTGAATGTTGTTGGGTCGGGGGAGGGGTGAGTGCGTGGTTGCTCAGATACGGTTATTTATCTCTTTTCTTGCTGTTAAAAGCAGCCGGCTTCTACTTGGGCAACATCCAGACATGTTTTTCGGATATGAATTGTTGTTCTTCCTCTCCAAACTCCAAATCAGAAAAATGCGTCGAGCCTAACAAAGGGAAACCTTTTCCCTGATTAAGGATTTAAGGTTTCTGTTCCTTCAGCAAAATTTTAGTAATAGGATTAAATCAGGACAAACTAGAACTAAAAACAGGGTAACCACTAAAAACAGGGCCCCACTGCAAACCACCCCGGCATGTTGGGTTCCTTCTTTTAATGTTATTTTGATTATTATTGTCATTATTGTTCTTATTTTTATTATTATCATATAGTCTGACGTTGTTATTGTCGTTTTCATCGTTGTTGCTTTGTTTTGCTTTGTTTTGTTTTGTTTCGTTTGTTCCTTTTTTTCTTTTGTGGATAAAATATTGAAAGTGCAATTACTTTCTAACCTACCTGGACACTTATTGCAACGCATGGGGCAGGCTTTTTGAAACCATGGTTGATAACAATTAGAAAAGTATGCGCAATACCAAAATCTATTCCGACAGCCTAAAGAAAAAATAAAACAGTTAAAATTACAACCTAACTAGAGATTATTCAAATGTTTCAACTCGTTTCCTTAGAGCATTACCAATTCCTTCTATGAGAAAATCAGACATATTTCGTTCAACAAGTAACTTCTCAATGAAAGCAAAACAAAATCGATAAACAAGCGAATTCTTAGCTGTGTTAAGTGACGTGCGACAACTGCACAAGTAATTCTAAGCTGCTAATTTACTCCCGACCAGTCTTTCATTAGCTTGATGCTTTTTTTTATGTTTAAAACTTCTTTTAAGGTCAACCTAAGCACGAATGGCTCCAGGAGGAGCTTTCAAACAGTCCAAAGCACCAACATACGTATTTCGTAGTCTAATACTCGTACCTGTATGTCGTTCATAGGGACCTTTTATTTTTGTTATTTCAAGATAGTGATTAAGAGACCTAGCTGAAAATATAACTTGTCAGAAATCCTGGGGAAATATAGCAGTTTACTTCCCATTAAATGGTTCCACTGTTTCCTGGTCGGATTGGAAATGAAGTGTTGGTTTCTGGGGAGGAAAAAAACCGGATGACCCGGATAGGAAACCTTGGAGAAAGGACGCGGACCAACGACAAACTCAACCCAAATATGACGCCAAGTCTGAGAATTGAGCCCAGGCCACAGGGATGGGAAGTGAATACTCCCATAACGATGGAATGCAAACTTTTAACATGATACTTGTGACACGTTTATGATATAAGACTACTATAAAACGGAAAGTGCTTTTTGACTTCAGGGAACTAAAGCTGTTCAAGTTTGTCTACTGTAGCCAATTGTAAAATATTTTTCTCAGTATGTTGTATGTACCAGTTACCTATAGTAGGCTGAGATCATTGCAAAACCAGGTAACACCAGTATGTTTGTCCTTCAAAAGTGCAACACTCGTTGAGGAATATCTATCGAGATATCGGTCTACAGAACTGCACAGATTTTTGGATATAAGGACTTACCAGTCTGAGTGGACTTTGCAGGGGACAGGAACATCAACAACGTAAACAGCGTATACCACAACAACATCATATTCTTGCTTGAGCTCAAGACTAAAGTAAAGACAAAATAGTTTATGACCAGCAATGTATTTTCGCCTTGAAGGGGGGGGGGGTGGGGTGGGGGAGTTGTAGAAATTTTGGGGGAACACATGGTTTTTAGGGAGAGTGAGGGGGGGGCAGTCTTAGCCAACAGAGAATAAAGGAAAGATTACAAAAAAATTGACTGCCAATTTATTGCCTATCAGGGAAGGGGTCATAAGAATGGTACATAGCCTGATAGAGGATCAGGTGAGTTTTATTGTGATACGGCCAAAATCCTCCGTTACCCCCCCCCCCCCCCCCTTCCTCCAGGTGATAAAAAATGACCAATCCCGTTATAATCCTCGAAACAGAAGAAGCGATTCTAAATTCTTTTAACTAATCTACAGGCAAATGTGTGGTAGATACAAGGGAGAATTAACACTTGGATCATGGGAGGTAAATGGTTAACCAAATATAAAATTGATAACCTAGCAGAATCAAAGAACAAGAACATTGGATAACAAGTAATGAAGAAAATTTCTCACGAGCAACACATCTGACTTCAGTTATTTGTGTGTGGATCTTCTTGATCCTTTTCGAGCCAATCATCATCCAGTATCCTTTATGTTGCCATGGTCACTTAAAATTAACCAATCCCGGTATGGGAAAACTGATAAAATGATTCCAATTAAATTCAGTTGTGCCAATCAGTGCTTCGAAACACTTTTTTTAAATAAAAAAAAATTACAGTAAAAACATCGTTTTAAAAAAAGTTTGTAAACAGATTAACATAATAACATGTTATAAGAAAAATTATGAAACAAATTGTTATAAAAAAATTGCAAGAAAAAATTTTATTAAATGAATTGTAAAAAATTGCTGGGGGTGATGGCAATTGTAAATTTGTAACTGAAATGAGACACACAGAAAGTTCATTGATTCCCTTGTAATCAGCTCTGATATCAAGATGCAAAAAAACTAAGATATACACAAAGCGGCTACTGTGCATATATAAACTCGGCTTTGTGCATATATAAAGTCGGCTTTGAACTTCACGTGCAAACTTTCTTTGAAATTATGCAGAAAAGGTTAATCTCGATTTTCTGTCACCAAACTCGCTTTGAGGGTAAAATCATGCACAGCTAAGACCAAGAGTGTTTCTGACAGGCTGTTCCGTTGCAATAGCAGCCTAAAATTTCGAAGAAATTATGACAACTCGTTTGGAATATAAAAGAGAAATGTTTTTACGTTATCTTTAATTAGTAATTAACAAAAAAGGTGGAAGCTACGATCCATAAAAGATTGGTGTCTTGAAATAGCGAAATCATTAAATCTACCGCAAGTCGCCCTAAACTGGAAAATCGGAATGCATTTCACCGATATTTTCTCTGTACCAATAGAGAAAATTGTTTAACTAATGTTTGCTTATTAACCATCAATATGTAGTGAGTATTATTCGGTCGCTGCTATTTTAAGAATTAGGTTGTTTGGAATTAATCGCTAATATGGATTAAAATTTTGACTCCGCAACGCGAGTAAGTACAAAATTTTCTCGTCTGTTACATATATATATATATTAAGTTATTTGTTTTTCCATCCAACATGTATTGGGTAGTAAAGTTATCGTATCAACTTGATTGAGCTCCAAAAATAACCACTCTAAATTCCCCTCGAGTTTGCAATCTTAAGAACCGCTGGCAAAAATTTTACTAAAGGGATATATCCCTTATGATTGTCACTGACTGTCAGGATTTCAACGATAGTTGATATAAAAAGGATAGCAATTTCGCTGTTATTCCCACGCCCGGCTTTCGGGAGAAGTTTCCAACCGCGACACGACTTCAAACAATTTAAATATATGTCGGAATGCTAAGGAGATCGAATTGTGTCAAGGATGGGAAGCTTCAATTCCTCTCATACTACTTCGGGAAAATGCAACAAGGAAGATCAAGACTGATATTATTATCGCAATGATACCATTATGTTTCTGATCAAATTCCCTACAACAGGTAAAATCCACATCGAATTGTTTTGATAAAGGGACTTAGGGTTATAATCGAAACCCAATTAAAATTAAAACTAAATTAATGAAACTATAATTAATTCACTCACGTTAGCTCTTCACGGTCTCTTTAAGAATGATTAGATCCCCACAAGTAAGATGCTGAAAGGTTCTGACCAGCCGACGCGAGATGTACGTCTTGTCTGATGTGAAGGGGAGAAGCCTTCTAAAATCAATCAAACATACACGACCTCCTTTATAGTTGTTTGTCTGCCTTACTAA